GATATCAAAACAGACTAGCATGAACATGTAAAACCTGCATATCAACTAAAATCCAATAAAATTGGTGGCGGGAAGGGGGAGGGGGGGTCTTTGAAATAGGAAAAAAACCCATACATTATCGCTTAGTAAAATGAAATATTTTTCAAGAGTAAAATTTTGAAACATTATTTAAAAAGGGCCAAGTCGTCCTTTACATCCTTTTGTTTTTTAAATAAAACAAACAAATTTATAAATAAATATAATTCAAAAAGACTGAAAATGTTATTTGTTGTCTGGGTACGGGATATATATGTATTACACTAATAAATCCAGTTGTAAATGCTACAAGTTTACTTTCATTGATATTCAGAGTTTTAACCAAATGAAGAAATTTTCCAATTTTGACCTATAAAGGACTAATTCATTAAATATTCTTGCAACTAGACAGGAGCTGCCGGGTATCACTCACTAAATTTCATATAATATTCTAACCAAATTAAACAGTCTAGCTCTTCTGGTTGTGTGAAAAATTCAGATTCTTCTGCAACGGATGATGATCTCTAGCTTTTCATTCTCCAAAACTGTATTCACCCAAGTAGTTTTAGTTCCTTATTCTCATCAGAAATATCCTGAAAAATAGAAAGATGAAAAAATATTCACTATGCAAATTCAGAAAATTATCTGTAAAAGAATACATTGAGAAAAAAAAAATGTTCATGTACCTGCAGGAGCAGCCCAACGGCAACAATTAAGGGGGGGGGGGGGGGCTACTCAAGGCGTTTTCTATCATGTAAACAAGACACACCCCAAAAATGTAAAGTTTCCTTAAAGAATACATGTACGGCGCGGGCTGGAGGTGAAAATTATTGTTGGTATATATGCGCGATTATAGTATCATTGCATGTTGTTAACGTTTATGTGTTGTGTATGGTCAGCAAATAATCATAACAATGCGTGATGGGGAGCATAAGGTTTACCAAAGGCGGGTAATTCGATTACATTTACTTACCAGGAATCAATGGTGTTTGTGTATGTGTGTGTGTGTGTGGGGGGGGGGGGGTTGGGGGGTTGACCCCTTTTCTTTGAAATGCTCTTTAAACTCACCTCTCAAGGTTAAGTATGATCTTCGTTTAAAATCCCTTTCCTTTAGCAGGTAATGTATGCTTCTCAGGATTCACAATAACAGATAAATGTCCCTGCAAATTAATTAGATATCACAAAGTATTAAAAAGACTACAGTATTTTATCGTCTATACAGCTGCGCATGGCCGTATTGCACTCAGACGATTACTAATTAACGATAGGAAACAATCCTGCATTTCATAGATGAAAAGCATGATTATAGATCTCTAATGTATTTAACATTCTTTTTTATCAGATTTTATATAAAGAAATGTATAAATACCTCCTGTTTCCTTGTTAGATATGGTGTTTCTTGTCAGTATATGCGTGATTCTACATCTTCTGCGTTCAAATGGCATTTTATGACATAATCAACTGCGTCATTTTCTATCATAACGTTTTAAACACTGGTGTTTAATTTGCAACTTCTATATAAATACCATGCGTTTAATTTATAAATATATATGGTTAAGAAATGAACACTCGTGTTGAACACCGGTGATTAAAATATTGATACAATTATAAAAATCATCATGATATTTGTTTCTCTTTCCCCTTTAACAGTTTATAAACAAATTGAATTCTTGGCACAAAATTACTGTAAATTAATGTTAATTGTAATTGCTCTAAGTATGATCTAAAGTCAACATATTGCCTGGCTATTCGTATTTTTTTCTGTGTCGAAAAATATCTACTATTATGTGCGGAATTACTTCATAAATTAAGAAATTGTACAAATGGCAAATGCACACAGATAATACTGAGAAGCAACACCTAATTTATTTCTTGATTTGATGCATATGAACATTACGTGTTTAAGATGGATGATTAAACATCCTGCTTATTGAACACCAGTTTAAATAGTCGTGTTTATATGTTAAACGCTAATGTTTTGTGTTTAAACACACTATGTTTAATTGTAAAACACGACTGTTTAAAAATTAAACACAAGTTAAACATCATTTTTTACAGTGTACTCCAACATGGGTTTTTACCTTTCGTTACCTGATTTTTAAAAAGTGGGAATAGGTGGATAAACCGAATGAACAGTTGAAATTGCGATAATGAGGAACACACCGACATAATGTGTGTTATTATACCTCTACTGATTTTTCCCTATATAACATTAGATCGTTAGGTGTGACTTATTCCCTAGAAATTGTTATGAATGGACTAATCCCCGTGCGTTAGTCAAGTGAGCTAATCCCTTCTTCGAAAGCTAATTCCCGGTTATCCGTAATCCTCTAGATTTTGCTTTTACATTGGTATGATACGTGAATGGACTAATCCCCGTGTGTTAGTTCAGTGAGCTAATCCCTGCTTTGAAATCACGCTATCTGAATCCTCTAAATTTTAGGATTGTATCGGTATTATAAAACAGTTAAAAGTATATCATCACGGGAGTTAGCAAGCTTTGCCTCGGGAAATAGTCCCGAGGCCTGTTCAACAGAGCGAGCGCTCGCGAACATTTCTGTTGGAGGGATAAGAAATTTTGGCGAGCGCTCGCGAACATTCGCTCTGTTGAACAGGCCTCTGGCCTTGGGGAACTGGAATCTTGCTAACTCCCTAAATGATATACTTTAACTGTATATTAAACGTATGTTGAATACTTTCCGTAAAAGAATAACAGTGAGTGAGTAGAGGATCACAACAATTTTTATTTCTAACAAAAACTTTAAAAAATAAATATAAATTATTTAAATAGCTAACACAAACATATAAAATTTTCAGCATAATTAAACGATACATATAAAACAAAAGTTTAACCTTTCTTGTAGCTTAAATACATACTGTACAAAATAAATAACAATCACCAATAACAAAAGTAGTACTTATACCAGTAATTCAAACTTTCTCTTGTCCATATTAAAACTTTTAGGTTTAAAATTATGAAAAAGTTCTAAAAGCTTGCAAAAAACTTTTTAAAATGTTCACTTCACAATTTTCTATGAATCGAAACGAAGAATCACTGCACAGGTGAACTGAAAACACTCTTCAGAGGTCCCAATAGTCATCCTCTTCTATAGGAAACGGTGAAGAAAGTCATAATGTTCTGTTGACATGGAAACTCCAAAAAGGATAGAAAAAAATGTTCTTCAAAAAAAGCCTTATATGGCTGGCTATCACCATCTCAGTATTTGGACGGACGTCCCTCCATTCTGGGTGGTGTACTTGCAGTCAGGTATGGAATCGGACTGATACACGGAGATCCTAGACAACCTACCCCTGGACTCCAATTGTTTGAACACCCACAGACGTCTATTGTCCAGCGTGAACCATCTACCGTCCCTCCTACACACGGTTATATTTGGAATTGTATCCATCACATTTATGTCATCCATACATTCTTGTAGAGTTTCATATATAGTACGTACACCCCTCCTAAAATGATCTTTGATTGTGGCCTGGGAAAAATAGATCTCACTTGGTCTCAGTTTCAAAGTCATGATGTTTGAAAACTCGGCTTTTTACCCCTTTACGTTCTGTTGGTGCACCACAAAATAGCAGATGGGTATTTTGTTGTTATTTATATATTAAACGTTACTATTTTTAAGCATTACATAATGATTTTTTCAAATTAAAATTTCTAAGAAGATAAAGTGAAAGTACTGGTACATGCAATGGACATTATATGTACGGAGAGAGTTTCCGTGACAAAGTAATTCTATTCTTGTTATGTACACGCTTTAGAGATAAAGCAAAAGATAAATTAATGATGGCTAATTCCAGTTACAAGGATTTGATGTAACAAAAGAGAAGGGGGAGGCCAAATGGTTGGATTATTGAGAGAGGGAGGAATACAACTCTTTATAAATGGGTTCTTGGTAACATTAGCCGTGCATGAAGTAATATATAATTTTTCGTTTAAACCGATGGTTAATGTTGACATGTAATTCAAAAAGTAAACTTTCAAAACATTCCCAAAGTCAGGCTCGTAATGTGCACCCGGGCATGGGGGTGGGGTGGTCGCTCTATGGTTTTGTATCGAAAAATTTAGTCAATTCTACCCCCTTCCCCACAATTTTTGTTTGTCAGCCACCAAGTAATTTAATCCAGAAAGGGGGGAGGGGTGGCACACTGACACTGATTGAAGAAAAAGGTTCCATTTCCTTACAAAATAAATGTATGTTACATAAAGAGCTAGGTTCACTTTATGCATAAAATGGCCCAGTAGATATACCAATTTATTGACTGACACCCTCTGTACCATTTTCAACATTAATATAAAGTAGAGACTTGGTGCTTTCAGTTTATATAACAGAATTGCCCTGGAAGAGTCCAGGCATTAAAAAACAGGTTGTGTGAAATTGCAATGTTATTGAATTTTGCAGAAAACAGGTGTCTTCGAGAACCTTCAGCAAAGAATTAAAATATGAGCACACCCCTCGATCCAAAAATTAAAATATATCTTATAATCTTCATTAACAGTTCTTTTATAATATATTTATACATCTTGGATCGGAGAATGTGCTGTATATGAAATATTAAAAAATGGCATCATCTTTTGGCAATTTTTGTAGAAATATTAAGGATATGTGAATAATGACACAATTCATGATGTCATAATGCATTTACTAGCAAGAAAATTACGTCATTTTCAATAGATATTCATTAACCAGGTGTTCAAGTATTATATATTGCCTTATCAACTAAAACTATGCAGTTTTAAATTTTCAGAAATTGACAGGGCCAAAAAAGGCCCTAAGTGGCTCTTGCTCTTTGGATAAACATGCTAAAAATTCTAGTACTTGTAATTTATAAGTACATGATAGAACAGATTGCTGCTGTAATATTTGATAAGATGATCCTTAAAATTCATTTCTGCACCCATTCATTTGGCTGCTTGGACAAGCTCCTACACCAGCTTTCATCAGAGAAAAAAGCACACCACCTTCCAATTGAATAAAAATATTTTATCAAAATTGCATCATAGTACAAAAATATGTATAAATAATATAAAAATATATGAAAATACACATCACTAACCGAGACAAAGATTAACAATAACAACCTTATCCTGCTCTCAATAAATGAATAATTTTCTTAAAGGGGCCTGGACAAAGATTTGAAGTTAATATTTTCACAAATTTTCTGTATAATATCATGGCTAATATGTTGCTATAGCATTTCATTTGGAAATATAATAAAAGTGTGTTCAGAAATGTTTTTTTATCTAGAAATAATTGATACTACGAATTTCGGGACACGTTTGATTGACACATCCTTGCACTTTCACAAAGTAAACTTTATCCTTAATACTTAAGGAAAGTAGAAATTTTGTTATGCATTAATGAAAAATATTAAAACTATAATCCAAAAATTCAGAGTAGAAATGTGAGAAAGCAAAACCAACTCACCAGTATTGTTAGTCCATACTCAGTGATGTGTGCAGAGTTTAACAAATTGAACACACCCCATGAAAAGCAAACATTAACATAACAGAGCTTGTGCCCTGTTTTCAAACACAGATGATTGACATGATGTAAAGAAGAATGTTGTCATTGAATCTTAGAATATTCATGCAAGTTCAATTCATTTAACGGGTTTTATTTTTTTTAATAAGCATAGAAATATAAAAGATAAACAATGCAACTGTGTCCAGACCCCTTTAAAAAGATTAATCTTTGTTAGAATTTTCAAAAAAAAAATTTCCAAAGCAGGCCTTGGAATATTACTTCAAAAAACTGGAATGTTTGTATATCTCGATATTCAGATAATTGTTATTGCTTTCACACAAATGAAAAGGTAACTCATTGTTTATAATTTTAGTGAGTAATAACCCTGAAGTGTCCTCATCAGCATATTTTCTAACACTTTCTTTTCCGCAATCAAGCAGCACTTTTCACTCTCCTCACACACTGAAAGACATTCATTCAGAATATTTCCTAAGTTATGGCAAGTTACTATATATGTTCATATAAAAAAATGACACTTTTCTCTCTTTGCCAGATGTGAAAACTCTCAGTAAAATCATGACTGTTACAAAATATTTTAACTTTCCTTTTTACAAAGATTAAGATTTCTTATACAGTTTCTTGTTAACTGAAAATTATCTTTTTCTCATTAAATGTTTCTCTATGTGCTGTGATATTTGTAAGCCTGGATCATGAAGCTATGTGGAGACAAGGATTTCCAGTAAAGTCAAGATTCTGAAGACTCTCCTCATGCACTCTTAAGAATTTAATTCCATCATCACTCTTTTTCCATCTAGTGAACTATATGCACAGCTGAAACGCATAAGAATTGTGATTAAGTTTGTATAATAAAGTTAAAGAAAAGATTTGTTACAATTCATGAACATCTTTACAGACTTTTAATTAACACTTGCCAACGATTAGATAGAAATCACACTTACTTGTTCTTGCTTGCATTGAATCTTTGTAACTGAAAAAGTAAAAATTATAATAAAGGAATGTGCATGATGCTTCATAAAGTTTCTGAATTCAAAACAGTTCATCTGAATATGTTATTTTTTGAATAACTATGAAAAGATATTTTGATTTAGCATTGCACAAATACAGAAAAAAATGTTTCCATTCTTCAATATGCAAATTTTTCGGAAATTCTTGACTTACTCATTATAAAGGACGATGACAGCGAAAATCAGGATGACAATGATGACAAACATGAAAATGGCAAAGGCTACCAGGACCCACCAGAAAGCAGACCACCCCTCTAATGTCTTAGTGGTGGCTGGCTCACAGGGCTGGAAGAGGAAACGACAGTTCTTAGTTCACTGGCCACATAAATCAAACTTCAAAGTTTTCAAATGCTGTTTTATAAAAAGCACTATGGGAAAGCTAATGAATGTTATAAAATCAAAGACTTGTCCAGCAGATATATGAATTTTTAATAAAAGCACATAGTTGACCAGTGCATTTGTAAATCGAGCAATGTAAACTAGACCTACCCCTGGACTATAGACATTCTTGGAAGTAAGTATTGACTGAACATCACCTAAAGCTGCCGTACCATCATAAGAATCCACAACACGGTTATTTCTCACAACAAAGAAACAGATATCTATCCTGAGGGAATAACAACATTTTTTAATACTATTGTAAATTTTCTTCACATGTGTATGAAGTTATACAACAGCTTAAATTATCTTTAATGCTGGAATGAAGCTAAGTCTCCGATGAGTCTCTACCTCTACTGGTTTGAACTTAAAAGAGTGTGGGAGAAAAGTAAAGCTTAGCCTTGTAATTAGTTTACATTTTACATAACAATTACTGGTATGTACAAAGTTGAAAACGGACAAACACAGGAAAAGTTGCATTTTTAAAGAATTTCACAGATTATTCTTTGTGGCCACCATAGTAAAATGTTCATCAAAATCTTAAAATGATACACAGAATAAAATATCTTGATAATAAGACTTGTGTCCAAACTTTAAGTGTATTAAAGTAGGCATGTTTCAATTTTTAAAAAATGTTGACAAACAGAAAACGGACACTTTACCGCTGCATAAGCTTTTCTTGACTAGCTTTGTCCAGTACAGCAAATAACTGTTAACATCTGAATTACTGTATACTTCACTTACATGTACATGTTATACTTTTAATTTCTGGAGAATTTTGGGTAAGATTTCCATCAATCAACATTTTTTCTGGGGGTAAAGGGAGATAACTGACATATCAAACATTAAATATGAGTACATTGATAAATGTTATCTTACTGATTAGCACTGGTGCCTGTGGCTGTAACATGGTAGCGAGTGTCTGTAGGAATATACAGCACAGAATCAGGACTGCCATTTAAACTCCTGAAAAATCACATACTAAAATTTTACATATTTCAAATTCCTAAATTATATATACATATATAAATATATATATATTAATACTCATCAAACATTTGATTTTACAGCCCTGAAGAAATGTAGAGGATAAGCAAAGGAAATAGTAAAACTGATTTCATCCTTTACAGTGAATAATATACATGTAAAGATCTCATTGACACTTTCAGAAACAGCAATAAACGAATAGGTTATTTTTCTTGGGAAAATATTGTGTGCACTGTACTTACCGTTCCAGATCATCAACAAACTGCTGCTGGTTACGACTTGAATCTGAAGCCATCACAACTCGAACTTGACTTGATTTTTCACCAATGTAAATCTAAACAGGATAGACAAATCATACAAATTTCACAGACTAAGAGAACATTATTAAATAAAGTTTTTATTTAAAAACTAAAATTCATGCATTTAAAAAAAAAGTCCATGCAAGGGCAAGAAAGTTCAGAATGTTTTCTCCTTTCTAAATAAATAGAAGTCTCTTTGTTAAGCATTTTTACCTTTAACTTGTATGTACTGTACATCTCAGATCTGAGGTAGTCTTCCCCTTTAATTGTCAGTTCAAAATATCCTCCAATGAAATATTTATAGGCTTGGAAGCCAACTGAGATCTGACCAGTTTCAGTGTTTATCTTGAATGCATCAAACACTGAAATGTTCCTCCTCTTGGCTGTGTTGATATACTGGGACTGAATGATGCTATATCGAACTCGACCTTTGTCCCCAATGTCAGGGTCACTAGCGGTTAGCTGATAAACATTGTCCTTTGTGGGATAGGCAAAAATATCTTTAAAAAATAAATGCATCAAATATCAACTGTCTGTAGAAAAAATTAATATCAAAATGATTTTAATTCTGAATTCCTATATGAACCATACAGAAAATCATTTTTGAAAGACAACAGCAGTGAGGACATAGTAAAAAGAAAGGTCAAGGTCATAAAAACTTGACACAGTTGACTTTCTCTCAACAGTATCTAGGTACAAAATTTGATGAAAAAATCTTGCATAACTCTAATTCTTTGAAACTGAGCTTTCTGCAAAGTGGCACATAACAGTTGAAAGGACAGAAAAACAGAGGACATACATGACAAACACTCTACATCCTTGCCAATACATGCTTAGGCATGTTAACTGTTACTTGACATTTTCACTATAATCAACCTAAGCATGACTGTTAACTTACAAGTATAGTCGCTGGTTAAGGAGAATGTTGGTTTATTGTCATTAACATCTGAAACAGACACCAGGAGAAACAGAACATCATCACCGGTGTACTGCTGAAGTTTTGTCTCCAGCTCCTGTTTACTGGGAAGTTCTCGTTTCCTACGTGTGCCAGGTTTTTTGGCTTGGACACAGATGAGGTAGGTACCCTGAGATTCTCTGTCAAGAACTTGATTTGTGGTGATTACTCCAGTTGAGGCATCAACTCTAAAACTCTGGGAGATGTTTGAGAAACCTGAAAATACAATCATTTTTTATTTTCTTTAATTTTTTGGGGGGTCAAAAATCACAATTGAATCATCTCTGCAAAGTTTATGCATTAATTATATAAAAGGGGGAGGAGTAAACCATTTATTTTTTCCTCAATTTCCTCTCTTGCATTTTTTAAATTCATTTATAAACTTTAAAGAAATGCCCTCTCCACTAAAGAATTCCCTGGAAAACAGATAACTTACAGTATAAGCTGTCATCGGTGAAGAAGCTGTACTGGACTGAGTTGTATGGAGACAGATCCAGATCACATGCTCTAGCTGTGTACACTACTGTCCCCACCGGCTCACTCTCACGAACAGAGGTCTCTGTTGGAATGTCATACTGAAAACACATCAAATCAAAGTTACTTTGTGAAATCACTTAGGAGTAATTGATTCATGTCATGGCTTTACCATAATGAGAGCAATAGAAATCTTTAAAAATATTATACCTGGTTAAACTGGTATTGTAAATGTAGTTATATTGAAGGGTTGAGAGTTTGATGATTTCTGTATTTTAGAAATATGATGAGTGAAAATGTTAAGGATCTACTAGTACATTGTATTTAAGATTGCTTTTTGTAAAGGATGAGAAAGCTGGATACTCTGACTTATCAATTTCGTTCATGTTTCTACAGTTTCCTTGTTTACAATATTACACTGAAATTTGTGTAGTCTGGAGAAAACACAACCCAGAAATACATGAATTGAGTAATTTTTTCTCATTACTGATTACCTTTGATATAAACAATTATCCTCAGATGTTATCATCAAATTAAATTTGTAGATTTAACCATTCTCCTTAACCCTATGGAAATTCTTCAAAACTGCCTCTAGGCCAGTAATAACTTTTGTACATTTGAACATCAGTGTATTACTATACCATAATATTTTAAATAAAATTAGCTCATATCTAGAAATGTTTTATGTTGTGTATAGAAGTTACAATGTCTTTTATGGTTCTTACTTCCCAGGGAGATTGTGTCAAGAATTTTTCTTCCTTTGGGAATTCATGTATAAAAATTTATTATTTTGCATTGTTGCACGTCTATAAACCACAAATTTTGTATACAGTGTAATAACCTTACAAGAGATCATAAAGAGGGATAAAACTGGTAAACAGTAACTTCGGTTTATCTGTTAGCCAGACCAGTTGACTTCTTTGTTGCAATTCTTTCTCCGTCTATATGTTAGCCAGACCAGTTGACTTATTCCACTTTTGTATTTACCTGTCTATCTGGACAGTTCTTAAAGGAAGGGTCTTCATCATTTATGTCCTGTAGTTTAATGGACAGAAGTCGAGTGCTCTGCAGAGTTCTGTTTAATGTATCAGTTGCAAGCAAGATCAACTGAAAATAAAAAAAATTACATGTATAGAACTTTTTTCAAACTATTGAAGAGAGATACTTTTAATGGCTTAAAAATTGTCCTTATCTTTGACAAGGATCAGAATGGCACTTAAATATATTTTAATGCTTTACATGTACACGCTCTTAAATATTTTTTCCAGCTGAAATTGTTTAATGTAAATGTGCCATCTCATTTAAATTTTGTCTTTCCTTATCTGAATTTAAAAGCTAATGGTTAATTATGACTTGCATCATGTGTCTCTTGTTTTTCTCTGTCCAGTGTGCGGTTACGGGCCACTGTGACAATCCCTGTGTCCTTGTCAATCACAAACTCGGACACATCCTCATTATCACTGAGGATTGAGTACTCAATAGATGCTCCTGGAGTACGGGGCACAGCTAGGGCTCGGATCACAGCAGTTCCAAGATCAGCATGCTGAAAACAATGAACCCCCAATTTTAAGAAGAAAGCAAAACAATTCTGTATAAACTTTTTAAAAAGAACATATGATGATGCATTAATTTAACCCTATTTTACTATAGACAGTGATTATCAAAAGATGGGATCTTACCTCAGTTATGTTCATAATAGTTACAACATTGGAGTCCCCAAAACGAGGTGAGATCCAGATAGGTTTTCCATTGTCCAGTTGTCCACTACTAACATTGATATTTACAATACATGAACTAATTAGGACAGGGATGCCACGGTCCTGGGCCTGGATCACCAGTCTGTATGGGGATTTGGCAGATGCTCCTCTAAGGGAGTTTTTGCTGTACAACATGCCACTTTCTGATGAAATTCCAAAGTAGTCCTCCTCTAAAAATAACCAAATAATTTAGTCAGGATTGTATTTTGAAGCAAAAGCAAGTCTGTTCTGTTAATTTTTAGCCAGGCTCCATAGCGTAAGCTATGGCCTGGCTTACGGGATCACCGATCTGCATGGATTAATCACAGGATGGTAACCCAACAACTGCCAATGTAAACATTATGCTTTTCAAATTAAATCAGTTACCATTCTCAGAAAATTCATGTTAATGATGCTGGGGTAAACGTTTTTAAATTTTCAAATATCAGAAATTTAGCTTTTCTCACGTCAGACAAGCTTTTAAGGAGAGCTAATACCTTTGTGAGAGTGAACATAACCTGAACACACAGGCCACATGTGACACACAATCAAGATAGTGACAATCTCTATTTATAGAATGACGGAAAACTTCACTGCTTCATTAGTGTGCATAGTAATGCGTACTTGTATGTCAAGCAGCCAACCTTGTTAGGTAAATGTTGTGATGTTTAGCATGTTAAATTAAAATAAAAAAAAATAATAATAAGAGGAAAAAATAATCAAAGATGACAATAAATGAAGTGATAGTATTGCGAATTGTGCGTTAAAAATATTGAACAAAATAATCTGGAGAATCCATTGGCAATTAAACGAAATGCACGTAATGTAATATGATATCCTGAAACTGAGGTTTAATACACAGTGTTATAAAGACTGAGGTGATTAAAAACCTGCTTTCCCTGTTTTTTAAAAACTTTTTAAATACATGTAATAAAATATTTGCCAAATAATATTTTCTGAACTTCTTACATAACAGTTATTTCATGTATGTTTTATGTAAAACGGTACTGGTCACTGCTCTATAAATGAGCCCAGCTCTATGTACTTCTGAGTACTTTTATTTTACACTAGCCGTAATTTAAAAAGTTTTTACCTACACTTCACTCATCAACTTTGATATAACAACAACATAATAATACGGTATTGCATTGATCTCCATTTTGAATATGAGAGTTTCAAGGTCGGTAAGAAACCATAGCAAAACAAATTTTCTGAATATATGTATAAAAATTATACATATATTCAGAAAATTTGTTTTGCTTTTTGTATTTCTTCCTCTTTTTTTCTAAAAATACTCTAAGTATTGTTTTTGTTGAGCATTATAACATATAAAGACCCATATTGGAGGGTGACCTGGCCCTCGATACTAATTACAGCAGGAGTGATGGACTCATTTTCTTTTTTTTTTTATTAGAAATTCCCACTGTAACAAGGGTCATGTTTGTATATGTGTATGTGATATTACTATTGTTATAAAAAGAAAAAATTTAAACAATCAATTACATATGCATAAAATTTCCTTTTTTCCAAATGTTTCTTCATTTTCTGAGGTTTATGTATCTATTACTGTGTATTGTGCATATATACATATATGGTTTATACAGATGTTGGTGGCATTATTAATAATTTATTCCTTATTGAATATAGTAGTATAAACAGTTGAATTGTGATGGAAGAGTAATACGCCCTGTGTACTAAACAATGTTAATTAACGTATCATTTTAGATTGATATTATTTATCAGTTGATTAAGTGTATTGTCATATTATCTTGGAACTGTCTGTGTATATTATATAATATTATACAAATGAATACATATTTAATAAAAAAACAAAAAACAAAAAAAAAAAAACAAAAAACCATAGACAGATGTTTCTACCAACTACATGTACAGAAGAAGGAACTTGACCTATAAAAATTCTGACATATTTTTCAAAATCTCCATATCTGATATATCCATTTGAAATAAAATGATTCAGCTGCTAAATCTGTCAAAGAAAAGAAGAGATGAATGAATTTTTCAAACCTGGTGTTCTTGGAGCAGGCTCTACTGATACTATGGTATAATCTATCTCTCCATTGACCCCACTGTCAAGGTCAGTGGCGCGTACCTCTCCAATGTTGGTGTTGAGATCATAGCTCTCTACGGTCAGGAAAGAATACTCACTGCTGGAGAACACTGGGGGGTTGTCATTTATATCTGTTACTTTTATGGTCAACTGCAAATTAACAAATCAAAGTCTGATCATGCACTGGAACATTTAAATGAATGAAAAATTGATGAAACTTTTAGTGAATTACACAGTATACACTACTATTTAACTGGACTATAAATGATGTGTTGTTTTCAAGCCCATGTTTTTTGACATGTATTTATGTGCAAATCATTTGAGCTTTGCTTTTTTTTCACAATCTAGTTAGATTACTGGTAGATGGTTTTGTATACATACAGGTACTGATGACCTCTGTCGGACTTCTGAGGACTGTGCTGATGGATTGTCTTGGGCAGTTAACAGTAGGTTGTACTCTGGGGTTGTCTCATGGTCCAAAATTGTTCCGTCACCGATCAAAATCAGTCCCTAAAAATAGGTTCTTAGATTAAGTTTACTCGTAAAGAAATCATGAAGAATAAGAGCAAAGCATGAATTACAAATGCTCTATTCCACACCTTATAGTACTGCCCAGAGTAAAATCATTTCTACAAGTCATAATATGATAGTGAGTTCTTGTGATGTGACAATAAATATAACTGTCAACTTGTGAAAGTATTCAGACAATGTGCTTCTTTGGCATCTTTCCTGCATTCACCATCAGCTGATTCAGTGATATATCAGACACATTCTCAGGCCGGTGCCATGGGCAAAAAGCAACCCCACTAGCAATGCTTTTCTTCAAACATAATTCCTTTCCCTTCTTGTATCAAATAACCCAGCTCTATCATAGGTGCATGCAAACATACAATTTTGAAACAAAATGTAAACAAGTTTTTTTTCACCTCATCCTCTGCTCTGGTCTACAAAAGCCAACCACATAGAAAGCTTACTTCATGCAGTTCAATGTATGTTATGCCTACTGTCTGATATATGTTTTGCACAGCAGTAACTTATATTTTGTTGACAAGAAAACAAATTCTGTATCATATGCATACTTGACAATTAATCAGATCTAAGGATCTAAAGTAGGTACCTATGCTCAAAATACTAGCTATAAGACACTGTCATAATAGCATGCTGCTATAAAAAATTTCAAACATTCATAATTATTTTTTTTCTTAATTTTCTAATGGAGTAATGTATGTATGCATATAAAATGTAAGAGCCATGCATCTGCACATTTCTCTCATTATCAGCTTCATTCTTAGACTGATACTGATACTTACAACTCCAACTTCATTAGTCTGAAATACAGGTGCTTTTCAAAGTCATTTACATGTCAAGTCTTTATTTAAATAATCACCCTGATTTGAAACAGCTTTTCTTTCTGCTATCTGATGGAAAAACAGTTTTAATAATTTTCTTGGTATTTGTATACTTATAAGCAAGAAAAAAAGAAAAGAAAAAAGATTACATACTGATTTTAGGATCATGAATTTGTCAAAGCCTTGTCCACTGAGCGAGTACTCGATCTCGGAATAACTTCCACTGTCTCTATCTCGAGCAAACACTGTGGCAATCTGATACGGATAAACTCGGTCCTCTGATACAGTGACTGTATATTTCTGAAGTAAAAAATATCAGATTAACTTTTCTTGTTCCATAATGAAATTTAGAGCTAAATACTTATGTTAATACCATAAACAAATTGCAAAACTGAAATCTCTGTTTTTTAAACTAAATGGCTTACTGCTTGTGTGAATTCTGGGACATTATCATTGATGTCCTGAACTTGAATGGTGATGTTAGCATCCACACTGCGGGTGCCATCTCGAGAAAATGCTCGTACACGGAATCTGACCAGTTTGGAGTTCAAGTTCTCATAATCCAAACGTCTATTTACTTTAATCTGCCCTGTAATAGTCAATGACTCAAGGTTAAAATAATAATTAAATTTCATATTGAATTGGACAAAAATGAATGTCAGACTGAAATAAATATTCCATGGTCATTATGGAACAGTTTTACCTGTAATAAGGGACTTTCTGTCACATGTTAACCTAACACATATTCTTCCCTATAGTTTTCCTTATACAATAACTAGCATTAAGCAATTATTTCTGTCTGATAGAGTTATTGGCCTTACTTTCACTGTCCTCAATGCACAAACCCTTTGTTTATTGACTTTAGTCCGCTATTTATGCTACATACTGTAAACCACTTTTTATTCATGAGAGCTTTACACGTAATTACACAAGACTGACCTCATGTGAAAATTTTATTCTTGGGTACATTTGTTTTATAATGAATTATACACAACAATGATCAAAATTCATGAAAATATTGTCTTGCTTATAAAACCCAAATAAAAATTTCCTAAAATAAGGTGTTGCAAAAATTTGGTGATCTACAGTCTTTATTTACTATTGTAAGCATGTTTTTTTTTTTTAAAGATGTAGTTACTGTTGCCTCTGATACTGTAACCAGACTCACTGTTTTTTTTTAATCTGGTTTTCTTGGAACTATTAAATCAAGAAAAATTCCTATGGTAAAATTACCACACATCAGTAACCTGTTTGAAGCCAAATCCTTTCATGCATGACATTTTTAAGACTCTTGATAGGGCACAACAAACAAAAAAGACTAATTATGGCTGAGAAACACTACAGTAATAGATACATTGTACCTGTTGTTTGATTGACAGAGAAGTAATCCCCTACATCGCCCATGTTAGGTTCTGCTACTTCCTGGAAGTTAGTGATTTGGAATGGTCCTTTGGGGTCTGTGGCTATAAGGGTAGATGTGACTGTACCAATGGCCACTTCCTCAGGCAGAGTGTAATAATATGTAGGGTTTGTTACAGTCCATGGAGGGGCAAAGTAGGGGGTAAGATCAGCTGAACCCAGAATTGTTATCAACACGAGGGCTAAAAATAAGATAATAAAACAATTATTGTTCATGTGCAATATATCTATACAAGATTTTGAAGAAATTCAACTTCAGATATACAGTGTATAATGTCAGTACATGTATTTCAAAAATAGCAGATATTTACAATTTCTAGAAAAACACTGATACAACTTTTGTAACGCAGTGCATTAACATTATTTTTCATACATAAATGTGAATTGTTTATCCATGGTTATTTAATATAAATTTCTTCACAAAAAATGTTTTTTTTTAACCTTTGGCTGTTTGTTCCTTATTATTTTCAGCATTTACATCCTTAACAATAACATTGAAATCTATTTCAGCTGCACTGTCACGACTAAGGGCTGATTTCACCTTAATCACACCAGATGTAGGCTCTATTTCAAAGGCTTCCTATAGGATACAAAAATACATATCAGCATCATAATTTCCTTGTAAATATTACAGAATTTTTCATTTTGATATTTTAAAATAAATATATATGTAAAAGAAGTGCCACTGTTTTCTAACCAAATGTACCTTTAAAAAAAAAAAATATGCTTGGTTAATCTAACAAAATTTCAAAGATTCCAGATATACCCTGAAGTCATAAGGATAATATGTTCGAATCTGTGTTCCATCTGTACTTTTTGCAATAATGGAAAGTCTGTCTATGGAATACTGAAGTGACTTGGTGCTGTCGGTGTCATTAGCCCTCACTTGTATTACAGATGTCCCGATAGAAACAGCTATAAAATAGTCCACAGAAGGCTTATAAAGAGACACAAAACTGCCAAAATTGACTAAACCAGAATTTTTGCATGGCCCATGCAAAAACTGTTCAATTCTAAGGTATAAAATTTCATACAATTCTGGGTTTTAGTACCTAAAAATCTCCTTTAATGGAGAATTTTTTTTTGTCTGATCCAAGTTGAAAATATAGCTTCACACCTCCCTTCTTATTATACATGTGCAGAAAAATTGAACACGTTACAATGGTCTCAAATCCAAAGAAATGGGATTTGGTAGACCAAGGATTTTGATACAATCTTAGAAAAAGATAATCATGACATTTTCCTTACCTTTTCATGCTCAATTCAATGTTGTTAACAAGTTTTATATATTATAATTAAAAATGGCATGACCTTCATATGGAAGGATTATAACGATGCAGTAAATACCTTTGCTTTTCTGGCACTTACACTTTGCACTCTTTGGTTGCTTTACAGGGGTTGGGTATGTAAAAACTTAACAATGCTCATATTTTTTTATTTATCTTTTGATTTATGATAAATATCACAATTTCAACTCATTATGATGCTTTAATGCAAAATTAAGACAATTTGCATTTAAAATACCAACTATATAATGATTTATGATATCTTTTAAATATTTTCACTTTTTTTTTTTTTTTTTTTTTTTTTTTTTTTTACATTAAATCATTTGGAAAATCTTATTAAATATAAAGCCTTACAAAGCTGAATTATAGAAACAAAATTTAAAGTAAGGTACACATATTTTAATATGTCATGTTACATTAAATAACTATTAAGCCTATTAGACAATAGAACATCAAAGAGCTCTACATTCTATGACATTTATACACCTAAACTACACAGATTATGTCATGATTTCATTTATCATCATCTATTTTATGGAGATACCCTAGATGATGTGCCAAGTGAAGGTACTTACTTTCTTGTACTGATCCAATGTACACTTGTTTTGAAAAGAATGGATCTTTGTTGTTGGAATCTGTGAGAGTCACAATGAGGGTGGTGGATCCAGTCCTGGGAGGACTGCCCTTGTCTCGGGCATGGATCTAAAACAGAATAAAAGTCCCAAAGTTACACTGGATAATTAAAACAGAGCACAGATCACTAGGTAAAAAGACATATGGAATACACTTTAATTAAGGAAGATATATGTGTATGTATCAAATCAAGATAAAAATAAACCCAGTCTGTAGTTCCCCTCTACTCTCCCAAACATAAATCGAAATACTTTAGTCAGTATACAAAGTGTAAATATTTCTGGTTTAAATTTTTTTTTAAAATAATTAAGCATATCTTTCATAATACATGTATTAGTTATCACACAGCCTCTGTTATAGTGAAAATGACCATTTACTGTCATGGTGTTGTCGTAATTCCTGACCACTTACTGTGATGTCATATCTCCTGACATCTGACCACTTACTGTGATGTCATATCTCCTGACATTTTCTGACCACTTACTGTGATGTCATATCTCCTGACATTGTCTGGCCACTTACTGTGATGTCACATCTCCTAACATCTGACCACTTACTGTGACACCATATCTCCTGACATTTTCTGACCACTTACTATGATGTCATATCTCCTGACATTTTCTGACCACTTACTGTGATGTCATATCTCCTGACATTGTCTGGCCACTTACTGTGATGTCACATCTCCTGACATCTGACCACTTACTGTGATATCATATCTCCTGACATTTTCTGACCACTTACTGTGATGTCATACCTCCTGACATCTGACCACTTACTGTGATGTCATATCTCCTGACATTGTCTGACCACTTACTGTGATGTCACATCTCCTGACATCTGACCACTTACTGTGATGTCATATTTCCTAACATTGTCTGACCACTTACTGTGATGTCATATCTCCTGACATTGTCCACATCTAAGGCTGCCCCACCACTAACTGTGACCTGTCCCTGTTGGTCAATGGTGAAGTGGTCCAGCCCTCCACTCCAGATATAATAAGAAATATTTCCATTGGATCCAAAGTCCTGATCAGTAGCTGACACAGTCTTTACAAAGGATCCTGATAATTAACATAATAATCTTTCATGAACTGATTGCTGAAAGCATTGAAAACTTTTTTTTTGGTTTTGTTTTCAACAAAATACATTCTTTTTTAAATACTAAATTCCTTCAACAGCCTTTTTTACAAGTATAAATGAATGAATATGCCAATATTAAATGAGTAAATGACTGTGCTTCAAAAGAATTGACATGTGCACCATATAAATTAATGTGTGCAATAATTAAACTGATTTATGCCTATTCTCATGACAGTAAAATACCCTGAAATCTTGGCATATACCTGGAGCAGATCCCTCACTGATCTGAGCTGTGTACTGAGACTGTAAAAATTGTGGGTCATGGTTGTTCTTGTCCTATTGTAAAATAAACAAAAGTCAAAGATCAAAAATAGCAAACACCTAGCTCTCAGAAGTTAACATATGATTCTGTACTCATCTACAAGAGCATTAGCTGTGTCTGACACTTACAATGATTAAGACATCTATAGTTGTGTTAGCAGACTGTGGGGGGACATCAGCATCGGTTGCTTGTACAATCAGTCTGAAACTGTCGAAAGAGAAAATACTCCATAAAAATAGGTCTTAATAAAATGTCCAATCAAAAATCACAATGTGCACGTATACATGTAAACTGTTTGACACTGTCCAATCAAAACAATCAAAGAGGATATATAAAGTCTGACACTATCCAATCAAAACTTTCAAACTGACTTGATCATAGTTCTACTCTACAAGAATAAAACCTTTGGAGATATTGATGTAAGTTTGCAATAAATGTCTTCCTAATGAACATATGTTTCTTACTATCCCCTCCTCTGGGGGGTCTCTTCATAGTTAAGTCCCCTGGACAGGGAGAGTACTCCCGTTCTACTGTTTAGAATAAAGGCATTATCAACAGTGTTTCCAGCAACAATAGTGTAGGTAATGTCATCCAGAGATTCTCTGTCTCGAGCCTACAAAGAAACGTTTTAATTATTAAGTGCTTGCAAACTAGGATCATCCCCGTTATTAGACAGATTTGTGAGCTCTTGGGATTTACTATTTTTGTGTTTTGTCTGCTGGGAACAGACCTGGGTATATGTTTCTATAGTTTGTGTCCCTGAGACTACCCAGGACAAAGATGTTTCCCCTGGCTATTGCTCTGTTATATTGATGCTAATACAAGGAGCTTCTGAATTAATACATCTAACAAATTTTGTCTATCTGAAACAGAATTATGACTTTCATTATTTTCAGATTTATTTGAATGCAGAATCGGAGGAAATGCAGATAAGAGCCAGGTTTGATTTTCAGTTTATGTTCCAGACATCAGACTGAAAAAGTCTCTCCCTAATGCATGCTAGGATCTGAAGCCCTCTTAATTATCGTGGTTATCTCCTAGACCCAGCCCTTAGTAGTTTTATTGCATACCCTTCAGGGAGTTGTCCTCCAAGGACCATCCTTGAGTACAGCTTATTGCAAGCTTGGATCAGCCCAGACTCTGTCAGGTTTGCATATACATGAATGTCTTTTGTAAAATGTGTTGTTTTTTATGTTTATTCAAACGTATGCAGTTTTTCAAGTTAGTGTGAGCATAATTTTTTTTGACTATTTGAAAATAATAATGATGATGTAACAAATAAACTCCTTATATCTGCCTTGGATGTGTATAGATGCACTTATTAGTACAATGAATACTATGGAAATCTGTCATATACACTATTCCAAATGTTTTATTGGAATAAATCATATTTTATATAATATATTTCACACCAGGGTTGGCCGGGAAATACCAGTGGTGGGAATTACCAGTGGTAAATACCGGTATTTCCCGTCCCGGGAAATACTACAAATTTTCTCTAAACTGGGAAATATTGGGAAATACTGGGAAATACAAAGTTAAAGATTTTTATTTCTTTAATTCATTCAATCTTATACAAAATTCAAAAATAAAATTAACATAAAAACAGGAGATGAATAATATTGAATATGTCTCAAATTGCAATTTAACATATTCAGAATGTATCATTACTCCAGGTCCCATACCCATAAGCATTCTGAAACATTTCCCTGCCTGTATGAAACTGAAGTTTTCCAATTCAAGTTTCTTTTCGGTTTTGAAAAATTATTATGTATAATATTAATTATAAATCCAAGAACAAAACAAACTCATTTTAATCCTTCTATAAACACTGGAGTTATTACAATCAATCATGTTGTTTTAACAAATTGCTCTGCACAGTTTTGTGCTCAATGAGTGTTCAAATACTAGTATGCATGCTTTTAAATTAGCACTACATATTTTTTATAAAGCTGAAATTCGTCATAGATTAATTTCTGGTTCTGGGATCTTTGGGTTCATTTCATCATTACATCTGACTCAAGCATGAAACAAATGACACTCATGACTGGTATATGAATATACTATTTTATAATTATACAAATGAATTACTTGGAAACCAGAATTTTTTAAATCAAGGACAGTGATACCAGTTAGATATCTTAGCCAATAAAAGGGTACTACATGTCAATGAAATGTTTAGCTATTTCTTATTTCCCAGTATTTCCTGAGAAATACCAGTAATTCCCGGTAATTACCAGTATTTCCCACCATCCTGGGAAATATGAGTATTTCCCAGTTTTTTGCCAACCCTGTTTCACACTCCAGTTTTCTTTTACAAATTCTTAACTAGTTACAAAAAACATTGAAATTCAGCAACTCATTCTCAAAGAAAATCTTACAACTTTGGATACTCTTATCCTTACCTTCACAATAACGGGGATCAAAATGTTGGTTTCTCCTTCATTCACAGAGGTTTGATAAGAATCAGGACTGAAGATTGGTCCAAAATCATTATAGTTGAGAACAGAAATTGTCAGGCTAACAGCAGACTCACGACTGGGGCTTCCCTTATCCTGGGCCCTAAATAACAGCTGATAGGATGTTGTGTCCTCATAATCTAGTGCCTGGGCTAGAGTAACAAGACCTGTGGATGGGTTGACATTGAACCTAGGTGCAGAAATATTAATTTACATAAATTGTATGGAATCTAATACAAACTTTCATAGAAAACATAAGAGATGCATATACATTATGATACTACTTGCTTTTCTAATCCTGTGCCACGAAGTGAATACTCTAAACGTCCATTTTCTCCACTGTCTCTATCTGAACCCTGAATGGAAAAAGCTCAGTTTACAAATTGACTTGGCACTGCATCAGGATGTACAAATTTGCCTAATTACTGACTGTTCTAAGTAAAGAGGTCTTGAATTTTTCTACTCATTCCTGTGAAACACTGCATGCCTGGCTCTATCAGTAATAACTTGAAAAACTTTAAACACCAGCATTACTTTGGAACACTTGCTATTTGCTTATATGTAAAACTGTAAATTTTAAATTTCTTTATCTATAGAGGAAGCAGACTACATGACTTAGAAATTGTTAAGTAATCTAGTACTTGGTGACATCCCTAAAATTGTTCAGATTTATTATCATTTACATCTATTGTTTATAATTAATAATCAAATAAAAGTCACAGTGACTATAAAGTTTAATTAAAGTGTTTAAAGTGCGATATTGTTCTGTTTTTGCATACAGTGATGGTGATGATGGAGCTGCCGACAGCTCGGTCTTCTCTCACTGAGGCAGAGTACTCAGAGGCTTGAAATACTGGCGTATTATCATTACTATCCTCCAAATTAATGATCACCGTTGTAGTGGACGAATGGTTAATGGGATTGTTGACATCTTGAGCTAACAACTGCAACATACAAGCATTAAAACATATCACACACAAATGTTGACATGTAACAAGCAGAGTTAATAAGACCTTTTTTCACATATTTTTGCAACTTCATGTATTTGTGAAGTGAAAGAAGCTTAAATACATACACAAAAAAAAAAAATAATAATAACTGAACACACAGATGAAAAGTCTCCTGAATACAGAGGTGACTCCTCATTGAAAATTTCAACACAAAAATGTTGGGTTTCACAAATTAAAATCATTGCCTTTTAATTTTTTGGAATTTGAACTCATTTGCTACAATTGACTTCACCATTCAACTTGGCATTATTTTGTTTCATGAACTTTACAAACACTTCATTTCAGTAAAACTTTCACCTGTATAGTTTAAAATCAGATACTTAAACCCAGCATGTGAAATTATTAAACAGAGAAATGTAACTTACCAAGATCTGTTGTGTGCGGACATTTGGGTTCTCGTAATCCAGTTGTTTGGCGTCAGTGACAATGAGAGAGGCTTGTGCCAGTTGTGAAGCCTGAGTGGGAGTCACTCTGAAGAGTCCTGGTACTGGCTGACTCAAGATGGATATGTTGAACAAGGCATTACTTGCCTAAAAACACAATACAAAGGAAAAAGTAAAAATTGCAGTGGTGGGGGGTTCACGTAATACAAAGTAAAAATTCATTGTAAATTTAGCATCAAGTCTTAAAATATTACATAGCAGTGAGATTATGTTCTAAAATTGTTGATGACAGTTTAGGGGATTGTGAATGTAACAAGATTCTACCTAACATACACAAGTACAATGTAAATATTAAAACTGGAAAAAAAAACATTTCACTCTAATTTCTGAACACTCACATCATCTGGGTCAGAGACTTTCACAGTAAGGCCTGGTAATGGAGTGGTTGAATTTGCGATGGAACTACTGCTGTCCATTTCTAACACTGACACATTATAAACAGGATGCTCAAATTTCGGGATGTTGTCGTCTTCATCCAGAATAGTTACAATGACCTTGGTTGTGACCCGCTGATCAGTTTCCACACCATTCTCCATCTCTATTGCCTAAAATATTTTACCAAATGAACACGAAGCTCAAAATGTTTGATCAGGAGACTAACAGAACTGATATTGACAGGAAATTCAAAAAAAAACTAAAACATGCCTATCATATTCAATCTGATTTGTGTTTTTATTCAGTAACAAAATACAGTAGAATCATTATTGTTCGTGGGGGACCAATACCATTGTTCTCGGATTTCATGGGTCATTCTTACACATGAATTTACACAAACATGAACTTTGTCAATGATTTGGATCATTTAATCCTTAGTACGTACGAGTTATCCATGGAAATTACCAGTATGTCCTCATGAAATAGTAAAATTCTGGTTGCCAACATTGACCCCCACAAATTAAAAAGATAATCCACAGCATTCAAATACAGTCAAGTCTCATTATCTCAAACTCGATGGAACAAAGAAAAAACTTTGAGATGTCCAAGACATTGAGATTTTGGGATTAAAATGCATAAAGAAAAAGTGTTTAGGACTTCCAACTCACTTTGACATATTCATGGTATTCGAGATATTAGGGTCCGAGATACCAAAGTTCAGGAATGCTCAAGTTTGTTCAAGTCTAACTATACTAAGGCATCAAAATAATTGGTTTTGAAACTTGGTTAAATATAACATTTATATCAAATTGGAATCCAGCTCTTTTTTGAAAACAGACAGATCCATAAACATATTTTTTTCCAGTATGAGTTGAGATTACCTTCAACTCATTCAAGATAACTTCTAATTCTTAATAGGGTTTCAATAACTATGGTAAAACATCAATGTACTAGTATTCAATGAGACTTTGACCCTTACCTCAACATCAAAATCATATCTGGCGAGTTGGGTTTCTCTGTCAATGTTCCCCAGGACCCTGATTTGGGACATGTAGCGAAGGTTTGAGCTGTCTATTGACTCCGCTGGAGTAATGAGGAACAGGTTGGAAGGGTCTTAATAAAATATAAAATAAAATAATAAACGTCTTTCCTAAAAGAATTTTATGTGTTTTTGACATCCCTATTTTTTCAATTACTATGTATACATACATATATATATATATTAATTGTAAATGCTATGATGTCAAAATTTTGCTTTATGATAACAAATATGTATTAGGATGTTAAACCAGAAGTCTCTGATGAGACTGTAGCTCTACTGGTCTGTTTGTATAACAAAAGAAAATTAGCACTTGGATTTGAAACATTGCAACATGCAACAATAAATAGAATTATGTATCTTAATGTAGTCTACTTTTGTGACAAGTTATATTGAAATCAAATGAAAACTAGGAAGAGTAGCGTTTTGAAAGTATTTCACGGAAATTTCTATTTTTAGTACCGGTAACCATGACAACACCATTCACCCAAATAAAAAAAACAGAAATACATATTATGTATCGTAGTGTATTCTAACTGTGTGCCAAATTAGATTGAAATCAGACCAAAATTGTAGGAGGAGTAACGTTTTAAAGGAATTTCACAGAAATTTCTATTTTAAGTAACCATGGCAACACTATTCATCGAATTCAAAAACCAATGCAATAAATTATGTATCTTAGTATAGTCTTCTTGTATGCCTAATTATATTAGAAGCAGACTAAAACTGTAGCAGGAGTAGTGTTTTAAAGGAATTTCACAGAAATTTCTATTTTTAGTAACCATGGCAACACCGTCCATTGAATTCAAAAACCGATGCAATCAATTATGCATCTTAGTGTAGTGTACTTGTGTGCCAAGTTATATTGAAATCGGACCAAAACTGTAGGAGGAGTAGCGTTTTAAAGGAATTTCACAGAAATTTCTATTTTTAGTAACCATGGCATCACCGTCCATCGAAATCAAAAACCGATGCACTTAATTATGTATCTTAGTGTAGTCTATTTGTGTGCCAAGTTATATTGAAATCGGACCAAAACTGTAGGAGGAGTAGCGTTTTAAAGGAATTTCACAGAAATTTCTATTTTTAGTGACCATGGCAACAACGTCCATCGAAAATCAAAAACCGATGCACTAAATTATGTATCTTAGTGTAGTCTACTTGTGTGCCAAGTTATATTGAAATCGTACCAAAACTGTAGGAGGAGTAGCGTTTTAAAGGAATTTCACAGAAATTTCTATTTTTAGTAACCATGGCAACACCGTCCATCGAAATCAAAAACCGATGCTCTAAATTATGTATCTTAGTGTAGTCTACTTGTGTGCCAAGTTATATTGAAATCGGACCAAAACTGTAGGAGGAGTAGCGTTTTAAAGGAATTTCACAGAAATTTCTATTTTTAGTAACCATGGCAACACCGTCCATCGAAATCAAAAACCGATGCACTAAATTATGTATCTTAGTGTAGTCTACTTGTGTGCCAAGTTATATTGAAATCGGACCAAAACTTTAGGAGGAGTAGCGTTTTAAAGGAATTTCACAGAAATTTATATTTTTAGTAACCATGGCAACACCGTCCATCGAAATCAAAAACCGATGCACTAAATTTTGTATCTTAGTGTAGTCTACTTGTGTGCCAAGTTATATTGAAATCGGACCAAAACTGTAGGAGGAGTAGCGTTTTGAAAAATTGTTTACAGACAGACGGACAGACAGACAGACAGACAGACAGACGGACGGACGGACGACGGACACCTTACTATCGCATAAGCTCTTCTGGTCTCTGACCAGTAGAGCTAAAAATGAACTGGATGCAGTATTCAGCATATCGACCACACCGTGAAAAATAAACACCTGTGCTTACCAAACAGTAAATTAAAATGATTGTATGGTAGACACACACAATAAAATGCACTTTCTGTGCACATTTATATTGAATTTTTTGTATAGAAACTTATTATGTTTCACATTAGTGAAAAATACATAGCTGCATCATGCACATCTAATATATACCTATCTTTAAGCTTCTGCTTCTAATTTTTTCTTAGAAAAAATAAAAAATATATCTATGCATGCAGGTCCACACTTTCGTTTTCTTTATTTTACATAACAAACATTAACATGCATTACAGTTACTTGAAGCATTCTAAGATAACTCTTCTTGAAAGAACAAACCTCTGACCCATTCAACTCTTTTATCCTCTCAAGATTAAAAGTTTGAGTTGAGTTTTAGCATTCTTTGCTGATGGTATATCCTGGGACTGACAATATAAATGTGATTACAAAGAATAATGCTTAAAATATCTATACTGTGATGTATGAGCATTCCTTAATTAAATGTGTACATATGCAATGTTATGCTTTTTACTGTTTATACATCATACAAATATAATGTTCTCTCTTTTTAATGTTTATACAATAATACATAGGCCCATAGTATGTTTGCTCTTTTATAATTTTTTTCCTTCTTTTTTCTTTTACAGATAAGCGTTAGATAAGAAAATACTCTCCAGATATTTATATCAAAGAATATTAATTTAAGATATCAGACTATGAACTGCAATTCATTGTATCATATATGTTCGTTGTGACTTTACACTCTGCCATTAATAATTTTTTCAGCATGCTTATATCTCATCTAATTACCATGCATCAATTAACTGCAGTATCCTTTCTATATAGATATACATTATAATCTGTTATCTAGATAAATTGCATGACAACTTGTGGTCAAAAAAAAAAAATAAATAAAAAATAAATTAATTAATTATAAATAAACATGAAACCGAGCTGCATAAATAGGAGACATTACATTTACTGTACATGTACTATTTAAAATCATCCAAATAAAATTCACTTGTGCAAATTCAAAACTCATTTAAGATATTTGAATCTTAGCAACTTAGGTGATATTAGAATTTCAGTAATAAGAAAGTTTTTAAGCCAGGACAACATGCAGGTAACTTTCATACATCAAATACATGTATATGCTTCAACATAAGAATGATCGCTGCCCCAACTATGCATTCTATACGTTCTAATTCAATTATCTTTAGGAATACCCACTCCTAGGAAAACATGTGTGACAAGCATCACATAACTACATGACCTTGATGACATAAGAACAACTATGCAAGTCTGAAAGTTGGGGAAAAAAGGTATGAGCCTATCCCCCCCCCCCTCTCAACTTTAAAAAAATAAAAATAAAAATTGTATTCCTCTTGAACAAAGAAAAATAAAATAATGATATAAAATAAATACAACCATTCCTTATAAATATGAAATTCGATCTGCAAATTTTTGGCAACTCGGCTGAAACAAATATTGCATGCAATAAAATATGAGATATCACTTTAAAGCTGTCATATTAAGAGGCCTACAATATTGAGCTTACCTCCCATTGCTTCAGCAACAAGACAATAAATAACGGCACATGAGTCAATTACATGTATATATAACATGCACATATACCAACATCTTTCCCATTCTTTACTATAACAAATACAGTTTATATATGTAATATTTATTGAAACAATAAAAAAAAAATAATTAAGATTTATTTCAGGGGGACAATTATAGTTTAGATATTTAGCAAGAACTACTATTTTCTGAAAAATAAAAATTGATACTTTACAGTAAAGCATGGTTACAGCAAACATGCTTCTACTGAATTCACACTTAGAGGGAAGTAATCTTCAATTCGTGTAGTTTTCAAAAGCATTATGAACTTTATAGATAAAACAAATCAAAATTATTTGTCCCTGGCACTTCACTAAAAGCATGTTTTACTGTATATTGATAGGAAATATTTATTATTTCAAATAATATGATTATCTTCTTTATTCATTCATTTAACTTAAAGACTGTCAATTTTTAAGAGTTTTGATTTTTAAATATTAGAGTACATGTATTGTGAATTTTAAATCTTTGAAAAATATCAGTTTTTAAGATTTTCCTCTTGAGATATCATAACCAAACTAAAACTCAGAGAAGCTAAATCTGACAGACAGAAATAAAAAGTAAAGAAAGAGAGAAAATATATATTAAAAAAATGCAGTATTGTAAATCTGTTTACCTTTATTGACTATTTTGATTGGTCGAGGGCTTCCTTCATCTCCATCTTGTGCAGTGATGGCACCTAATCTTGTACCCTTCAATACAGAATCAGGATTTAATCAAAAAGTAAAGAATAAAATTAATTTAATCAAACAAGTGATCCTTCAAAATCTCAACAATTTTGATACTGCCATGTGTGATCTGGAAAAATTATTTCATTTTTGGACTTGGAAGCATTATAAATAGCACATGAAATAAATTTTTAGTCAATTTACATGAAACTGTGTAAAGTTTATCTTAAAAATACTTGTCTTCTACATATTCAGAGAGCTTACATTTGGAGTATTTTCATACACAGTAACTGTGACTGGGGTATTGAGGAATCGGGGAGGAGAATCTTGTTGGTCAATCACTTCTATCAGAATGTTGATTGTCGAGCTCAGCTGTGAGCCACCTCCAAGTCGAGAAGGGTTGTCCTTCAAGGAAACATTGAATCATTGTGTTATCAATTACGCAATTAAATATTATACAAATATTTACATGTCTAATATCAAAAGCAAACATCTTATTGAAATACTGTAGATCACTTTTTATTCATGAGAACTTTATTTTCACGAAAATTTAATTCAACTTAATTTAATTTATATTTGTGGTACAAAAGATTATATAAAACAATAATCAGAGTTCGTGAAAATTATGTCTTGCTTATACATGTAAATACCAAATGGCCATCTCACAAAATTAAAGTGTCGCCAAAATTTGGTGATCTACAGTACTTGTCCTCAATAATTTTAGTCACATGCATATACTGTAAATGTACTTTTTAATTAACGTTCTGTATGCAGTCACAATTTTTCCATGGAACTTTGTCATAGCATACAAGTGCATTCAGGACATATAATGAGAATCCAAGATATCTGTGTAAATTTCTGCTGACAGGTTGAAAAGAAATTGTGATTCACCAGAATTATGACTCAAAGAAAAAAAGTATGTCAACAGTATATATATGTAGTTTTAAATCTAGTTTGAATATCAAAAAAAATATTTGCAAAAAATTACTTTATCCTGACATACTGCGCAATTTTTACTAGTCATTCTTAACAGCCATCTCTTACTGCTAGAAATCATATAGGAAATTATGGTGTTCAGCTGACTTCAAAACAATGATCCAGATACAGAGAAAACTAGCACTTACAATGGATTTGATGGTCATTGTGTATCCTTTCTTAACTTCATAATCCACTGTTCTCTTGAGATACACAAATCCTGTGTAGTTACCCTGGGAGTTCTGTCGTGTGTTTAATCCAAAAGTGTCGCAGGCTGACTGGCTCTGGAACACAGAGAAATGTAAATATCATCCACACGTTCAATTCTTATGGAACATAAAATCCTGCTGATTATAAAGAAAGGTATATTCTACAAATGCTACCAAGGGATTCCAAATGCAAAAACAATGTCAGTCATGTACATATTGCTGTGCATTGCAGTGCATGTTAACGGTTAAATTGACAAGTACATTGGTATACATTTATGTGCAAATGTAGCATCAGAATTTTTTTCAGGTGGCTCATTATGCAAAATTTAAAGTAGTGTATCTGGTCTCACTTTTTCTTATCATATTTACCAGTTTACAGTAATAAAGCAATTTTTTTCTTCTTTCCTAATTTTGGACAACATAGTTTGAGATCACTTGCCCAAAGGCCAAGTTAATATGAAAGTTAGTCTATCCCTGAATTGCTAATCCTCTTATTGATAAAATGTAGCAATAACGCACATCTGAAATCAAGGTGAAAAGTAGTGGGAGTGAGTTGTACTTTCTTGAAATGTAGGGGTAATGTGTCCCCCCCCCCCCCTTCAAGTATAGAGGCTACACAGAAACAGTATTCAAAATTTCAATTTCTCTCTGATCTGTGTCAAATATATATACTTCTTTATTCCTTATATTTCCTACTGAATCTCAAATGCAGGTGTAATCTATACATACTCGTAGTTGGTTTTTCCTTTGTTTTCTTACCTCTTGATTGTCTGGAATGACATAACAGGAGAGTTGGATCTCGGAATAGTAACCAACATCTAGATCTCGCACTAGAATGGAACTGTACAAAGTTGTTCCAATCAAAGCATTCTGTTACAAAATACAAGTGTAATATTACATTACATGTAATAGGTTAAATGTACATTAAAATCCCATCATAATATATAGGATGTAAGTAATAATAAATACAGAATGTTACAGCACCCTCATTTTATATGGGTTGTCCCCAGAGCTCCCACTGGAGCGAAAATATTTTTGGCCACTTTTCGCGATGAAAGGAATCACATTTTTACATCTCGTCTCGACATGTGTACAGTGTTAAACACTCCACTAATAGCACTATTTCAATTTGTTTATATCACAGGCATTGTCTTAAAATTGTAAAATTTAGAGTTGTATCCACTTACAAAACTGATATAGGAATTATTTCTACATTTATACAATTAATTTGATACTGATATTAGCCAACTCTTGACAGTAGATGTCCTCTTGTTCATAACTTTTTAGCCTGGGGAGGGGGGTTACAGACTTAGTAAAGATATATGACATTTTTTTTAAAAATGAAAAAATAATATAATAGGCGAAAATTTTAATCATATCAACAATTTACTGTGAAAAGAAGTAATTAAAATGAGGTTTAAAACTTGGCTTAATTTAACAACTTGGACACTGGGTGTATATGCATTTAAATTCATATAACTGAAAATAATTCAGTGTAATTGACAAAAGTATTGTTTTGTTTCCAAGCCAGTATCTCTTTCACTCTTTGTCAGTTTATGGTATAATGAACACACTATTTTGACTTTAATCAGGTAAAATTAGCAGCCATGCTCTGCAATTTTCGTCATGTTTTCCTACTTTCGGTTTAAAAAAACAATCTATATAGATCCAGATTTTATTGATTAAAATCTTTTATTAACTAACTTCATCTCCCAAAAACACTTCGTCTTTCTTTGTTTAATCCATCTTATATTATTTCAAGTAATTTTGTATCCCCTTACTGCTCCAGGCTAAAGTTACCTACTAAATCAGCTGTGTGCGTTCAAGCGAGACGTAATTTCCTACATGTACATTGCTTTGTTAATTTCATGGAGTTTTCACACCCTGAATTCACACGTCTGCTTGCATTAAATAAACAAAGGGGCTAATATGTATACATTGAATAAACAAAGGAGATAGCCAGGAGTACACACACTTTTGTATGGAATATCTAAAAAAAATTTCTTTTTCGCCACTTTTGAATTTCTTTTCGCCACTTTTGGAAAAAATTCGCAATTGGCGCAAATGGCAAATCACAGCTCGAGCCCTGGTTGTCCCTAAGACCCGAGGGTTTGGGAATTTCTCTGCCTAAAATGACATAATCCCCTGGCTATTTTGGTATTCTCCCTTAACCCCTTGTTAGGGGAGGAACCCCAGACCCCCTTCTACTTTTTAATTCCCCCTGCTATTTCAATTCTTAGGGACAACCCTGACTTCATCTACATGTTACATTATGGCACAGCCACTTGTCATAAAATACAGAGTATAACAATAGCATCTATTTGATCAAGATATATTAAATTGAATTCCTTTATCATCTGTTTCATGATATTTACCTCTGCTACTTTTGCATTGTATGGTAAATTTTGAAAAGTTGGTACTTCATCATTGACATCCAGAACTGTGATAGTAATGGAGGTATCAGCCTAAAAGAGTCAATTCATATAATTATTCCAAATCAGTCTCAAAGCATTTAAAGTCCGAGACACTCATTAAAAAGGAGAGTATGACATAAACACAACAGAATTACTTAGAGTTAATTTATTTTCCAATGATTTTTAGGGAAAAAAACTTTCAAATATTGTTACATTGTACTACTTTTGATACTTACAGACAGTCTAACTCCCTGGTTTGTGATATAGTAAGCCACAAATATCACCTTCAAATTATTTCCTGTTGAAGAAGCTGCCTATAAAAGACAAAATATTACCTGTAACCAGTAATGAATATTTACAAAATGACATCTTACTCTGGCCATGTCATGGCTCTACAGCCCATGGGTCAAAATGTTTTCACCTGCTTCATACTGGCTGTAACTTTATACAAATCAGAAAAGCATAGCACATCAGATACCCACAGGTCATCTTGTCTTGTAAGTCATCAGTATAAAGAGACATACAAAATATCAGCACATTATCTACAAGCTCAGCAAAAATTGTCTGAACTTAGTAGGTTTAACTATGATTGATGTAATGGATGGAAAGGGGAATATGTCCTAGCCATTTCATTCATGGTGTGGGCATAAAAATCACCTTACTTTTTGTTAAAAAAAAAAAAAAATACCCTATGTAAAACCCTTAAAGTTTGTAAAATTTCTGCCTCTAGTAGTTCCCTCAAAAGTCCCATGGTCAAAACATATTTTAAATCAACCAACCTCTCTATCCAATGGCCTGGCAAGCAAGACGGATCCATCCTGTTTGACATCCAAAGTCTGCTGGCTTAAAGCTTCATATAGTACTACTGCATTAGGATTTTGGGGAACATGGGCTTTCAATTTTCCAAGTTCTGTTCCTAATAATGATATGAAGAAATTAATGTACAGTGAAAAAGTTTTAGCTACCTTTGAGACAGGTTTACAAAATTTATAATTAAATAATGAAGGCAGACAGTTGTGAAAATTTAATTTCCTCTGAGGAAAAAGAAACAAGACTCCCATGGCCCAAAACATCACCTGAGTCACTCTTCCTGACAGATGAATATACAGTCAAACCTCATTATCTCGAACTCGAAGGGACCAAGAAGAAACTTCGAGATATCCGAGGATTCAAGATATCGAGGGTAAAATACTTAAAGAATAAGTGGTTGGGACATGCAAATCACTTCGATATATCCATGGTATTCGAGATATCAGTGTTCGAGATAACAAAGTTCAACTGTATTAGTAAATTACTCATTATTGTAACCATCAACTTTAATTCCATGATTTCAACAAATTAAATTTACAATATATTTACTAAGTGAGGTGAAGTTTACAAACAATACCCCTTTTCTTCTTGCAATTTGTATATTTTGTGTAAAACTTTTTGACCCTTTATTGTGAGCCCACAGGGCTCCAAGACCATTACTTGAGCCAGGTCTTGATAAGCCCTCTTAGGGACAGGGTCTTGTATCCTTTCATTCTAGAATATAAGAGAAATTAACGTAGGTCGCGGGTTTGCTGACGTCGTTAAAACTGGGTACGCAATTTGTATGATTTGGGCGACTTTCTTGTGCACATTTGATTATGACGTCACAATGAAAAAGAAATCTGCGATGATTTTTGTTTAATTAAATTCTTCAGTATATCATTATTTAGCTATAACTTTTCTTGGAATTGGTAGTTTAGTGTTATATTATTTAAGCAACAACTTATCACAAATAATGAAGGCTTTTTACGATTTGTATAGTCGATACAATACTAAGATAAAACTTTTGTTGGAATTGGTAATTTAGTGAAGAAGGTTTATTCGAATGATCAACACTGGAAATATTAAAAAAAGTTTAATTATTTATTAATCAATCGCATCTTCTCGGGCCTTTCCTGCAATCTTGGAAAAACCAGTGGTTGTTTTTTGGCTCGTCGGAAAGGCCCGAGAAATTGAGATTGATTTGTTTTCACTTGGTATCGCGAAACGATATGGACACAAGGTTCAACTGACCTTTTTTTCCCTTGACCGTATTTGAATTATCAGTTTGTTTTATTAAGAAAGAAGCCATTATCTAAAAAAAATAATCGCAAATACACCTGTTATACATCAAAAGATTAAATTTTATTTTTAAACAGGTTATTTTTTAAAATATATAGATGTACAAGTTTATCATAAATTAAATACTGCTAAGGTACGATGAAACATTGAGACAATTTTTTAGCGACACTGACCTCCTGTTAGGGGACAACTATTTGTTTCTGAGGGAGAGGTTGGGGGGGGAGGGGGGAATTTTACCGAGTCAGATTGTTTATTTTCATGTCGGTGAAGGACAGATTATTTATTTCCAAAAAAAAACAAGGACAGATTATTTATTTCTTCTTCACTAAAAAAAGTCTGACAAGCAAAAAACAAAACAAAACAAAACAAAACAAAACAAAACAAAACAAAGTTGAAAACTCCCAGAGGGGGGTGGGTCTAGATGTCGTCTTTGACAGATTATTTATTTTCTTGCCCAGTCGAGGACAGATTATTTATTTTCAACATTTTCGAGTACAGATTATTTATTTCCAAAATCTGTAAGCCCCCTCCCCCCTGAAATGATCATCCCCTAAGCAACAGCTTGCAATGCTGTAACCTACAGATTTTATTCGCTACTTTGCTTTCCATGTCCAACAAGTAGATTAATGTTATTAAAAAAAATTGGCTGTTGATTACGTCAATAAAATTAATTTTTAAATCCTTGTCCCATTTACCCCTCTGAAAATGTGGTATGTAAAAATAAATATTTTGTTTTAATATATACTGGAAAAATATTGTATTTAGTCGGGACGATATTTGGCAGAAATTCGTAGATTTGAGCGCCTTCCTGAATGGTCAAAATAAAAACATTTTATATACTTGAATTACTTGAATTAAAGGATACCGTTTTCTGCCAGCACGCTTGAAAAGAAAAATACACAGCCAAATGTAAGGATACGTCTAATCAACGAAAAAAAGCAAAACAAACAGAAAACAATACATAAAGAAAGTAAATTGGAAGAAAGAAACTAAAGGATTGATTGTTGTTTTACGTCCCTTGCGAGAATTTTCACTAATATAAGACGTACAAAAACCCTAATCTGAAGAGAAACATGTCTAACAATCATTTCATTGATATAAAATTATGATGATACGATTCAAGGGTCACTTGAAAGCAGATAGATGTGAATTTCTTTTTTTTAAAAAATTATTTTAGCTTATTTTTCTGCACTGAATACCGGATAGATATTCACGACATCAAGCATGACGTCGCGATATTTTATGACGTCGTTCTTAAAAATGTTACATTTTGCGATATAAAAGCAATTATCCACATTTAAATTACGCGAAAACTAACCCGAAGACATATTAATTTTTTCACATTGTTTTATTTCAAATCAATCCTTTGTTAAAATACCAAAGGGAAAACAATTTCGTCTGCACCATTTAAAAGTTATTGATATTTTTTGAAACAAAATCTTGCCTCAAAATGAGCCGAAAATGACGTTTTTCTTATATAATTCAATAGAATAACGTCAAAAATGTAACGACAACAATGGCATGTTTGGGATTTAATTACACAAAAAGGATGCAGATGAATTTTATAAAATTTTCAGAGAATATAAAACGAAGGTAGAGGATTCATATAACTAATTTTCATGGTATGTTTTCGGACACTTTTAAATGGCCCGCAAACCCGCGACCTACGTTAAGAAATTAAGGGATGTATTTTTTGTGAAACCTCTTATTAATTTAAAATCAAATTTGAGATTGACCATTGGGAGACAAAAAACCCACTCAATCCATTATTTATGGAAGCAATAAATTTACATGGAAAATAATGTCTTAAATTTGGGGGAGGGGGGGGGGGGAGGGAATCTGACAATTTCCAAATGGGACCAGGTTCTTTCACAGGACCCAGGTGTGGAGCATATTAACCGCTGTAAACAAGCTAGAGTCTACACTGCAAAAAAATGCTTACATTTTACTGTAATTGTGACCATTCTGTTCTTGAAAAGAATAAGTGTAAAAACTCTATCCAATAAATTTCCATGTAAAATTTCCTACTATGACCCCACCCAAGTACAAGGGGTCATGATCTGCTAAACTTGAGAGGAAACTTTCAAATTTAAGTTGTTTTTTTCTTGAGAATAAGTTTCTAAAATGATCTTTTCAGTATTTCTTAATCATCTCCCCTTGAAAAATGGCAATTGCTTTCATTTAAAGAAACTTGAATATCAGTTACCAATCAATGCTTTTGGTTGATATTGGTCAAGTGGTTATGGAGATCACTCTAAAACATATCTGACTTTCAGCAACACTCCCTACAACACCTATGACCTTACCTACTGTGAAACTCTCTACAACACCTGTAACCTTATCTACTGTGACACTCTCTACAACACCTGTGACCTTACCTACTGTGACACTCTCTACAACACCTGTGACCTTATTTACAGGTGACACTCTCTACAATACCTGTGACCTTAACTTACTGTGACACTCTCTACAATACCTATGACCTTAACTTACTGTGACACCCACTGAAACAACTACTGACACTCTAAACATCTGAGGACCTACATGCTGTATTTGATCTGGATCATACTTTTTTCCTTACATAAATATACTGCTAGCAGTTTGACAGCAGGCTATTCTAGCCCACTAGTGTATATGACACTTTTTACAGCATTTGTAAACTTACCTATTGCAACACTCTCCAGAACACCCTGTGTGACAAGTCTTTGTCGCAAGTCTCCATCTATACCTGTTGTATTGACAGTGTCGAATACTGGAGCTGTAAAAAGCAATGTCAATTTCTGTACAAGGACATCTGCCCCCGATAATATATGGACAATAATGGAAATACCCAATAGTTAACTGATGCTAATTGTAGATTTTTTTTAAACTTCGAAATATTTAAAAGCATGTCAGACATTTATAAACAGACAATTTTAATAAATATCTCTATCAGTCAAACAAACATGAAAATACATCTTTCTTACCATAATTAACTTGTCCATTTGCTACTACAAACAGTCCTGTGAATACAAAGTTATAAACAAGTTAATGTTAAATATCATTATATACTTTATTATACACAATTTTTAAATTTACATATTCCTATCACTGTATCAATAGGAATATGAATAGGCAATGATTAACATAGCCATTTGCACTTCAGCTACATTGTATCTAAGCTTTCTTTTTGAAAACTGCACCAGCATTTAATAATGCTATTTAAAGCAATATGAGCTGCATTTTTGAAAATTTAATTTTGCTGTTAAAATGTGCTGTTATGATAAATCTGTATGTAATTTTACCTTTTATGATCAAATAGACTAAAATAAAGTAGTAATTTTTTTCAGAAGAAAGATTTCTGTTCAATGAAATGTATCAGAAATCAATATTGTACAGGACGACAATAATGTAATTTTGCTTCAATCAAAGCTTATAAATAGTTCTTCCATTGCAAACATGAACAACGAAAGTTTATAAGCATTCTTTTTTTTTTTTTTGTCATTGAAATAGTTAATTACAATATTGCAACAAATATTTCCGACATCAAAGTTGCAGCTCATATTGCTAGTGTCTACAGGAAACATGGACCCCGCCATTACTTTATCAAGTGCTCTAACCACTGAACTATTCAGATCATAGGTGCTTGGTTTCAGAACCTTTAAAAAAAGTCTAGAAAGGTCAGAAACATTCAAACTGCTCCAAACTTGTTCTCTCTAGACTTTCCGATCATAGGTGCTTGGTTTCAGAACCTTTAAAAAAAGTCTAGAAAGGTCAGAAACTGCTCCAAACTTGTTCTCTCTAGACTTTCCGTGTAATTCTGGGATGTTTCTACATTTTACATAGTCAGAAATCGTCACTTCTGTTGCTTTCAGTTTCAGTGCTAGATATCGAGGATGTTTTAATTTACTGCATGTTTTATATGGCAAGTTCAAATCAGCAGACGATAGAAAGGCATTATTTAATCATTTTTGAAGCTAGATCTCACCTGACACTGGTAGGAAAAGTGAAGATATTGATTAAAATCAAGTGTGAACTGAGGCACCCCTTTAAATCCAAGATGGCAACTGTCATACCTTCACTCTTTTTATATACAGTTATGTTATTTTTTTTATTAGGTGCTAATTTCAGCAATTTTTGATTTTTAATTTACAGAGTGTATTCAGACACACCTAGCAAAACACATAATACACAAAACCATCCTGAAACCAAGTGCCTATGATTATAAGACTGATGCATGCCAACAGTCCATAGGGTAGGGTGGTGTAATTTTGAACGATTATTTTTTTTTGTACTTAAGTTTTGTTCAAGAGTGTCACTGTCTGTGTATATGCTAGAGCCATAATTACTGGACATTTTTTTTCCTTTGGAATATACATTGTTTTTATGTATTTATCATCATAATGTGAAATAATATGAAATAAATATGTTCGATTTACATGATTTGTGTGTTGGATAATTCCAAGCATTAATTAAGCATGCATATATAGACTTTATAAATCTAATGAACAATGTAAAACACCAATACTGGCAGATTTGAGTGAATAAATGTCTTTACCAGCAACCAGGAGGAGCATCTCCATGTCTTCCCGACAATGTCGACTCTATAAGATAAAAAAACACGATGTTTAATTTTGCCATGTTTAATTAATAATTATTATTATTAAAGGTGAGTTGAAATATGCGACTGTAGTTTATATTCAATAAATGTACTGATTGATCAGTATAAAATGTTAACATACTTTACTTTATACCCATTTATTTGGGTGTTCATGTTCTAAATGAGACATGTGTTCTCTAGTATCGTGAGATGTGAAACTGTGACGAATATTAATACATCCAATCCAAAGAAATAAGTAATTTCTGCATTTTGTGATATCGTCAACTGATTCTACGAGCTTACCTCTAATTGGTGTCAACTTCACACCCGATGATGAAAATCTTAGAGAAGTCCTGTGTATTGACCAGGTAAGAAAAACCGGTTTTTCAAGTTTAAATATAGCCCCGTTGTTATTATTTTCATTCATCCCGCCTACATTGAAAATGTAATAATTTCAGATGAAGAATTATAATTTTATCAAAACGAAATAGATTAACTTTTTTGTAATAATAAGTCATAATAAAATTTATTGCACTCAAAAATATATTAAACTTATTTTTTGTAGATAAGATGATGTTTAATTTTTATTGATTCCAATTTTGTTTGATGAGATACTTATTATCACATTCTTCGTTTTGGTAGAGAAAACTCCTATAAACAATTATCAGGTAAGAGGGCACATGTCATGTATATTCATTAAGTTACAGGTAGATACGCCTTTGTAAACCAGTCTTGAGGATAAAAATAGAAATCCTAAAGCATGTCTACAGGGCGGTGAGCATAAATATACTGGGTAAGTACACTACATGTATTTCATACATCTTTTCATGTATTTTGTAAATTCAGAAACGGCTGGGTTTTTTTTTACCCCATTTCCAAGAGAATTAAATTGCTGCTGATTCAGTGATCCTTTGAGCTGCTTAATAAGAGACCTAGCTACTCCCAGTATGCAGGTTAGATTATTTCAAATGAAGACTTATAAACATGTATATCAGTTCAAATGAACACTTATTTACAGCTATATCAGTTAAATTGTTTAATTTTGTCAGTGAAGTGATGTCTGTGTAATTAAAGGCAGGTATAGGTGGTATCAATTAAGTCAATTTGTGACCTGACAGACTCATAACCAAGTCATAACCAAGTCAACTCGAAGCACAAACCAAACACATCAACTCGCAACCAAACAGCAAAGTCAACTTGTATATAAAAATATAGGCTTTTATAGCAAGACCCTAGTTACGAGTTCATAGTTGGTTTTTGTGGGGATCGAGAAGTCAAGTTGTACCCTTAGATAGAGGCAAAATTATCATGTCTCCTGTCTGGTTTTGAGTTGACTGTAGAGTTTTGAAGTGTTTTATATTGTTATCATAGTTTAACTAACATAAGATTTTCATATGAAATAAATATTGGAAATATAGATCTACTTTTAATGTAATTGTGAGTTATAGCACAAAAAATATGTACTTGCAGATTTCTTGCATGAAAAACTTGAAACATCCCCCCTTTTTTTTCTTCTTTTTTAAAGGTTTTCGGTCATTTATGACAAATTATATTGTTTCTCCATGCTTTCTCAGGTTTATTTAACATTTTCATTTATACAAATAAGTAATCATGTTTAATATCAATGTGCATTTGTTAAATGTATATAATTGAAATATATCATTTACACTAAGTTATGAATCATTGTAATGTTCTATGAAGGAGTCAACTTGTAAGCAGTCTTCATGGTTACAAGTTCAACAGACTTTTGCCTTTTGGTTAGGAGTTGATGTATTGGTTTGCAGTGACTGTCAGAAATGTATATTAAAATCTGTGTCCAGTTTAATTGTAGCTTTTTGATAGATAAATATTGGAAGTTGAAACTCCAAAGAAAGGTTGTTTTGTCATAACTTTGACCCAAAGTTATTTTCAGGCAAGTTCAAGGTCACACACGAAAAATGTGTAAAATTGATGATCAATTAAGAACTTTGTAATAGAAGAACATAGGAAGTTCATACTTTACCCAAAATTAATTATGATGAGAATGTATGTCATTTTGTTGAACCAAAGTTATATGGACACTTTAAATTAATTGCAGCAGGGTAATTAATTTTTACCCTCACAGTACCTCTAGATTTGAAATATTGATTGAAATATTTGATTTGAAATATCAATTGAAATAATAGTACTCAAACAATGGGAGAATATTAAGTTTTTAATTATATAATTTAATTTATTTTTATGTCATATATTAATTGAAACTTCTGATAATTTTTTATATACTTTTAAAATAAAAGGTGTTTATTCATTTACATTGTTACATAATGGCCCTTCACAACTGGGAAAGACAAACATGTGTTAATAAGCAACAATAAGACTGTTGCTGCTTAACTAAAATTTGCTCATGCATATTAAAAATTAGATGCTCTAAAGCTGCAATAATCACAGTTTAATTTAAGCAGAGAAAGTATATCATATATTATGTATCTGCTAAAATATTTGTTGAGAATCTCACAGCATGCAATATGCCTTTTGCACTTCATTTCTTTGTTTTTTCAGGGCAGAAAACTGAAAAACAGGATGTGGCTATCATTGGTGATTGGTCTCTGCACCATTAGTGCCCTTGCTATGTTGGGTATACATGTTTTTTTTGAATATGATATTTATGATAAGATTTAACTTTTAGGGTTATGTGTAAATTCAATCTGAATACTTATTACTTTTTGTCAAGGAAGTCGTTTTAGTATGATCTAACGGATAATTTTAAAGAAGAACCACAAGTCAGATGCATTTTGTTATGCTTATTTATTTATTAAACTATTGCAGTAAGAGGTCAGGAACCTCCCACATGGATCAATGACATGAATGCATTAAGAATCGAAGAGAATACAGCAGTGGGTAAGTAATGGTACAAGCCATGCAGGTTGTACTGTCAACTGTGTCAAAACAATGTTTACTTAATATATAATTTTTTAAGTTTCTGCTCCATTTTTTACATAGTAAGAATATTGTTTTTTTTGAAAGAGGATGAAAAATTGTACAGTAACTGATATTGTGAGGGAAATTACCATTTTAACCATGTATAGTTTGAACATGAAAGAATATGTTGTAGCAACCATTTTCCTATGATTTTAAAATTAGCAAATTTAAAAGTTTCATCAATAATTTTGTTTAGATGTTAGATCATGGTGTTTGAATTAAACCTTATATTTTATGATGTAAATAATGTCTTATAAAACACTTTAATTGTAAATTATTTGGCAATTAATTCTGGAAGACAGGAAGAACTTACTTTCAAAACCATGGAAGATATATTGCTTTCTTTGCAAATCTGATAGTGAAGACAGATTTCAGTCTTAGGCAGTAATCGTGTAAATCAACTATTTATTTGGATAAATATATTTTTAAAAAGGGCTTTAAGATTAGAAATTGTGATTTGATTTTAATTCAGATTTTCCACATTTGATGTATTCACTCATAAACATGTACAAACACAAATCAACCGACCTATTTGCTTCTAAATTTCACTGACATTTTACATACCAAATATTTTTGATTTATTTAATATATTAGTAAAAATCAATTTGTCAATTTTCTTTGGCATGTACTGATATTGATATTTTTTGTGCAGGGATGGAGGATGAATAATTATGTATGTATAAGATTTAAGTCTTTTGCTGTAAGTGAGATGAAATTGACTATTAATTTTTCTGTATATGTGTTAATAGGAACTGTTGTATATACACTATTGGCCCAGGGAGGGGGACCTGATGGTATCACCTATGATATGCTAGAAACAGATAAATTCATTGTCAACAGAGCAACAGGTGAAGTAACATTGAGGAGGCTGCTGGACTATGAGGTAATTTAAATGTATTTTAATTTCATATGCCCTTTTGGGGGGTCAGAGGTCAAGGTCAGAATTTATGTATTGTATGTAATGGTCTCTATATGATAACTTCGATTCGATTTGAGCTTATGCAATGAATTTTTATATCATAAGTTAACTTTGTATGAGTTAATAAAGTAGACCCCATTGATTTTGAGGCTAAAAAATCAAGGTAAGAAATAAAGAAGGTAATAAGAAAGGGGATGCTTACTCCTCCATGGTACCTGATCCCATCTCTGATGTTTTAGAGGTCAGTATTTGCTCTGCTCCCAATTTATATTGTTTCAATGGACCTGTGAGCTTGATTACTGTTCATAATCTCCATATTTCATTCATATATATTGAATCGAATGGTTTTCAGATGATAAGAAGTTCTCTGTGACTTTTCACAATCAAACTGAAGTGGTAACTCTCTTTAGCTTAAAAAGGGACCTCTATCAAATTTGAGGTCAAAAGATTAAAGGTCAAGGTCATTCCTTCAATTCTTTTTAGGTCTTCCAGCCACTTACTCTGTCCCTTAGTAGTGAACATAAATTCATGGAATAATCTTGTTGAATTTTACAGTCAATTCAAAATGAAGATCCATTTTGTGGATTTTTTTTTCAATAGAATGAATTAATGATTTGTTTATATGGAATTCAAACCCATGTGATTGAGATAGTTAGAATAGAAATTGATTTTATGTACATAAAATGGTATATCCTTATGTATTGTAGACAAACCCAACTTTACTAGTTACAGTGAAAGCCACTGGCAGCAATGGATTAGTGGTAATTAATAAGTCTTTAAAAATTATGATAGTTGTAACCTGTAACTACTAAATAAATATTTTTTTAAGGTAACAAATACTTGTACCAATACATGTATCAGTATCTTAATGTGACTTAAAATTTGTATGCCTGACAAAGACTAACACACATTGAAAAAAAATAATATGATTGAAGAAAGTTTAAGAAAGAAAAGTAGGATAAATGAAAAAGCTTGTGTTCAGGTAGTTTGATTATTATCAATTAATGATTTGTGGTGATTGTCTTCAATTATAGGCTCAAAGGCAGTCCAGAGTCGTTATCATTGATGCTAATGATGAACCACCCGTATTTGCTAGAGACACACTGACAGCACAAGTGTCTGAGGTGAGTTATGATTTTCAAATGCATGTAGAATATTACTCAATAAGCATGAAACTTAACTGATTTTTTGATATGGCGGAATCATTGATTTAAAAATATAAATGATATTGAATGAGCTAACAAAATTTCATCCAGATTTACCAGACATACTGGTAATTGTATGCTCCCTTTTTTTAATTTTGGAAATTACATAAATTTAAGCAACTACAGCTAAACTTCGAAATCTCGAACATGGATATCTCGAATACCCTGGATATGTCGAAGTAAGGCCACGGTCCCGACGAAATTTGCTTTATAAATGATTAAATAAACCCCTCTATGTCGAACACGGTAATGTCGAACACCCCGGTTATCTCGAAGTAAAATTGTGTACCCATTCATTAAAATCACATGCGTTATCTCGAAGTCAGGACAATTTTCCGCTCTGATGATCAAGTCCGTTAGGTAAACTGAACGCGTTATTGATAATACCTACCTGTCTGTCACGCTCGGGTTACCTGTGTTCCTGTGATCAACAGATAATAGCGCATTAATTATACGAAGTGTATGTATGGCTTACCTTGATTGTAATTATGCAAGCCAAAGGTTGTGTGTATTAGTCTAATGCATACGCGTGGATGACACGTTAATTGTTTTGTGGCTTGGGTACGTTTATCTTGATAATCGCTATTTAATGCTATGTGAAATAGACGTGCATACATAGTTTATGGATATGAAAGTGAAAATTATAAACATCGAAGTAAAACAAAATTTTGTAATTTAATGCAATTAGAATTTATTTTCCCTATATGAGCGTGCAGAATTTACAATCATCTGTACACACCACCATGTGAGCATGTGTTGCAGTGAAAACTTGTGCTATAGTGCCCTGTGATTCAGTGTTGTTCTGTTGTTAGACAAAAGTGCATGATTCTTCTTTTGCATTTGATTTTATTATGGTAAAATAATTTTCTTTTAACTGATTTTACATGTGTGAACATGTTTTTCCAATAAAAGAAAATGTATATTTCGTTTGCTAGAGGTTGACTTGCCGCGTTGGTAGAAGGATTATACTTCTGTGCATATTATACAAGCCTTTTATTTTGTAAATCATAAAGAGGATGTAATTTTTTTTTGGATTGCTAAATACATGTACATGTATATTAAAGAAATCGTATACAGAATTTCGAACAAGAAGGAATTTGACATGTTCTTACTATTAAGTACATGTTCATTGCACTAAGTTTATTTGAAGTTCATTTGAATTATAACCCTCGATATGTCGAACCCCCGGATATCTCGAAGTTCATCAACGGTCCCGTCAACTTCGAGATAACGAAGTTTAACTGTATTGATAAAAAATATAAATAATTACATGTATTATACAGTTTAATAACACTTAAAAATTATAAGTTAAAAATTCATTATATGGTATTTGTGATATAGATGTAGGCCATAACCTTTAATAAATTAACCCCCTATCCCCACCCCTTTTCGATGGGATTACTGACAACACTTTACAGGTAAAGAACATCTAAGCTGAAAAATAACAGTAGCTGAACCAGTCATGGTGTAAACACAGTTGCAGTTAGTACTGTATTCAAAACCTGCAGTTACACAGAAAGGATTAACAAACCATGTAGGGGATGTGGTCTAATAACTGTACTGTACCTCAACCATCACCTCAGGGTCATTGGTGGGGTTGGTATTGCATGGGGTTACGTGTATATAGTTGATAGCTGCAGAATTTCATGGCTATGCTAAGGTCCATAAATCTTATTTTACATGTCTGTTTTGCTCAGATTTTGAAGAAGTATTTTTTTAATCTTAGGATGCAGGAATTGGTACAACAGTGTATATCAACCTCCGAGTCACTGATGTTGACACATCTAACACTGGTACAATTACGGTGAATTGTAATGTTACCAAAGCGTTAGCTAGTCCTGTAAGTATGCATTATCATGTAGGAAGATTATAAGGTACATGTACTTGATTTTTTGTTAATATAAGAATTTTGAGATTTTTCTTTTTTTTTTTTTCATTTGTTTTTCTAGTACGTTGATGTTTGTAACAAGTTTAAACTAAGTCGTCAGACATCTTCCAACAAGGATTGGAATGGATTTATTTATTTAGATGGAACTCTGGATTATGAAACTAGACCATTTTACCAGATGCCTCTAACAGCTTTTGTAAGTACTTGATGACATTCACCGTAAACTACAGGGCCTTAAAATACTACCACATTTGTCTCCCCTGACAGCTCATGATTTTTTCTATGCTCAGATGAAGGATGATGGGACTTTTTCCTGACCCCCAAAAAGTGAATGACATCTTAAGGGTTGGTCCAGTAAAAATAAAAGGAGATGAAACACTTAGAATAGCTAGATAAAAAAAAAAACATTTATGAACTTGACCTTTGAAGAACCCCACCCTCATAAGTTAAACCCTAATTTTGAATGGAAGAGCCCAAACCTAATCTTGAATAAAAGAAATATTAGATTGTTTTTGTTTTCTTCTTTGCTAGGATGGTGTACACTACACAGACAGAAGTTTAGAAATAACAGTGTTGAATGTCCAGGATGCCCCACCCAGATTTATTATAGCCAATGATGTTAACAAACCAGAAGGATTACCAGCGGTAAACTTACCTCCCTTCTCATTTAATAGTTTTACAAGAAATGTTTGTCAAGAAATTTATGTATGCAGATCATTCAAAGTTCTTCAAAGATCAAAGATTCAAAATATCTGCAAAATATTTAAAATAATCAGATTATAAACTACATGTATCACTGGTTTAAATGCTTGCTGTTTGTGATGACAGGGCACTAATTTGAACTATGTGAAAGCAGTAGATGGAGACACAAGCAATCCAAGAGACATTCAATATTATTTTACAAGAAGTAAGTTTTACAATAAATTAAATAATTTGAATATTTGAACCAGCATGCATTGATTTATATTTTCACTCAGTGATTGGAAGTATTTTATATTGTGTTTTGTTATTGCAATACTTTTTCTCTTCAAGGACATATGAAATGCATTTTTGTTTTTTAGTTTTATAAGTTGTGCAGAATTAAGAGGAAAAGATGTTCATAATTGAGGTACATAATTAGCCCTTTCCTATGGAAGGAAAAGTCCTGAATGATAATTGGGATCCCATGCCAAGGGGGGTGCCCTAAAATTATCAGCCGATCTGTCTGTCAGTCCATCTGTTAACATTTATGTAAAATGATAACTTGAGCACTTGTTAACCTACAGACTTCATATTTGCTATATTTACATAGCTGAAGGATAATTAGTGGATGACAAAGTTTTTAGGTTACTTAAGTAGTCAAAGATCAGGGTAAAAGTCAAAATAGTATATCTTAGAGACTTCATACATGCTACAGTAACATATATTGAGGCAAAGAATGTTAGTGAAAGACACCTGTAGTTTTTGGGTCACTTGGTCAGAGCTCAAGGATATTGATATGATGCAATAACTTGGACATTTCGTAATATAAATATTTCAAATTTAGTGTTTAGATGGGGAAGGAGATGTAGTTTTTGGGATCGCTTGGTCAAGGTCAAGATTATTCATGATCATTGTGTTGCAATATCCAAAATATTTTGTAATCAACAGACTGTGAAGGTGGGAGAATGATGAGAGAAAAGAATCTAGAGATTTTGAGGTCACTGCCAAAGGTTAAGGTCAATGTATGAAGATTATTGGTATTATCTTTGTGATGTAAGGCCAAAGGGCCAAGACCATTGATACTGTTATTTCTTATTTAAGTGATTCAGTATACTAAATATGGAATTTTTAAAAAAAATAATGTAAACCACTTTGACCTTTGAATGAATAACTTACAATATTTTAAAGTTTATTCCTCTGACCATTATTTACCAATGTAGAGTCATCCAAAGGTCAAAGTGGTTTATACTCACATGACCACATTTTGATATGATTAAAATTTTTATTATATTCCAACATGCAGGCTTCTTATTCATGAATAAAAAATAGAAACCTTTACTGATTCTTGGGTATATTGGTAAAAAAATTAAGATTATTAATTTAAATAACCTTGTTTGACTTTGTCAGTTATCTAAAACTTTAACCAAACTTTAACTTTGGTCATAACTTTCGAACAGTTGGTGCTAGGGCTTTCATACTTCACATTTGTATTTCTTGTGACAAGACCTTTTCTTGCGCACCATTAATTTTGACCTTGACCTCGACATTTGACTTACTTTTGAAAAACTTTAACCTTGGTCATAGCTTTCGAACAGTTGGTGCTAGGGCTTTCATATCTCACAGGTTTACTCCTTGAGACAAGACTTTTCTTTGGTTATCAACATTTTCAATCTCTTGACCTTGACTTTAAAGTTTGATTTGTATTTGAGAAACTCTCATCTTCACCATACGCTGCTATATGGGGGCATCATTGTTTCACAAACACATCTTGTTTTAAGCTAAAAAACTGATAATGATATAATTTAAATGCATCTGGTTTCGCAAAACAGAAAGAGAGGAAGACTTTCCCAGAGTCTTTCCATTATTTTAATTGTGCACAGTGAACATTGATTTATATATTTTACCATTTTAAGTTGGTATATTATGTTTTGATTCATTTCTTTTTGTTTGTTTGTTGTTTGTTTATTCATGTAGTTATTTACATTGTTTATTAAATTATTTTTTTGATATTTAGTTCAATGATTTTTTCTTTTCACAATTTTCACTTCATTTACAGATGGTAAGTGTACAGCACATTACAGTTTTCTCCCCTTTTAAGTTCTAGAAATTGCACCACAGTAAGCTTAATTTAACATTAATGGCCAATTTTTTTTTACCTTATAATTACTAAAAATAATTGCAGTGGTAAGGAGAAGGAATAAATATTGAACAACTCTTATGTTTTCAAGAGTTGGTCTGCCTAAACTTTCTAAGTGTTAAGTTTTCGGGGTTTGTTGGTTTGGTAAAATGGAATGTAGTTTATTTAGACTGCTAATTTTCTTTGACCTTTGGATTTTTGTGTATTTTTTCAGTGTTGTGTGCTCATATTTTCTTATGAAAATGAGTCTTTGTTGTCAGATATAACATTGCACATTTATTTATAAATATTGTTTATTCTTACAGTAAAATTAATACCTCAAATTATCTTATAAACTAATATTTATTAATTACTTTTTTATTTCTGTTATATACAATATTACATGTATAGGATCTTTAGAGAATTTGAAACTGTTTATTTTGCCAAAGACAAGAATTTAAGAGTTTATGCAAATGGTAAAGTAATGATCCATTGTCCAACCTGTATGATCTCTCTGTCTATTTCTTTATTTATAGAAACAATTTTTCAAAATTTTGTCCAATGTAAAGAAAACTAGGTTTACTACTAAAAGATACATGACTCTTGTTATTATTTTTTTTTTTAAATTTCAATAAATGATGCTATCAGTGAAAACCACCTACTTCTACAAGTTTTGTAAGATTTCAGTACATTTTGGTATTAAATGATACAAGCTATATACATGTATTTAAAAAAAAGATCAAAGGTTTAGTCAGGATCATTTGTTAAATTAATTCAAATTTAACTTCTCCGTCAATATTTGTCTGATTTTATTAGGCAATATTTCTGCAAGTGTCACCTTTTTTATTTCAAGAAAAATAATTCTTTGAATTAATTTTGGAATATGATTGTGAGAATGTTATTTAAGGTAGACTTCAGTAAAACAGGCTATATAACAGCTCACAGACAGCTAAATCTAAAAAATAAAATAATAGCACATTCAAAATTATCTATTTTTAATTTCATTTTACACCAAGAGAACATAATTATTTGATCACATGAGATTTTATTGACAAATCTCTAAGATTTAAGGTACCAGCTAGTAGTTTCCTTTTTCAACCATACCTAACAGTGTAGATAAGGGGATACATGTATACATACTTTTTTAGCTCACCTGAGCTGAAAGCTCAAGTGAGCTTTTCTGATCACCCGTTGTCCGTCGTCCGTCCGTCCGTCTGTCCGTCCGTCCGTTTGTAAAGTTTTCACATTTTCAACTTCTTCTCAAGAACCACTGGGCCAATTTTAACCAAACTTGGTACAAAGTACCCTTGGGTGAAGGGGAGTTTAAATTGTTAAAATAAAGGGCCAAGTCCCCTTACAAGGGGAGATAATCAAGAAAAGACAAAAATAGGGTGGGGTCATTAAAAAATCTTCTTCTCAAGAACCACTGGGCCAGAAAAGCTGAAACTTAAGTGGAAGCATCCTGGGATAGTGTAGATTCTAAATTGTTAAAATCATTACCCCCGGGGGTAGGGCGGGGCCACAATAGGGAATCCAAGTTTTACATTGAAATATATAGGGAAAATCTTTAAAAATCTTCTTCTCAAGAACCACTGAGCCAGAAAAGCTGAAACTTAGGTGGAAGCATCCTTGGATAGTGTAGGTTCTAAATTGTTCAAATCATGACCTGCGGGGGTAGGGCGGGGCCACAATAGGGAATCCAAGTTTTACATTGAAATATATAGGGAAAATCTTTAAAAATCTTCTTCTCAAGAACCACTGGGCCAGAAAAGCTGAAACTTAGGTGGAAGCATCCTTGGATAGTGTAGGTTCTAAATTGTTCAAATCATGACCCCCGGGGGTAGGGCGGGGCCACAATAGGGAATCCAAGTTTTACATTGAAATATATAGGAAAAATCTTTAAAAATCTTCTCAAGAACCACTGAGCCAGAAAAGCTGAAACTTATGTGGAAGCATCCTGGGGTAGTGTAGATTCTAAATTGTTGAAATCTCGACCCCCGAGGGTAGGGCAGGGCCACAATAGGGAATACAAGTTTTGCATTGAAATATATAGGAAAAAACTTTAAAAATCTTCTTCTCAAGAACTGTTGAGCCAGAAAAGCTGAAACTTATGTGGAAGCATCCTGGGGTAGTGTAGATTTTAAATTGTTCAAATCATGACCCCCGGGGGTAGGGCAGGGCCACAATAGGGAATACAAGTTTTACATTGAAATATATAGGAAGAATCTTTAAAAATCTTCTTCTCAAGAACCACTGAGCCAGAAAAGCTGAAACTTATGTGGAAGCATCCTGGGGTAGTGTAGATTCTAAATTGTTAAAATTATGACCCCCGGGGGTAGGGCGGGGCCACAATAGGGAATACAAGTTTTACATTGAAATATATAGGAAGAATCTTTAAAAATCTTCTTCTCAAGAACCACTGGGCCAGAAAAGCTGAAACTTAAGTGGAAGCATCCTGGGGTAATGTAGATTCTAAATTGTCAAAATCATGACCTGCGGGGGTAGGGCGGGGCCACAATAGGGAATACAAGTTTTACATTAAAATATATAGGAAGAATCTTTAAGAATCTTCTTCTCAAGAACCGCTGAGCCAGAAAAACTGAAACTTATGTGGAAGCATCCTGGGGTAGTGTAGATTCTAAATTGTTCAAATCATGACCCCGGGGGTAGGGTGGGGCCACAATAGGGAAACATTGAAATATATAGGAAAAATCTTTAAAAATCTTCTCAAGAACCACTGGACCAGAAAAACTGAAACTTATGTGGAAGCATCCTGGGGTAGTGTAGATTCTAAATTGTTCAAATCATGGCCCCCGGGGGTAGGGCGGGGCCACAATAGGTATTACAAGGGGGGAAGTCTGGTAATGAACAGCATGGCCAAATTTACTCAGGTGAGTGATGTGGCCCATGGGCCTCTTGTTTGTTTTCCATAACCTCTTTTTAAAAACCATAACCAGTAGAGCTTCAGTCTTGGTTTTTGGTTTTTGTTATATTAATTCTGTGTAATATTTTATTATGCTTAAACAATGCTTCCTTTTATGTATATTATTTAATATTTTTTAAAAGCACAAATTATTACTTTTCAGTGTAGGATTTTTAGCTCATATGTGCTGAAGGTTCATTTGAGCTTTTCTAATCAAAATTTGTCTGTTGTCTGTCATTGACAATATAAACTTTTCACAACATCATCTTCTCCAAAATACTGGGCCAATTTCAACCAAAATTTCCACAAGGCATCCTTGAGTGAAGGGGATTCAAGTTTTTGTATGAAGGCCACATCCTTTTTCAAGAGGAGATAATTAAGAATTAGTGAAAATTTAATGGCACCTTTCAAAAGTCTTCTTCTCAAGAAACATTAGGCCAGAAGAGTTTAAACTTATTTGAAAGCTTTATTACAAAATCTACATTCAGGTTTGTTCAAATCATGAGCCCCAGGGGTAGGATGGGGCAATAATAGTTGATCAAAGTTTTACATACTGGTATGCATAGAAAAAAAATCTTTAAAAATCTTTTCTCAAGAAAGGTAAAGCCAGGAATAGACATATTAATACTGAAGTATCCTCAGGTAGCGTAGATTTAAGTACTCAAGTACCCCAAGGGGTAGGGTTGGGCCACAATAAGCAATCAGAGTTTTACATAGGATATAGGGGAAAAGGTCTTTAAAAATCCTCTTCTCAAGAACAGCAAATGCATGATTTAAGTCATATTGATATGGAAGAATCTTCAGGTAGTGTAGATCCAAGTTTGTTCAAATTATGACTTCCCAGGTAGTTGCTGGCCACAATAATGATCAAAGTTTTACTTAGGAATGTATACATGATAAAGGAAAAAGGTCTTTAAAAATCTTCTCAAGAACAGCCAAGGCATGATTAGTCATATTGATACTAAATCAGCCTCAAGTAGTGTAGATGATTTTTTTTTCAGATCATGACCCCTTTGAGTAGATTAGGGCCACAATAGGCAATCAGAGTTTTACATAGGAATATATATTGGGAAAAAATCTGCTGTTGAAGAACAATAAGTTATATATAAATAGGACTTAGGTGAGCATTGTAGCCAAAGAGCCACTTGTTTTTTTACCCTCTTTTCATCATTTTTTTTAGAGTAAAGTCAGCTTAAATAGGTCTTCATCTGTATGATTTACTTAATTACCAGTTATTATAACAGTTTTACAAATTCAACTCAAACTACATATGACACATCATAATGGTTTCTTAAATACATTCTTCATTTGACGAACCTTTCATTTTTATAGGATATGGAATAAGAACTGCTTTTTTTAGTCTCATTCCTATTTACTCAAAGTGCTGTGTGAAGGAGACTTACATGTTGAGCTTTCATAAATGTTCTTTCTCTCTCCAATGCATTATTTTCAGTCTTGAGTGTACATAGTATATCAGATAATTTAAGACTGATTTTTTTTAGAACACATGAATACAAAGTACAGTGTATTTACAATAAAATAGATAGGAAACTTATAATACTTATTGCTGGTTAAGGAGTAAATATCATCAGTTGATTTCTATCTGAGTAATCTAGATTATATTCATTTGTTAGGTGTAGTGGATATGGTTTGACAATTTTTCTTGCAATTTTAATTCGGAACACGATTTTTGCATGCTGCGACAAGGTTTGCAGACTGCATATTGCTTTAGTTAGTTGAACGCTTTTAGAATAACAGAGCTTTATCAAATTAAATAAAAAAAATTTTTTTGAAAAGCATAAAAATTGAAATTAAAAATCACAGAAAAAAAAAAATGCAAGCAATGAAAGTATGTACTTGAAACTGTCATGCAAGCTGAATGGTGAATATACATGTACTGTTTTTAATGGTCAGTTTCTAAAAAGCTTTAAAAAAAAAATAAAAATTATAAAAGCAGATTTATTTCAAAAACAAGCAAGTACTCTTCTTAAAATCAATTGCCTTGGTAGTTAAGTAAAAAATATAATTAAGAATCTGTTAAAATGAATTAAAAATGAATTTGATGTCTGACAATTTACATACCTCATGATAAGAAATGTTGAAAAAAAACCTTAATTGTTTTAGATATCCATTGTCTAATAAGCTAACAATGTCATTTATATTTTTTCTTGCAGCTACTGGAACCAAATTTGCAATTGATCCCATAACTGGAAATATAACTAATACAATCCCTTTGGATCGGGAAAGTCCAGAATTTTCCAGGGGTCATGAAGATTTGGGCATCATTGTAAGTAATAGAATACCGGTATACTGTTGTGTAAGATGATTTCATGTTACAATTAACCAACTCCAACCAATTCAGCAACGGCACAAAAATTCTTGTCTTTTATTTATGCGTTTCAATTTGAAATAAAAGTCCTTACCTCAAAGATGTCAATCTCTCATTTTTTGAATATCTGTGGGAAAGATTTACATATTTTACATTTGTGTGATGTTCAAAAATTCAATTCCAAATGCCTTTTTTTAGAGAAGTCTGTTCTCTACTTAAAACTTATCATCCTTTTTATTTTTCATTTATTTTCAATTATGGTAATACATAAAGTCAACATTCCTACAATTGATTGAAATGATATAGTATGAATTCTTGTCAGTTATGTCACCTTAATTTGTTCATAACTAAAAGACAACCAACCATATGAATGTAATTGCTCAGTTCCCACTACCAATAAAAAAAAATATATGAAGTGATGTCCAACCCTCCAATACACTTTTTTCAGGAATAGACCTCATGCTTATGTTTTAATTTTCATTATATTTATTGCTAGTCTTGTACAGGTTAATGCTCATCAAAATATTTTTAGGCACGTGAAGTCATCAGTTTAAACCCACTGGTGCTGGGAGATGATGATCAAACAACAGCTAGAACTACAGTTCGCATCAACATTTACGATATCAACGACCAGGCACCAACCTTTAACCCTGTCAACTACCAAGTATCCATTCCTGAGGATACCCCAAACAAAACCCCCCTGCCTAACCTGAGTCTGAGTGTTACTGATTTAGATGTCGTAAGTTTTCATCAAATTCTGTCCTTAGATTCTAGCAAATAATCTTGCAAATATGGATTTAAAATTCTTCAAAGTAAGTGTATTACATACTTCTTTTTATTTTCTTTTGAGAAATGATATTTGATTGTCAGTTTTTGTTCTGTGTTTAATTATTCATAATAACTTATATAGATTTTGATATTTAAAAATTTGATGTCATGTACTCATTAATAATCATACATGTGATTGTATTGGACAGGGACCCAATGGTGTGTACACTCTGACCATGGACCAGTACACAGCTGAGTTTGAAGTCTCCCCTTCTGTTGGACAAGGAAGCACGCCAGCCATTATTCTTGTCAGGAATACCTCCCTCATAGATTACGAAAGGGGACCAAGACAGTACATCATGAGGGTAAGGTGGAATGTGATAAAGAGAAGGGGTCCACTAAAATATATTTGGAGTGAAAGTTAAAACTAAAAACCTCTTGGCAGCCTCTGCAGCTAGCTTAGTCTTATGTTAGATCTTTGGTTGTAGGGGCTGCATGTTCAAATTCTTGTGATTTTCCAGTTCCAATAAGCATTATGTCATTGATTACTCAAAAGGTTATAAATTCTCTCTGATTAATAATGAAGAAAAAAAATCACCATAAACGGTAGGTATTTACTATTTTAGAATTGTTTCCTACAGGTATGTTTTAATGTATGTTGTATTCTTTGTGGAATTAGGTGGTTGCTATTGAGACTCAAAACCAAACAACTAAACAATCAGGAACAGCCACAGTTACTGTGAATATTCTAGATGTCAACGACAATCTGCCACAATTCAATCAACCCAGCTACAGCGAGAACATTCTGGAGACTGCCCCAGGTGGCACCAGTGTCACCAAAATACAGGTATTACCTCCCCTTACTATAAGTGCCAATTGTCTGGAATTTTTCGTTGTGTGATAGAAATTAATGTTTTTTTTGTTAGATATACTTGTTATAGGTGGCTGTTACCTATCAGTTTGTTTCTCTTAAAATTTATTTTTCAATGTTGCTCAATCATTTTTTTTCACTCATCTCAACAAAACTTGGGTATAAGTGTGGACAGCATCAAGATACTTAATTCTATTTACTGATTTTTGATTTTGATAAACAGTGCTGCCATTGGTATTAAAAATAATGTGTGACAGTTTGTCAAAATGCTCCTTTTCCTACAGTTTGGCCTGATTTCATTAAGATTTGGCACATTGGTAGACTACATATATATTATTTTATTTATTGAATTTCAGTTTCATCGAACCTAATTCTTTATATTGGTTTTTGATTTTTGATGAATGATTTGCCATAGTAAAGTAATTAAAGAATAATTTGTCAATTTTTTTTCCCAAATACATGTACTACTTCTCTTATCATTTTGGTCCGATTCTTAAAAAAAAAAATTATTTTCAAGCATTCTATAAATTTATTTTAAAAATAGACATACTAATGATTGATTGTTAATTGCATTAAATGTTGTTTCCATGATAACTAGAAATAAAAATTTTCCTATTGAATAACATAAAATATTGTATCATTGTGTGAGACAATACTGTATCACATTGACTTTTTCAGGCAACAGATCCTGATTCAGGCATTCGTGGCACCAATGGTATTCGGTTTGGCCTGATTGGTGATGGCACAAATCTGTAAGAATTTATATGAAAGGCAATTTAACATGAAGTCCGTATAAAAGATAGAATTTATTGATTCTGTTTGTCAGCTTATTGTTAAAATATATAATTGCCATTCAAATGTTTTGACTTCAGGTTTCGAATCGATCCCTCTTCTGGAGTTGTATTTGTGGAAAACTGTCCCACCCCTGGTGACGGAAATTGTATTGACTACGAGAAAAAGCGACGTTATGATCTGACTGTGACGGCTCGAGACGAAGAAGGATCAGGACAAGCAGTTACTATCAACCTCATCATCAACATCTTGGATGTCAATGACAATGCCCCAGAATTCACAACTGCAGGTATGCTTTGTATGCTTAATCAGTTGAATTAAGTCATAAAAAAGAATGCTTTCCAATTTCCTGCAAATCTTGTAGTCTAGCATACGCAAAGGTACACTCGTCGAACCTTGATTTTGATAGAAAAAAAGACATGATTTCAGTGTAAGTGTATCTTTATTCAGACCACTACAAGTGGACCACATTTTTGTTAGAGATATTTTGTTTTTTGATGCAGAAGTTTACTAAAACATGCATGTTCAAAAAGAATTCACATAATTTTGTTCAGTTACCAATATATAAGAAATGTTCTTATTTTTTCTACAGAATATACCAGTTACATTGAAGAGAGCAAGACAGAGCCTAACCCAGTTGTCATAGTAACAGCCAATGATCCTGATTCTAACAGTGCGGTCACACATTCTGTGGTTTCTGACACTACCAACCTGTGGCAGATTGATCGAAACAGTGGTAAAGTCACAGCTAAACGACCCATTTATTACAGTGACACCCCATCAAACCAAGGATTGTAAGTAACCTTCAATGATTTGGGGGGAAAGGGGAGGTAAGTTACAGCTATTAACAATAGGGTGGTGTGCGGTAGCAGATGGTGGTCTTTCTTATGAAAACTAGGATAGAATCAAATACAAAAGGTAACTCAGTTTGAAGATAAACTGCCAGCTTTTAAATTGGTCTAAACATTTGTTGAAAACTTATGTCAGCTTATTCAACTCATTCTGATTTTACTTTTATAGAATACTGTAAAAGCAGAAATATTTGATGGGGACGGGGATTAAATTTAATATATTTCGTTGTTAACAATTATCAAGAAATTAAATCCCACATAAAATATTTATATGACCATAAATTAAATAGGGTTATTTTTGAAACAACGAAATTTAATGCCCATGAAAGCTTTTTAGAGGACAAATCCCTACGAAAATATGGACTTCTACAGTATAGTATTAAATCAGGGTTGAAACTAGAAGTGAAAATTAGAGTTTTGATTAAGTTTTTGCCAAAGTGAATGCAGTACATGTAAAGAAGTCAAGTTTCTGGTTGAGAAATCAGATTTAGGATCTCATTTTACCTTTCAGCTTTATCATCACTGTACAAGCAACTGATGGAAAATTCAACCCTACTGCAAATGTGCGGATTTATGTCATAGTAAGTTTTTACAGTGTTTGACTTGCGTAGGCATTTTTCAGTCATCTATCTATCATTTATAGTGAAACTGGCTCTAGGCACACACAGAAAAATCTGTTCAAAAGAAGAGTCTTACATAGAGTAACATGTTGTGTTGTAATATTATTTAAATATGGTTACTCAGGTGAGAGTTAAAGCCCTTTGACCTTTCTTTAAGTATTTTCAAGCAGTGAATTCTGCTTATGCAATGTAATTTAGACTCGCTAACTATTTCTGTACCTTTAAAAGAGGAAAGTGCAGAACTGTGAACAAGAATATTTTACTTGATGGAAGTTGATGCAGAATTTGCAAAAAAAGAAAAATGTTGAATGACTATATTGAAGAAGATAGTAGTTGCCAAGGACAGGTGGTTTACAGTATTTTGATCTGGAATACATTTACAAGTTTTATTAAAATTGTTCTTTTCATACAGGATATAAATGATAATGCTCCAATATTTGAAGCCAGCAATTACCGAGAAGTGATCAGTGAAACAACACTAGGAAATGTATATGTACTGACCGTCAAAGCTAATGACAGAGATTCCCCTACAACGGGTGCTGGAATCATCGATTACAGCATTGAAGTCGGAGCCAGCGGTAAATTTGTCATCAATGGGACATCAGGTGTTATCACGACATCACCAGATGCCACCTTTGATTATGATTTGGCCCGCATGTATAACATGACTGTAAGTACATGTATTTATTTTGGCAACAAAATTTCCTGCTTAATTCCCGGAGCCTTTGCCTTGAATTTTCATTTTTTTTTCCCTATATGATATTAGTAGATTCATACTTGAATACCTTGGTTATGTTCAATTGAGCCAGAGGTCTGGAAAGTATAAGGAACTAGCTCTTCAACTTTCATGTCTCAAACAGAAAGTAGAAGTCTATCTTTCTATCAATCCTAACACCATTGGGGATATTAAGAGTTCACTGTTTTTGTAAAAAAAAAAAAGGGGGGGTGGGGAGGGGGAAGGTGGTTTATTATTGTGGATGCTAGCTGTCACTGAGATTAAAACATAATTCATTTAGTAAATTAATTCCTCTTCACCATCCATTTCATTGACAACTGTATAACTCAGAAAACATACTAGCAAACCTCCAGATATAGATTGCATCACTATAACTGATATCTTTCATTTTCATAAAGTTATCATTTTTAAAAATCCTTTTGGTTTAAAGACAGAACTTTCTTATAATGAAATACTGTGGTACTCATTTCACACCCTTTGACCTTTTTCTGCAGGTGAAGGCCAGGGACAGAGGTCGTCCACAGCAGACAGGCACCTGCTTTGTGACTATAGACATCATAGACACAAACAATAAGGATCCTTTCTTCACTCCTTCAACACAAAGAGCAGATGTCTATGAAAGTAACTACATATTACCTCCCTTCCTAGATCATGCAATGAAGGCTAATATAAAGACAGTTTTTGACTGTGTTTTCAGTAAAATGATGTTTGGAAGAATGGATGCAATATTTTACAATTTGAAAATAACCTGTTCAACAGGCAACCAAATTTTGGCAATTAGAATTATTTTACATGTATTTCACAGAAAATACATGTTCAACAGAAATCTGAATGTTTATTCATTGTATTTGTGAATCCTGCATTTTTTTAATGTTAAAAGTTCCTTTCCACCTGTACTTTTATGCCTGTAGCTGTTATAACCTTGTTTGTAGCTGTTATAAGGTTGACTGATTTGATCACAGATATAACTTTGTTCCAGATGTCCCCGTGGGATTCAGTGTTCATAAGATGTTGGCTACTGATCCAGATGACCAATCTCAGCTGAACTTTTTCATTGTTGAACCTATAACTGCAATCACTCCAGATGGAGTCCTCGTAGATAGAAACCTGTATGATATCACGGTAAGTAGACAGTAGAACTCTAGAATATCTCTGAAAGTATACAGTAATATCACAGACTGGAAATCTACTTTTATAGATAACTAATTTTTCTCAAGATAAATCTTTGCTTATTAGTGAGGAAAAAAATTCAAGAGTTTTAGTTATTGTATGTTTAACCTAATAATAACAAATATGCGTTAGAATGAAATTTTTGTGAGAAGATGTTTTCACGTTTTTATTTGAAAATAAAGTTTTCGAAAATAAAAAGTGACTGAATTACAGTATACTATCATGGGTGACTTTCCCTTTATTATTTATGTATAAAATATGTCCCTGTATATTTTACTCTGTTTACTCTGAAGTGAAAAGAATATGTCAGTTGGTTTTGGAAGTCTGTCGTCAATTTATGTCGCTAAATTTTATCTGAAGTGCTATTCTATTAATGTACATATACGTGTATATTTTCTAAATTTTCAAATTCTTTTATACAGCAACTGTTCTCTATAGAACAGCAGACTGGGAACGTGAACACGAAGAGTAAGCTAGACCGAGATCGTGCCTCCGTAGTGACCCTGACCATGAATGTTGTAGACATAACTGCAAGTCCACGGCAGACAGGAACAGGGCAACTTATCATCAACATTCTGGAGTACAATGACCAGCGACCAGAGTTTCTACCCTACAGAAATGTGACAATTGATGAAGAACAACCCATAGGAACTTTTGTGATGGCATTACTGGCCACTGATCAGGATGATCCCATCGCAGAGTACCAGATTATCAATAATCCAAATGGCTTCTTTGCCATTGGTTACCAGACTGGTAAAGTGCTAATTTTTGAAAATTAAAAATTTAGTTTTATAATTTGTACTTTAAAGCCAGTGTGAGTGATACTGAGTATTTGGGCATTTATTAAAAATAGGTTCCGAGGTGTATTCTAGTTTATCCATATCCATTCTTTCAAATAATGACTTGAAAAGAGAGAACAAAATTATTTAATTTATGATTGTTCTTAATTTTTTTCTTTATAATTTTTAAGTTTTATAATCATCAGTTATGTTACTGTGAGATGATTTGTAATTTATAGGTGTGGTGAGCATCAGTAGTCGTATAGATTTTGAGTTGGTCGAATCCTCCTCCTTCACCGCCCAGGTGTGGGACAGTGGTACCCCCCGCCTTGACAACACAGCCACCGTATATGTCACCATCAACAACATCAACGACAATTCACCGATATTTGATAAGGTAACTATAGAGAACCTTGTCATTCATTTATATTCAAAAGCACACAGTTTTCAAAAATTAAAGTTCAAATTATATATCAGTGTCCATCAAAAATAAAAATAAAATGTCTAAACACATTGAATTTTATATGAAATTATTGAGAAACATCCTATAGAAGTATGTACTAAATCTGCATAGGATGAATTAGATTCTTGTCATTCGGTATTAATATATTAACAAGCAAATTTAATGATTAAAAAAAAAAGAAATCAGATGCTTTATCTACTTTCTTTTACAAGTATTCATACAGAATGTTGTTAATTATTACAGGGTGCTTACCCAGTCAGGATCCCAGAAAACTCACAAGGGGGTAGATTTGTGACAAATGTCAGGGCGGAAGACAAGGATAAAGGGGATTATGGTGTGGTGCGATATTCCCTCGATCCACAAGAGACCAGGTTTACCATCGACAGTGTCTCAGTAAGTTAATTTTTATTGACTGATACTTTTAAAGTTTTTGCTTCTTTAACTATGATGTACACAATTTGTTCTTATTTTCCTTGTGCAGGGAGAGATAAGAGTAGCACCAGGGGCAAAACTAGATCGTGAAGAACTGAGTGACATTAGTATTCAGGTCACAGCCTCAGATAGCCCCTTGGATGCTGTTGTTCGCAGATACTCCACTGTAACGGTAAATAAGAATTTGCAAATTAGTGAGTAAATATTTAATTAAAATATCTTTGAAGATAATTAAATGCTGTAGATGATATTAACATCTGTTGTTTGCATTAGTCAATTATGAAAGCAATATAAAGTACTTTATAGAGTCACATATTATACATGTATTCATTTTAACCTCTAGAAAAATTTAGCACAATTTTGTATCATGCATTCTTTGGTGTATTCATTCTTTTGTGTATTCATGACTTAGTGCTGTCAGGGCTTCAGCATGGTATACTTCAAAGATTTATTTTTATTTTAATGTTGATCAATGAAAGGCACATTCCTGGTTGTGCTAAATGTACCAGAATTTGAATTCAGCGAAAATGAGAGCAGAAATTCAGTCTGTTGATTTAAAAAAAATGCCAGTACACAATTTCTTTGAAATTATTTTTAGGTTTATATCACCCTGGAGGATGAGAATGACAACCCCCCTATTTTCAATCAGCTAGAGTACCGTCAACAGATCATTGAGACCATCCCTATATATACCCACGTTCTGCAGGTGTTTGCTAATGATGCAGATGCTGGAAACAATGCTAGGTTACTATTCTCTAAGGTTCCCAACTCAGGAGACCCTGACAGTAAGTACTAGAAGGTCAAAATTTAGTGCATTTTTCCTCTTCAGTAGATTAGTATAATCATAAATTAAAGCACATTAGTCTTTTAAATTACATTGAGTAGTTTTTAATAATTTTTTGTATAGTATGAATTAGCAGACAAAAACTGTGACAAATGTGATTACTGTTTAAATAAGTACATTTATAGGATGTTTGAATAATGACTAATTATGCCAATTTTCAATCCATGAATTCCAACTACTTGATGTACTTAAAATGTTAAACAATTGTGTTTATTACATTAAGCAAACATAGATGCTAAAGCAGTTTGATGTTGTTTCTACGAATGTCCTGTATTTATGGTAATACTGATAGAGAAACCATTTAAATAAGTGACACACAAAAGATACTAGGACTTATTATTTCTTTAACACTTTTTTTCAGATTTCTTTGCAATTCAACCATCAAATGGAAGAATCAGTGTAAACAAAAGCTTGTTGAGGAACTCGGGGACATATGTGTTCTATGTCATGGCACGTGATGAGAATGGCAGTGGACCATTTAACAGCACAGCCAAAGTGACTATCATTGTATTAGAAGCCACAAACTCGCCTCCAGAATGGACAATTCCACCTCTGGATAACATGACAATCAGTGTTTTAGAGGTAAGTCACAATGTACATGTGTTGAGAGGTAGAAAAGATTATACTGTCATTTTGTTGACTATTAATTAACCTTTTGATTATACACATGTTAAGTGAAATCATTGGTGGCTTCTTAGTGTTGATGCACACATTAAATAGTCTTTACGCTGGTCAATTGCTGTGCCACAATAAAAGCAAAATTTTAAGTCAATACAGCCTAGGTGTAGTATACACTTAATTGCAATACATGTAAAACTTACCAAATAAACTTCCCCCCTATCTTTGTTTCATCATAAAATTGAGATTCTTGAAGTTTCTTGAGCAAGTCATTTATTGAACCACAGGAGCAATATCTTGGAATGTTGGTATATGATGTGGAAGCAGAAGATGCTGATCGTAATGACAATGGAATTGTGGACTACGGATTCTACGTAAATGGTGTGTATACCACCACCACTAACGAATTCCGCATCAACTCCATCACAGGAGTCATCAGGGCTGAAAAGGTCTATGACAGGGAAACCAGAGATCGCTACCTGGTAAGGAAAACATCTTAATAAGAAGATTATCATTTATTTGTGTTGTCTTTTTGTGTAAGTAGATACTTGTATTTGAACATGTTTTGTATCATTATGCAACTTAATTGACTTAACGTATTTGATGTGAATTATTTACAGCTCCTCCTGGTGGCACGCGACCGCGGTGACCCATATCTTGAAACTACTCGATATTTATCAGTCAAAATTCTGGACGTCAATGATAATGTTCCCAAGTTCCCAACCAATTCTGTAAGTCTTCTGTATCCTTAAAAAAGCTATCCATTTTTTCTCTCCACTAAATCAAGAAAATGAAAAAATATATTTTACACATGTAAATGTATTTTGTGTATTTCCCAGTGGAGATTTGTAAAGTTTCTCAGTTTCTTTGGAATAAAATCTCAAGACCCAATATATCTGAACATGATGCTTTGATTTCAATCTTAGAATGGTGAGACTAAACAAATCCAGTTTGAAGATGTAGATGAGAATAAACCAGTCAATTCTTCCCTCGGAAGACTAAAGGGAAGCAGCTTTGAAGCCAAGGACATTGATGATGCTCAGTATGCCAAAGTCTATTATTACATCATCAGTAAGTAGTATTTTATTTTGTAGCTTTTTTATTTAAAATATAAAGGTGAAGCATGGGAAATAAACTGCACAATGTTTTTTTTTTTTTGTTTAGTGCAGGGTTTGGCTATAAATTTTTTAAAACAAGGACACTGTTTTTACTTAGTTTATGAAGGTCTAAAATGCCTGTAATGTAATAGATGGTTCACTAATAAAATCTACAATCAACTAAAAACAAATTTAGGAATCCATTATCCTTCAAGCTATGTCAACATCCATGCAAATGTAAAGTTGTAGCTCCTGTGTTAGTTTGTGAATTCCTGAATATTTACTTATATATTTGATTTTACTGTTATCAGGTGGAAATGAGAAGGGCTATTTCAGTTTGGTCCCAGAAACTGGAGAATTAATCTTAGCCAAAAGACTGGATAGAGAAGTGCAAAGTGTGTATCTCCTGGACATCCAGGCCACAAACAATATCAGTGATTATACTGTTATCCGGAATAGACGTAAGCGAGCCCTGGATCCAAGTATAGCCACATGGAGGATCCAGATCAAAAATGCCAATGACGTACGACCTGACTTTACCAAAAATCTGTATCATGGCTGTAAGTAGAGTCTTTCTTTCATTGACACGATGTATATTAAGATATATTGGTACAAACTCTCTTATATACTGTACACATTAGATACATTTGAAATAGGTTCATTCATTGCTTTGGTACTGATTGCATAAATGTATGATACAAAATACATGTATGTCAGATTATTATTTATCCTGTTGTATCCTGCAGGGAGCATAGCAATATATAAGTGTTATTAACATACTTGGTTTTAGAAGCAAATACATAAAGTCACATCTTGTCTCAAATGCAACACAATGGTAATCAAATTTTAGCTGGCTATAATGAAGTATGGATAGAATGAAGCATTTTGTTGGTGGACCTCAGAGATTGGCTTTAAATGTGTTAAAGTATTATGCTCAAGTCTTCTTTCCATGTATATTAGATGTATCAATATCACACTGTAGTTTTTTTTTTCTTTTATAAATCAGGTATCTCAGTCCGCTCCTCTCTGGGTCAAAGCATAATGAAGGTAGAGGCTGTGGATGCTGATTCTGTAGGCTCCGTAACTTACTCCATACAGCAGGGAAACAGAGACAATGCTATCGGAATCGACTCTGTCACAGGCGTTCTGTATAATGCCATTCTGATGAATAACTATGGAGGCAGTACCTTTGACCTGAAGCTTAGAGCTACTGACCAAGGGACATTGTACCATAATACCACTGCCCTGGTAGGTCATGTTTAAGAAAAATATATGAAAGTCAGATGTCATATTTTTGCCCTTTGCCAAACACCAGTGGATTAGCCAGTCAAAATGCACTTTACAAAACAGTTGCATGAGAATATCTATCTTTTGAATAGAGCATATCATGCTGATTTTCTGCCATACTCATTCCACGTATACTGTAAAAGTGGTTATTTACGTGTGGGGGGAAATTTACACTACTTACACGGTAAGCTTAGAACCGCGTAAAATACCCCACACGTAAGGTCACAAAATTTCAAAATTCTGGAATCATTCTAGACTAATCCTAATACTGTTTGACCGGTCGAACCAGTCGTATATTAATCGTGGTTTTGAACGCATGTGAGTAGATAAATACATCACAAACAGTGATGAAAACATAACTGTTCTTTTTTTTTTAATTGTGCAATGAAAAATGCATCTTCATATTAAATATTTTAAAGCAATGTCGCGCAATTAAAGCTTCAAAACATCGATACTCATTTTCATTTCCTTTGTATGTATGTGTACGTCCCTCTTAATTTCAATTAATCAGTCCAAAATATTACACAAACTCGGTCACTACAAACATACCTATTGAATTAATTGTCAAAACTTGCAACACAGATCCCACTTAGAAGTTTGAACTTGCGTAAATAATTGCAATACGGCGTACACCAGTTGTTCACACTTCACCGCTTTTGACTGTGCAGATTGTCGTTATCATTATAAATCCAAGGAACATGCACATATGGATGACCAGTATAAATTCTTTTTGTTTTGTTTTGTTTGTTTATAATTATTTCTAAATTATTCTTTTCTATTCATTCATGTAAACTACTTGACCTTTTCAAAGGGGAACAACTAGATGTAAGTAATGATGGTCGCACAATTTTTTCTCAGTAATTTGTGCGACTGCGTATATTTCACCAATGCATAATGTTTGACGGTCACAAACCAGTGTAAATAAGCACTTTTACAGTATGTAGCAATATACATGTATTAGGAGAAAACATTGATACTTAGCAGGTCACCATTCCATTAACCTTTTTATTACCTTTTAATTATTGATCCTTCTGAGCAAGAAAGTAAGGATATCATAGATTCCTATTTACAAATATGTTCTAGCATCAGTGTGTGCAAAATTTCAGTTTGGGAGTGCAGAATTTTTTTTTTTGATGAAATGACACAGACATGCAGATCAATGATGAGACTACTCTCAACATATTGCAAATCTACAGTATTTCAGGCAGTCCTCTACTTACCTGGTTCATACTATGCTTATACAGTATGTGGAGGAAATCATACCACATGCATTACAAAAATGCCAGTGGTAAAACACATATACATGTATTGCAATTTTATAGCAAGAGGAGTATTTGGAGCTTAGCAAATAAGTACAGGATTCAAAATACAGTATAACACCGTTATAGCAAACACGCTTATAATGAATTCATGTTTACGGCAAAGTGATTTTCAATCCCTGTGGTTTTCAAACGTATTCTTAACGGATATAATGAAATATGTTTATAACGAATCGAAATTGCATGTCCCTGGCACTTCACTTTAAGCGTGTTTTACAGTATTTGGATTTTAATGATTGTAATGACATGTTAATAACAACATCTTTTGGTAGGTTTTTGTTACGGAACCAAGTCGGGAAGTCAAGTTGGTTGTAAAACAGCCAGCTACAGAAGTCAGACAGTTCTTTGAACAGATTAAAAAGTAAGTCTTCTAGAAAGTAGCATGTGTATGCAGATGTTGTTTATAATTGTATACTTCAAGAAGTCCGGCTGCAGTATCTAAGATATTTATCATTATGGTGGATTTTATAATGATTATAGTTGAGTAAAAATTAAGAACAGATATATGAATGTGAATAAACAGTAAAACCTCATTATCTCGAACTCAATGTGACCAAGTAAAAATTTTGAGATATCCAAGGATCTGAGATATCCAGGGTAAAGTACTTAAAGAATAAGGGATTGGGACTTCCAGATCACTTTGACATATGCATGGTACTCCAGATATCAGTGTTCAAGATACCAAAGTTCAACTGTAGATATAATGAAATACAAGGCTACTGTCATGAAATGTAAGCGATATTTGGCCGAGGGTAAGAAAACGTGATAGAGGGCGAGGCTTGCCGAGCCCTCTATCACGTTTTCGACCCGAGCTCAAATCACTTATATTTCAAGACAGTATTTATGTATTTTGTTTATTCTGCAATATATTTTTACATCAGACCTCCAAAACTAGCTATTTTTCAACCGATTTAGGTACATCTCTGCAGTTGTAACTAAGACGCAATGGCGTAAACATTGCAACGTGTACGATGTCACAATGCTTTTAGAACGTCGGAATACATGCACAAGGTTTTATTAGGGCATTGACCGAATAAAGCTTTGGTTTATTAGGTTACCTTTATTGGGTCAATGCAAGGGGTAGTTGCAGGATAAATGACCATATGTATTTCTTTACTAGGTCTCTTCAGAAGTCTAACCAAGAAGGCAATGTGGTATTTGACTTTATATGTTCTACCAAGATTGTTGACCATGTTCTAGATGATGGACAGACGACTTCCTTGTGGTATGTTAAAGTGAATAAATTTAGATTAGTCATATATAAAATGGCATTAAATATCAAAATCTTTGTTTAAGGACTTATTGGCATAATTAGAAATAATCCAATCAGCATTGTAATTCATTATACATGTACTTGCTTTATATTTAGCTCACCTGAGCTGAAAGCTCCGGTGAGCTTTTCTGATCACCCATTGCCCGGCGTCCGGCCATCTGTGTGTCCGTCTGTCTGTAAACTTTTCACATTTTTGACTTCTTCTCATATACCACTCGGCCAATTTTAACCAAAGTTGGTACAAAGCAAATTATTTAAATGGAGGGCCAAGTCCCCTTCCAAGGGGAGATAATCAAAAAAGGCAAAAATATGGTGGTGGTCATTAAAAATTAAAAATTTTCTTCACAAGAACTACTGGACCAGAAAAGCTAAAACTTATGTGGAAGCTTTCTTCGGTAGTGTTAATTCAAAACTTTTCACATCATGTCTCCTGAGGTAGGATGAGGCCACAAAAGGGAATCAAAATTTGAGATTGAAACATATAAGAAAAATCTTTAAAAATCTTCTCGTGAAGATCCACTAGACCAGAAAAGCTGAAACTTAAGTGAAAGCTTTCGGAAGTAGTTTAGATTGTAAAATCTTCAAAATCATGTTCACCAGGATTAAGATGGGTTCACAATAGAGAATCAAGGTTTAACATTGAAAAATATAGGAAAAATTTTAAAAATCTTCTTCTCAAGAACTCATGGACCAGAGAAGATTGAAATTTAGTTAAAAGCTTTCTGAGGTTGTGTAGATGGAAATCTTCTTCTCAAGAACCCATGGACCAGAGAAGATTGAAATTTAGTTAAAAGCTTTCTGAGGTTGTGTAGATGGTAAATTGTTCAGATCATAGTCCCCGGGGGTAGGGTGGGGCACAATAGGGATTATAGAAGCAAAATCTTTAAAACTCCTCAAGAAAAAATCCATGATAAATTATATTAATGCCAAAGCATCCTCTGGTAATGAAGATCCATTTTTGTTCAAATTACAGCCCCTGTGTATAGGCTGGGGCCACAAAAGGTGATCAAAAATATGGAGGAATACATGTATTTGGGTGGGGGGGGGGATCTAATGCAGAACAGCAAATCAAAAGTGACTCAGGTGAGCTTTGTGCCACATGAGCCTCTTTTAAACACAGTCAAAAACACTAAAATATATAATGACGTGCTGGTGTAGTTCAGTACTGGATTAAAATACATGTTTTGTGACTCAAGTGTGTGAAATATTTTTGTTTGCAGGTTAGGGAATAAGTTAAGGTGAAGGATCAATGTCAAGTACTCTCACCTTAATTAATATGATATGCACTTTTTTTTCATTGAACCACTTGTGTGAAATGCTGTGATTAAAATGCTTGCAAGAGAACTGCATTGTAAACTGCTAAAAAAAAATCATTTATTATTTTTCCAAAAAAAACTTGGAAGTATAAAATACACAGTTCTAATAAAATGCAGTTGTAAGATTGATGTTGTATTTATGTTTAGGTCTGATGTGTACATCTCAGCTGTGTGTCGTAACTGTTATAATTCCCCGTACTATATCTACCCTGGTGAAACATTACTCAGTCTACTCAACCAACAAAGAAATGCAAACAGGGATCAGTTTGAAATGTTATACATTGAAAGCATGGAGGTTAGACAATTTTAAAAATAATTCTTATTTTGGAGGTCTATACATTTTCCCCATTGATACACTAACAGTAATTTTACCTGTTTTCACACTTAGGTATAAAGTGCAAATTCTACTTGTATCTGAGTAATTTTAGTAAACTTGTCATGACAGTTATAATAAAGGAACTACATAAACACTGTAAAAGGGGAAAAATTCTTATCAAACACATAAAACAGATTTTCATTACTTTTGGGTTTTTTTAGCGAGGTGATGTGGAAAAGGAGTATCTGGACCGCACTCCCACCCTAGTGGTGATGATCCTTGTCATCATCCTCATAATCCTCGCTCTCCTCTTCCTCCTGCTGGCATGCTGCTTTATCAGAAACAAGTAAGTTATTAAATGTCCCCTCCCACCCACCACAACCATCCAATGGTGATCTTTGTCATCATCCTCATAATTCTTGCTCTCCTCTTCCTCCTGCAAACCTGTTGTTTTATCAGAAACAGGTAAGTGAAGTCATTCATTGCCCCACCCTAGTGGTGATGATCCTTGTGAAGACACTCATTGTCCCACCCTAGATGTGATGATCTTTGGGAAGTCATTCATTGTCCCACCCTAATGGTGATGATCCTTGTGAAGTCATTCATTGCACCACCCTAGTTGTGATGATCCTTGTGAAGACACTCATTGTCCCATCCTGGTGGTGATGATCCTTGTGAAGACACTCATTGTCCCACCCTAGTGGTGATGATCCTTGTGAAGACACTCATTGTCCCACCCTAGTGGTGATGATCGTTGTGAAGTCATTCATTGTCCCACCCTAGTGGTGATGATCCTTGTGAAGACACTCATTGTCCCACCCTAGTTGTGATGATCCTTGTGAAGACACTCATTGTCCCACCCTAGTGGTGATGATCCTTGTTAAGACATTCATTGCCCCACCCCAGTAGTGATGATCCTTGTGAAGTCATTCATTGTCCCACCCTAGTGGTGATGATCCATAGGAAGTCATTTATTGTCCCATCCTAGTGGTGATGATCCTCGTCATCCTCATAATCCTCACTCTCCTCTGCCTCCTGTTGGCACACTGGTTCATCAGAAAAAGGCAAGTGAAATCAACATTGTGACTGTAAATACTGTAAAACTTTGTTCTGTTGTTGTGTACAATTTAAGTTCCTTATGTTTAAATTAAAGTTACCATAACATAAAGTTTTGAATACTATCTTCTATTTGAAAAGCTTCAAAACTTTAACAAAATATCTACTGAACTTCAACATTTTGATTCCAAGAGAAGATCAGGCTTGTACAGTATATGCATATAAAGTACATTTTTTATGTTGAAGAATTCAGATAAAAGATATGCATATATTCTTTTTATTCCAAAAAAAAATGTACAATAGTGCAAAATCTTAATATTATATTTTATTTTTCCAGAAACAAGAGAAAGGAAGAGAGATTACGTAAGTTAATTATTATTTTTAGATATAAATACAGTAAAGAATGCCTATAGTTAAGTGCCAGGGATGAACAATTTTGATTCATTACTAAAAATAATTCATTATATTTGATAAATTCAAAACAGGTTTTAAAACTACAGTGAATGAAAATTAGTTTGCTGTAAGCATGAATTAATTTTAAGTATGTCTGCAATAACTGTGTTTTACTATACCAGTATATGATTGAAGTTTATACTTGTAAATTTTATATTTATTTGCTTTTAATGAAAACTGAACTTCTTTGAAGGCTACAAGAGCAGTTATAGAGCACCACCATATGATTCAGTAAGTCAGTGTCTGAACACTCTGATTTTTCTGATTCTTTAATCAATAAATCACAGGAATTGCAAAGAAGCTGGTCATGGAAAACCACAAAATGGGATACTCATGTTGAATCAGAACTTTCAATTAAAATTCTGGATCAAATGTGTGAAGGAAATAAATAACAATACAGAACATCTTATAAGTAAAAGAAAAAGGTTTATATTAAAACAATTTTGAAATCTATATCTTTTAATTGAGATTTTGTTGTTGTTGTTGTAATACCAAGGTATTAATATTTCATTATTGTGTACTCTTTATAGTCATTTCAACAAGTAGATCAGTTTGCGGCATATGATAATCGAGGATACGAGCCAACAGAGGCTGCCCCTCGAGAACCAATGTATGCCAAAGTTTCCAAAGATCCTGTCAGTCGAGCACCTGAGCCCATTCCTCAGCAGACAGAGGAAATTAATGTAATAATGAAGGATGACGATAGTCCAGAAACCAGCCCCCCAGCCAGCCCTAAAGAGACACCCCGCCTCTCAGATCCAGCAGAGGAAGATTATAGGATAGAGACAGAGGTCATGTGACCTAGCAGTGATTGGACAATTTTAAGATAGAAATGATTGGTCAATTGTAGCCTAGCAGTGATTGGACAATTGTATTAAGCTAGCAGCCAGAGGAAACCATTTAAAATGCTAGAAAATCAAGAGGGTTGTTTTAAATGTCACTTGCCATGTAAAGATATACAATACAACTGATTATTCAATTCTTTTGATATTTTCATGTGTTAATTCTAAGGTTGTGATATTTTGCTTAATTAAAGAGAAATTTTGAGACCTGAGGTAGTAATTGTTATCTACCGTTATCATTTCGAGCAATTCTGATTAGGATTGTTAATTATCCTGCGACAATTTTGTGTAGCTTGTTAACTATTATTTGTTAAAAAATAATGTTTGGCAAATTACGGTTAGGGGTAAATGACACTTTTTTAAAGGGATAATCTCATGACTTCTTTCTCTACTATATAAGTTAATGTTTTTCATTGCAAAGCAAAACAGATGGGTACAATTCAGATACTGTTAAAGAATACATGCTAGACTTTGTACATGTTTTCATTATTATTTTTCAAATAAGGGTAGCACAGCACTTAGTAGTATTTTAATGTGATAGGTGATATACACATACATGTATAATGCTTTCTTCCTCTCAAATTACAATATTAAGTAAATATGACAACATTCCGATTTTAGGGTAAGAAAAAAAAACATTTATTTATAGAACAGAAATTGTGATATTCTTCTATTGCAGTAATGAGAGTACAGAGTGAAGAATGATCGTGAAGTTTCAGTAATTTACATTTTGTCACATATATTGTTTACTAAGTGCTAAAATGTTAACGACTTGAAAGTAATAGAAATTCCAGTGGACATTTTACTGTATCTTTGACAGAAGAGAATCTCATTGTTTCATAGTGAGTGTGAATGCATGAATATTTTGAAGAACTGTGTGCTATTTTACATTCCTGTAACCTTTTTGATACAAATATATTTTTTTTATGAAGATGTATTAAAGTCTATATGATTAACGTTAAAATGTTTGTTTATTTTTTAGCTCTACTGGTCAGAGACCAGAAGAGCTTGTGATAGTAAGGTGTCCGTCGTCTGTCTGTAAACAATTTTTCAAAATGCTACTCCTCATACAGTTTTGATTTGATTTCAATATAACTTGACACACAAGTAGACTACACTAAGATACATAATTTTGTGTAGGCCTATCGTTTTTTTTTTTTATTTCAATGAACAGTGTTGCCATGGTTACTGAAAATAGAAATTTCTGTGAAATTCTTTTAAAAGGCTACTCCTCCTACAATTTTATTCTGATTGCAATCTTGCCACAAAAAGAGACTAAATCAAGGACCATTATTCTATTTATTGCTGTTGCAAAGTTTTAAGTCCAAGTGTTCCTTTAATTTTTTTCTTCCTTTGTTTTAAGTACAAACCAGTAGAGCTACAGTCTCGACAGAGATTTCTGGGTTTTTTTTTTCCATTTTCCTGATATCAATTAAAGAACTAAGGTAACTATTATCAACTGTTTGAAAGGACTTCATTCTAAATACAAGATAATTTTCACACATACCCTTTATTTTTGCCCTAATTGTCTAAGGAAAGGATTTTAATAGTAATTCTGAAAGTCATTCTAAATACATGTACATGAAAATCCCCCCCCCCCCCTTTATTTTTGCCCTGTTTGTCAAAAGGAAAGGCCTTTAATGAAATTCTAAAGGACATTTTTAAATACATGACCCCCTCCCCCTTTTCATTTTCACCCTCATTGTCAAAAGGAAAAGACTTTAATAGAAATTCTAAAAGTCATTCTAAATACAGGAAAATTGAGTGACTCCCCTTTATTTTGCCCACATTGTTGATAGGAAAAGACTTAAATAGAAATTTTAAAAGTCATTCTAAATATAAAAAATCCCCCCTTTTATTTTTACCCTCATCATCAATAGGAAAGGACTTTGATAGAAATTCCAAAAGTCATTTTAAATACAAGAAAATTCCTTCCCCTTTTATTTTTGCCCTTATTGTCGATAGGCAAATTCAAAACAGCTTATTCAAACAGAGCTCTCTCTCTTTTATCACTACTGTATGAAAATTTAAAAATGGATGAAGTGTAATAGGGTGAAATTATGCTACAAGTAAGTGGTAAATGAAACTGAATAGGAATGCATCCAGTTTCAATGTATTGGTTTACTGGGGACAAGTCCCATATTCATTGTTCAGGTCTTCTAGATCACTAATGGGTCCTATTTCTATCTTTTTCTCTTCCAACAGGCCTATATATGGTCATGCAAATACCCGATACTGAATTTTTGAAAATCTTCTTTCACTAATGGACATTTAGAAGTAAATTAATTGAATAATTATAATCAGTATTTATAACCCTTTATCAAAATAATGAAATTCATGTCCCCTGGGCCAGCTGTCCAGATCCAGGTTGGGGCAATAGTCCATCATGCTGTAATTTAATTACAAGGTTCAATTTTATTAACTGGCAAATTTAGCAATTTAGTCTTTAAAAGTGTGCATTTATTATTAGCATTATTTATTTTTAAGTGATTCAATAATTAACTCAAATATTGTATGGTGAATTAATTAATTATTAGCATCTTTTTAGCACTGCCAGAGTCATTGCTAATAATGCCAAAATTAGATGCTAAAAAATATTTGATTTTTTTAATGATTTGTTCAAGTTCAAAGTCTATAAACAATACTCTTTGAAAATTCTATAATTTACATGATATATATATTACTGAAAAATCAAAACACCTTATGACTTTTGAGGGTGCAAAATTATTTTTAAGTCGTAATTCACTAAAACCCAGAAGTTTTTTGAAGAGTCTTTTAAACATACCAATATAATAGCCCTGCATCATATATATGGCTCAAAAAAGAGATGAAGTTGAATTTCTTATAAGAAGGTCAAAGATCAACAAGGTCACAAGGTCTGCAAGTAAATTCATAAGTTAATGATCTGTTAAAAAGTGTAAATATATGTGTGCTAAATATAAAAGCCATATTATAAATTTGTCAATTTAAAGAATTTCATTATAATACTTTTTTTTTAATTTAAAGGTCAAGATCAAGGTCACAAGGTTTGGTGGATTTACAAAGAGACTAATGTGCCAAACAATGCATTATGCAAAATCAGCCTCATAACACAGACTTTATACAGATGGCGGGCAAAGTGATGAGTGTAATTCAATCTGTTTTGACAGGCATAACCCCCCCCCCCCCCAAAAAAAAAAAAAAAAACAAAAAACATATTTGTATTTATGAGATCTGCATGTGTATTTTTAGCTGCACTTTAAACCATAGTTACATGAAGTATGAAGTGTAAGTAGAAATCAGATATTCATTCTTAAATTCACATAAGGTCAATATTCATTTGTTAGCAGTTCTCAACCTATGCCATTAGCAGCTAGATTATAAGTTTGATGGAGAGACTTTTTTCTTTTGTCTCTTCAAAAATTAGTTTTTCTGCCTCAAGTCATGAAGCATTTGTCTATTTAAGGATCAGATGAAACTGATCAAAATAGGTAAAGTATCAAAGCTAATATTTAGTTTTTGTGTTTTCATCATCTACCCTTTGAAGGAGATAGTATGCAAGTTTCTACTTTTACCCCGTGCCTCATCCGGATTTATTGGACATTGACGATTCGAAAATTAGACTTTGCTGATGACATGGTGGTGCAACTACAATCTAACGAAAGCAAAATATTTATTGGAATCTGGCCATATTCACCGAATTTCGACGCTATTGCATCATATATTTGAATGCATATAAAGTATATGTAGAAAGGTACGATGTAATTTTTCGCACTACTTAGAATGCATCTGTTCAAAGTAGGGGTTTATCTGTTTTTCCTTCCAAAGTTTCATTGGAGTCGAATTAAACTCTTCAAAAGAAATTTCATAACATAAGGCACATAATGTGATAAAAGCGGATTAATTAATTGAAAGTGATCAGGGACCCAGGCGAGGATAAACGAATCTGTGGTTCTTTTTCCTCGTTTCTATACAAACTGTTCAGTACCGGTGAGTTACACTTAATTTGCGTGATATATTATCATGATTATAGTTAGAATACTCTAGACAAACCCTCACCACAGTGAAAATACGTACCATATAGTTGCAATGTAGCAAAATAGAGTGGATCTTCGTATTTCAAATACAAAGAAAAAAATTATTTTGTGTTTGAAGAATACAAAAGGAGTTATACTAAAAATAAGGCCACAATTAAAATATTGTTGGTTTGGCGTTGCCGACTTAGTCTTTATACGTTTGGGTCGGTAGGTAGGGAAAATATTTTTTTTAATTTAAATTTCAGAAATGGTACATGTTGTTAGTATCCGAACGCCGTGGGTTTCCGATAGTTTAACAACAACCACAGTCCGAATTGATTTTCAGATTTGTCATTGATTTTCAAACCCTATTAGATTTAAACCTTTAATATACGTAGTATTAAAAATCACTGACATTAAATTTTTGTAAATTCGAATCATGTGCACGAATCCAAGCATGGCAGCTAGACTAGCAAATTGGACAGGACATTGTACCATGAAATTTCTATTTCGAAGTGGTATATCTTATTCATCAGTTTACTTTTAAAAACCACATTACCACAGAGAGTCATGCCATCAACTTCTGTTATACCGAGTTTACATTTTACCGCTTTCGACAGCCATGCTTGGATTCGTGATACGCATTAATTCAACATCACATAGACGCTTATAAATGAAAACTGTTTGATCAATCAAGCGTTTACATGATTCTTTCCCATTCTGTTTATATTACACAAACGTACAAACACCTAAATCCGGATGAATATAACGAAATAAAAATTATGATCAGTATCTGTTGAAAAAATTCTTCGGACCGCACCGATTTATGTGAGTCGGCCGGCAACGCCAAACAAAGCTAATTTTATTTTTGGCCTAAGTACCAATTTTTTATGAGCTTGTACATGTTATATGTATATGCCTTCTACCCTAAAAAATAATACAAATAAAAATAAAAAGTAGGAGGTATCGTTTGGGCTTTATTGTGCCCCAAAAATTCAATGTTTTCAAAAAAGATATAAAATTGGCTTCAATATGAGTTGAGAATATGAATGTGATGAATCAGGAAAGAATACGGCATGAAGGAGAACCATTCTGGAAATATGATGTCACTATTTTGGTAAATTCTAAGTTTTAAATGGAAAAAACCCTCAAAATGACTCATTTCTAAGGTTATTTTTCTTAAAAATAGTGTCCACAGTCGTCACCCACTTTAATTTCAAATATGTTGTGTAAAATCCTTTGAAAAACCACATTTCTCAAAATCTTTGGGGTGATACATTCTCACTATTATCTGAAAGAAAAGGCCACTGAAAATTTTTGTCTTAAATTCTGCATGTTCAAATACAAAAGTTCACAACGTTAAAATTAGCATGTAGGAGGTCATATGAGAAAAACAATTTGTATGTTCTAACTGCAAGGAATTTCATCAGAAAAGCATTAGTTTTTATTTCTTACATCACTTTCATATTTTAAAAAAATACAGGGCTAGATTTGTATGGAAACAGGACCTTGTTCTTCAACTCATTTTCTCAACATTTTTTTGTTTCTGACTTCAGCACCAATATGAATTTAACTGTAGATCAAAATACACAACCTAAAGAGTACTGATATAGGATAATGCCAGGGACTGTTACATACTTATATAAATAAATATATTAAAGGCGGAGTTGGGAATCTCTCTTATTTATGTCTCTGATGTTTCAGGAGTATTGATCGTAACAATTACATGTTATACAATACACAGTAACACTTGTATACAATACACAGTAACACTTGTATACTGTACGAACATAATTATATACTAAATGTTGCATAGCACACAGGTTGGGGACCGTTTGCAATTTGGGCAAAATCATGAATAAGTGCTATCAGTATTTATGCATTATATCTGTATAGAATTGGATTTTGATGGTATTCATAAGCTAGACGTGAACAAAGGAATCAAAGTTTAAAACAAAAAAAATTAATCCTGTTGAAATTAGTACATAGGCAGTATTTGTATTCCACAATTTCTTTGTAGTGTACGTTGGTTATGAAATTTTGCATTTCCTGTAACAGTGAAAGACAATGAAATGACTTCACAGTGATCAACTGTTTGAGAAATTCAAAATATACATACATTGAAAATGAATTTCAAAGATCAATTTAAAATGCATGTTTCAAGCTAAAAAAGAATTCAAGTGTAAGCTTTTAGAATGTTAGTAATAGTCTTGCATACATTTTTTCATTATCTGCAAATTTGATGCACATGTGCCTAGTGTAATATTATGATACCAGTGCAATTTGAAAAATCCTTTATTGGTTCAAAAGCAGGATGTAGTACGATGTATTAGTATGGCCTATTACTGAAGCTGCATCTCATGTAGTACATAGGAAAAGATATGACTGCTGAAATTAGATGTACCTTTAGTATTTACTTACTCAAGGTTTTGATATTACAGAATAACCTGTACAGCTTAAGTCATTGACTGTTAAGGAGATAAAGATCTGTAAAATGGCAGCCAGAGTGGAGATGGAGAATGGGGAGAATTTATTTTCTCCGGAGGAAGAAAAAGATGTGGATATGTCCTCTGTTGTTGGCAAGGTTAGTTACCGGCACTTTGTTTGTGCTGATTTGCAGATAAGCTATCTCATAATTTTAATTGGCTTATTTTAAAAGTTTTTTACTTCTTGCTTTGAAGTTTTGCCTTTATTGTATAATATGATGACATGTTTGAAACTGTTAAATTCATTTTTTTTAAATTGAAACATTTTTCTAAAGGCACATTTAGTAAGTCCAAACAACGAGGAATATGACATCATTGTGGACACAATTAAAGAAAGACTTGATGAAGGACAGGGAGAAACTATCTATGAAATTGGGACTGGAGGTAAAATTGGTTAAGACTTGTTTTTAGCTCACCTGAGCTGAAAGCTCAAGTGAGCTTTTCTGATCACCTGTTCTCCATCGTCTGTCTGTCCATCTGTAAACTTTTCACATTTTCAACTTCTTCTCAAGAACCACTGGGCCAATTAAAACCAAAGTTGTTACAAAGCATCCTTGGGTGAAGAGGAGTTGTTAAGATGAAGGGCCAAGTCCCCTTCCAAGGGGAGATATCAAGGAAAGACAAAAATAGGATGGGGTCATTAAAAAATCTTCTTCTCAAGAACCACTGGGCCAGAAAAGCTGAAACTTATGTGGAAGCCTCCTGAGGTAGTGTAGATTCTAAATTGTTCAAATCATCATCATCCCCCCCCCCCCCCCCCCCCCCCCGGTAGGGTGGAGCCAAAATAGGGAACCAACGTTTTACATTGAAATGTATAGGAAAAATCTTTTTCTCAAGAACCACTTGGCAAAAAAAAGCTGAAACTTATATGAAAGCCTACTGAGGTAGTGTAGTCAAGTTTTGCATCAAATATATAGGAAAAATCTTTAAAAATCTTCTTTTCAAGACCACTGGGCCAGAAAAGCTGAAACTTATGTGGAGGCTTTCTTAGGTAGTGTAGATTCTAAATTGTTCAAATCCTAGATCCCGGGGTTAGGGTGGGGCCAAAATAGGGAATCAAAAGTTTTACATTGAAATACATGTATATAGGAAAAATCTTTAAAAATCTTCTTTTCAAGAACTACTGGGCCAGAGAAGCTGCAATTTATGTGGAAGCCTCCTGAGCTAGTGTAGATTCTAAATTGTTCAATTCATAGCCCCGGGGGTAGGATGGTGCCACAATAGCAATCGAAGTTTTACATTTACCATTTTGTAAGCTCAGTGCTCAGAGTACCTATAGTTCTATTTAAAATGGTACCAGGCTTATTGCTTTAATTAAATGTTGTTTCCCCTGAAATCTTCAACTCTGTTAACAATAACTTGTACTGGGATAAATCCTGATGCTATGAAAGTAAATTGATGACTGTTTAAAATATATATATATGTATATGCACCCAATTACAAATTTTGTTACTTATTAGACAACTATGTTTAGGTTACTTTGAGCAACTGAGGCATTTACTGAAATTTATAATAAACAACAAGAAATTCAGATTTAAAAATTTATGCTTGAATATTGTCCTTTTGTTACAAGGTATATAATTATTTTATAGTTATAAATTGATAACATTGTAACAAAACTGATTTTTTTTTTTCAAGCGTTGAACTGAAATTTACTGAATGCTCCCTTTTATTCAGTAGATGTAGTAACTGAGACAGTAACAATCAGATTTTAATGACATCAGTGAAAAAGAAAATGTGGATTACTTTTTATTACACAGACATTTTCTAACTCAAAAGCAGTCTATATCTTAAGGACATTGGCAAGGTTCCTGGTTATCGTATAGAATTTTTCAAGAACTCTTGAGTAGGTTTAATTGTACTAAACAGGCTATATTCTGGATCGTTTAACCTATGAAGCCAACCTTCTTTTTTAAATTTTGTCAAATCAGTGGTTTTACAATTCTCAATGCATTTCCTATGTAAAATGTTGATAAAAGGGACCTACATAATTTTTCACGATAATATTTCTCCAAAACCCACTTATTTCATATAGTTTTTGTATCATATACATTATTGTATCTTCATTTCCTATGAATTCTAGATATTTTGGCTGAAAATGTATATAAAGAAACAAGACATGGACATACCTGCAGCGATCATGTATTTTTGAGTTGCTTCCCTTAACAGCTAAAATTGGTCAAGAGACTGGTTCGTTGTTTCTGTGATGTAATTGACTGAATTGATGAAACACATTGTCATAAAAATATTTGCATTTTTTTTTTAACTTTTTTATTCGTAGTTTCTAAACGTTGCTACCTTCACACCTAAGAACTGTTCTCACTCGGCCTACCTTTCAGATGTCACATCTTTGCCCTTCCCAGTATACGCGCTGAGCATAACTATGGTAAATGATGACCTGTTGACTCTTTGTCCCTGAATACAATGTACAACAACGCCTTTATTACTTTTCTTTCTTGCTGTGTAGATGATTCTACCCGTTGACGGAGGTAAACGTGCTTTTGTTTACCTCTGTAAACATACGCTTTATTGGTTTTCACCGCTTATAGAATTCTACACGGGAGATCACTCTCAATCACTATTTTATAAGTGAACAAACCCATGTATTAAACCTTTTTTCTCCAGAAAACCCTGACTTGCCAATGTCCTTAAACTTGAAGTTCAGAACTGAAATGTTGTTTCTGCTTTAATTCTCCTTTAACTGTATTTTGTGACTTGCAGAGGGGGATTCTCCAGGTCTCTCACCAGAGGACATGCAGGCATCCATAGCTACACTTAAAAGCATAGCAGAATCTCTAAACTTAGAAATGGTGCAGCTACGTGAGAGAAAAGAGGGAGAGGGGCTGGTGACTGAGTATTTACTGAGAAAGACATTAGATAATGATGACTTCATGGAAGTCAGGTAAGAGTTGTTTCCCTTAAAAATCTTAGTAAAGAGTAGAAAGATGTCAAGACATCCATTGAATCATATCTTATTGTTGATTTTATGCAGAGTTGTTTCTTTTATGGGTGCATTTATATTTATTACTGATAATGAATCAGGCAAACAATGTATGAATCATAGAACCAAACAAGTTGCAATTTGTAGCGGGGGCACCATTTTAGATTCATTTGCAATAGATCTATCTGCCATCCTGGGTAGTATGTGACTCGCATGGATATAAGCTCTGGTCTTTCGTGAATGATCTGAATTTTTTAATAGGATTTCCACATTCAAAATCTTTCTAAAATTCATCGCCAAGATTTCTTTAAAGTACAATCTCCGTATTCATGTTTGTTTTATAGGGTGGCAGTTGTTGGCAATGTAGATGCAGGAAAAAGTACATTACTGGGAGTTTTGACTCATGGTGACCTTGACAATGGACGTGGCATGGCCAGACAGAGACTCTTTCGACACAAACATGAGATGGAATCAGGGCGTACCAGCAGTGTGGGCAATGATATTCTGGGATTTGATGCAGCTGGACATGTTGTAAACAAACCTGATCATGGAAACCTAGACTGGATCAAAATTTGTGAAAAGTCTTCAAAGGTAATAATGCTTCATTAAATAACTCTGTTATATTGAACTGTAAACTTTACAATCAAGCAATGCAATAAAATCTTATGCACAAGTTTTATGCATTCAACATTTACATCTTTTAAGAATTATTTCTTTGTTCAAAAATTATATTGAAGACAGCATATGTTTATGAAATTATGAAATGGATTTAAGTTTATGGTGTCGGTTAAATTACAGGTAATCACATTTATTGACTTAGCGGGTCATGAAAAGTATCTAAAGACCACAGTGTTTGGGATGACAGGACATGCACCAGACTTTGCCATGTTAATGGTTAGTACGCGTATTTTGAGAAGTGTTGAACCAGTGCATTGTGTTTGTGTTGAAGAGTTTTTGCTTAGTGCACATAAAGGGATGCCTGTACTAATAACTGCTGGTTGATTTGCAGGTTGGATCCAATGCTGGTGTCATAGGAATGACCAAGGAGCACCTGGGTCTGGCTCTGGCCTTAAATGTCCCTGTATTTGTTGTTGTGACAAAAATTGACATGTGTCCTCCAAATGTACTACAGGAGACTTTAAAAATGTTACAGAGGATTCTCAAGTCCCCGGGGTGCAGGAAGATCCCAGTTATTGTACAAAACACAGATGATGTTGTATGTTCAGCAACTAATTTCACATCTGAAAGGTATGTCATGAAAAGAAATGTCAGTTTTCCTGAAATTTAACTGTTTTCATATGCATATCTTTTTTAAGTATGAAGGTAATCCAGTGTAGTTTTGCATTGAAGTGAAAGTATGGTAGAAACTGTATCTCAAGTAGTTTATTTGCATTATCCTTCACAAGGCCACCATGATAAATTTTAAATGATAGAATTGTGGTCTGCCTCTTTTGAGGTCTCATTGGTTATTGTGCAGTTATTTATGGCATATTGTAGCTGTCTTGTGTGTCCTGTTTTGTCTATCCATCATACATACATGTAAAAGATTTTAATTTTTGAATTTATAAAAGTTGCAGTCATGAATAAAGTTTCTAAAAACTTTATCAAACTTCAAGGTTATTAAGGTCATGAGGTCAAAAGTCATAAAACATTCTGAAAGGTTAAGTGTGAAATTCTTATCTCCTCTTGTTCAAAGCTGTTACGAATACATGTATTAAAATTGTTTAAAAGTAGATCAAACTTCAACGTCAAATGATACATTTGGAAAGATCTTGTCATATGTAGTTCACAAGGTTATGTCCAATGTTAAAGTTTTTGAAAAAGACGGACAGATGGATGGACAGATTGACAGAGAAATGATATTTAATGTCCCAAAGACAAATATGAATAGCTGTTTTGGAATCTATACGAACTTCTCCTCTGGGTAATAATTTGTAAAATTTTAATTTTCTTTAGTATTTCTTCATGTACTGTATAGGGGATTAATTTCACGGGTTGTAATTTTCACATTTTTCTCACCTCTGACATGATCGCGGTTTGTTGAATTCACGGAATTATATAATATTATATGTAATAAATGTTACCTCCCTTGTCTATATCCGTTTAATCCATAGCGTAGCTAGAACGATCATTGTTATGTATTCAGTTCACGAACAACAGGGTAAATTTATATAGAATAGTAAAATTTAATAATTAATTGATGATTAATTAAAACAAGTGCAGTGATTAAAATTCCTTGACTATAAATGTCGAATGACTTTCCTATATGCTATTACGTTGGGTGCATATATACACCCCACGATCTTCTTTCCATAGGGAAAAAACACTGGACCGTAATAAATGTGTTAATGTAAGTCGACGAAATAATATCCTTCCACATCTTCAGCAAGTTCGATAGTTATTTGAATGATTTTTTTTAACCAAAATGCCGATAATGCAGGTAACAAATACACATGGTAACATTAGTTACGCACGGATAATCAAAACCCATGACCCACGTGTTTTGATCGATGAAACATGTAGCGTTGGCTATTAAAACAGCTTTTTAACAAATACAGGTTATTATTTTCTGATTTGAATTAAAGTAAAGCGTGATGATTAAAATAATTGAATGACAAGTACTACTCGTAAGTACTGAAGGACCATGTACTGCACGTATATATATACCTATCGTAGTATATTCTCAAATTTCCAAATGAAACATCCGCAGTTACTGAAAACTTATTCACTGTTTCTTGAATTCACGGATTTATTAACACCGTGAATGTAGTGAATATTAATACTGCGAGTTATTTTCCCCCATACAGTACATTACACAAATTTTTTATTTCAGAATGTGTCCAATATTTCAAGTGTCAAATGTAACAGGAGAAAACCTTGATTTGTTAAAAATGTTCCTTAATCTGTTATCGACACGATTAAAATCTGAAACCTCAGCACCAGCAGAATTCCAAATAGATGACACATTCTCAGTACCGGTGGGTATTGTGTGAATTTAAGACTGAGTTAAGATGTACATGTAATGTACTTTACCCATAGCTACTTAATTCTGTACAGTATATTTCATAATTTAATCAATTGATTAGTCAAAATGATTCAAGTTTATGCAGATATTTTAGCATATTAGGGAAAGTTTTTCCTTACGAAAATCTGATATTGAATTAAGTTGTTAATTTATGAGAGAACAACCTACTAAGGAATTACAGAAATAAATTCTCTTGTTTTTTACCTGTTGAATACATATACCTACAGTTCACAGTAAATAAAAAATTCCACATATGTATTTATCATTTTTATTTGTTGAAGTTTGAAAGAAATCTAATTGCTTGACTCTGTAACAGGGTGTTGGAACCGTTGTATCAGGGACTCTACTTCAGGGTATGATTAAATTGAATGACACCTTACTACTGGGACCTGATGCCCTTGGGCATTTTCAGCCAATCACTGTCAAGAGCATTCATCGTAAACGTATGCCAGTAAGAGAGGTCAAAGGAGGTCAAACAGCATCATTCTCACTTAAAAAGGTAAGAAGTAATCATTATAGAATATAATCATAAGAAATACAAAATTTGCATGGATTAATTGAAGTGTTTATGTCATTACAGTGAAACCTGTCTGACATTCACTAGATCAAAAATATTTTGTGCCGCAATGGACAGGTGTCTGATTGCACAGTGTAAAGAACATAGAAAATACTAGTAGTTAAGTGGGAATAAAAATGAAGGTTGGACTGTACAGTGTAATGGATTGCAGAGTGTCAGATTAGACAGTTTTTAGCTCACCTCAACGAAGATGGGGGAGCTTATGTAATACCCTCGGCGTCGGCGTCCTAGGTTAAGGTTTTTGGAGCAGTTTTCTTTTCAAGTACTTCTATAGCCTATATTAGTCAGAGATGCATGGAGGATACTTCTAGTGTGTTTTATTGTACCAGTCAAGGTTTCAGATGCTGCAATTTCAGCTAAAGAATGACCAGGTTAATGTTTTTGGAGCAGGATAAAGTTTTTGGAGCAGGTCTCATTTCCAAGTAACTATAAGCCCTATATTGACCAAACTTGCATGGATGATACATCTAAGGATGCACACTACTGAACTTGCTTCGGATGCTGGATCTGACCTACATTTTCTGGATGAGTGACTAGGTTAAAGTTTTTGGAGTAGATTTCATTTCCAAGTAACTATAAGCCCTATATTGACCAAACTTGCATGGATGATACATCTAAGGATGCACACTACTTGACTTGCTTCGGATGCTGGATCTGACCTATATTTTCTGGATGAGTGACTAGGTTAAGGTTTTTGGAGCAGATCTCATTTCCAAGTAACTATAAGCCCTATACTGACCAAACTTGCATGGATGATACATCTAAGGATGCACACTACTGGACTTGCTTCGGATGCTGAATCTGAACTATATTTTATGGATGAGTGACCAGGTTAAACTTTTGAGAGCAGATTTCATTTCCAAGTAACTATAAGCCCTATATTGACCAAACTTGCATGGATGATACATCTAAGGATGCACACTACTTGACTTGCTTCGGATGCTGGATCTGACCTATATTTTCTGGATGAGTGACTAGGTTAAGGTTTTTGGAGCAGATCTCATTTCCAAGTAACTATAAGCCCTATATTGACCAATCTTGCATGGATGATACATCTAAGGATGCACACTACTGGACTTGCTTCGGATGCTGAATCTGACCTATATTTTATGGATGAGTGACCAGGTTAAAGTTTTTAGAGCAGATGTCATTTCCAAGTATCTATAAGCCCTATATTGACCAAACTTGCATGGATGATACATCTAAGGATGTACACTACTGGACTTGCTTCGGATGCTGGATCTGACCTACATTTTCCAGATGAGTGACTAGGTTAAAGTTTTTGGAGTAGATCTCATTTCCAAGTAACTATAAGCCCTATATTGACCAAACTTGCATGGATGATACATCTAAGGATGCACACTACTGGACTTGCTTCGGATGCTGGATCTGACCTACATTTTCGGGATGAGTGACTAGATTAAAGTTTTTGGAGCAGATGTCATTTCCAAGTATCTATAAACCCTATATTGACCAAACTTGCATGGATGATACATCTAAGGATGTACACTACTGGACTTGCTTCGGATGCTGGATCTGACCTATATTTTACGGATGAGTAACCAGGTTGAAGTTTTTGGAGCAGATCTCATTTCCAAGTAACTGCAAGCCCTATATTGACTAAACTTGCATGGATGATACATCTAAGGATGTACACTACTGGATTTGCTTCGGATGCTGAATCTGACCTATATTTTATGGATGAGTGACCAGGTTAAAGTTTTTGGAGCAGATGTCATTTCCAAGTAACTATAAACCCTATATTGACCAAACTTGCATGGATGATACATCTAAGGATGCACACTACTGGATTTGCTTCGGATGCTGGATCTGAGTTACATTTGAGTTACATTGAGTGACCAGGTTAAGGTTTTTGGAGCAGATCTCATTTCCAAGTAACTATAAGGCCTATCTGAACCAAACTTGCATGGATGATGCATCAAGGGACGAACAATCTCAAAACTTGCCTCGGATGCTGGATTTGACTTACATTTTCTGGATGAGTGACTAGTTTTAAGTTTTCAGATAAGTCTATTCCCAAGTAACTGCAAGCCCTATCAGACCAAAATTGCATAAATGTTATACTAGGGATGCACACTCCTAGATTATTAGTTTAGTGTGGGACTTTACCTTACTTAAAGACAACATTCGTTGAGGTGAGCTCTGTAATTTCTGATTACCTATGTTTACTCTGTTGATTTCTTTTCTGACTAAAGAATAACATTTGTTACAAATATGGTGAAAGAATTTCATAAGAATTGGAAAATTTTATTTAAAAGATGTCAAATTGTCTTATGTTTTAAAAATGTGCAGTCTTTATTATTAATTTTTATGTGTTTTGTCCAGGTAAAAAGGTCATCAATACGAAAAGGAATGGTGATGGTTTCTCAAAAACTAGAACCAAAGGCTTGCTGGGAGTTTGAAGGAGAGATTTTAGTTTTACATCATCCGACAACAATAAGTGTGCGGTACCAGGCTATGGGTAAGATTTTATCTCAGCTACTGACCAGGGTACAAAATTCCTGTCCAAGATTAGTTCCACTTTATTTACATTACAGGATATGTAGCATTATGGTCAAAGACTAAAATATAAAACCATAATGCTACAGTTCTGCAGCTATATTTATATGTAAGCATCTTCAGGTAGTCATTTAAGTTTAGTCAAATAATGACCCCCAGGGATGGGTTGGGGCCACAATGGGCAATGTTATACATAGGAATACATAGGATTTTTTAGCCGGGCTTTGCTGAAAGCAAAGTCCTGGCTGTAGGCATCCTGATCGACTGCCTTACTATAAATAGCACAGTTTAGAAAAGTAAACAAAAAGCCGAACAGCATCAAAGCAGACGCTTCCGATAAACAAAATAGTCACAATGAGAGATGATACGGTACTTAAACAAATATTTTTAACATCTCAATCTTTGAAAATGTTAATTGATCAATATTTTTGTTTGAAAATTAAATTGAAAGAGGAATTAGATATTTACTTTATTAGGGTAATCGTGATATACATGTAACAATTTGTGTACATGCGCTACGTTATACTGAATGCATATTGTAAGCGAACTATTTTCAATAGCGCGGGCTTTTCAACATGTTTCTATATTGAATTGTTGAAGAATTTCACATCGTTTTCGTCGATGCTGTGCGAGTGGTTATATTCTCTGTTTTATTTTTTATCAAAATAATAGATAAGTGAATTGGAATTTGAAGAATTAATATGAGTTATGCCTGAAGTCGCTTTTCAATGTATCAGTGTATCTACATGTAGTTGGCGATAAAAGTACTGTTTGTTTGAAACTAAAAGAATATCTCTAAAAATATGCGCATTACTTTAACTATTCTAAGACTGAATTGCTAGGTCAATTTTAAGTTATGAGAAAAAATTCTTATTGAATAGAAAATATGCGAGAAATCCTTGGAAATACATGTATAATTTATTAAATTTTAAAATCATAAAATATCTGCACATGTATGTTAAATGATTACCTAGTATTTTGAAATTCTTGACAATGACCATGTAAGAAAGTTCAGCTAAAACATTTAAATTGAAAAGAAATTCAGAGAAATTTTATTTTCAAAGTCTACCATGAAATTATTTCTTGACATGTAAATTATATCTTATGATTGAGTTGTCTTTTTAAAAAGCTGACACTTTAAAAAAGAGAGCGAAAATTAATTTACTTGCATTTAAGCATTTCGTTATATATTAAGAGCAATCTTGGACTTGTTCATCTTTGAATTCAGATTATTATGGAGAGGCCTGAACGTTGAATTTCCTTAGATTTGAACATTTTTAAAAGATTGGAATTAAAAAAAATATTTTCCTATGTTAGAATTATAATGATGTTTGTATGTAAATATTCCCAGGATTATTCTTACAGTCGTAATACTGGCAATGATTTCAATATATTACTCTAATAAATTAAAATTTGAATGCGTTTAAAGAAAAGGGTTTGAAAATACGGTATTGCTTCAATAATTCTGAATGCAATTAACATAACTTTCTCCTTTTAAATATAATTTCGAACAAAAATCGTTATGATGGTTAATATCTTGTGTAAAGGTGATTTAAATAAAGTTCACAATGCAATTCCATTTGGTTAATATTTTTATTAAAAACTTTTAATTTAGATGACTGGGTTAAAGATTTATATTCTGTGAGCATGTAATATGAAATAAATAAAAATGTAAATATAGAAATTTCATGTGAATATGTGTATGTATATATTGATTATTTATATCCATAAATGATCAATCAGTTAAGCATTGAAAATTTCTTTGCTTACAAATTCTGATAAATTTTTTGACAAAAGCTACATGCTTTGTTTTGTGAAAATTTTGTGGAGACTTCTCCACTTGGATTTATCTCGCATGTGCTCCCAGAGCACTTAACAGTATATTGAGCGTGCGCGCGCTTTTCAATAGAAAGTGTCTAAAAACACATACAAGCTCCCAATGGTGCTGGGAAATAAAAAAGTCGTTCATGTAAATAAATAATTTTAAAAAAATACATATAAATAAATACATATAAAAATGTTTATTAGTCTTTATCTAAGTATAACACAATATTTTTAGAAATCGTTGGTTAGTCTTTGCTTCAAAATTTCCTGTTCAGAATGAAGAGCCGACTATGAACAAGCCATAAAGACATGAATATATCATGATTTTCTCAGGCAATGACCATTTTGGTCAAACATGGAACTAGAACTAGACTCATACATGAATTCATGTCATAAAAATAGATAATTATCAATTCCGTGTAGCTGGTTTCCTAGAGGTCCAGAAATAAAGAATATTTTTCACTGATAAATACAGGCATGTAGATCGTTTTTAAAGAAGAAAAAAAAAAGGAAAACTGCCCTATTCCTTGCGAGAAGGGGTAGGGTTGGGTTCCAACTTACGTTCACATTTCGAATTTTATCAATACATTACCAAATTATCGTAATTTTAATATGCTACAGCAAAATGAAGGGTACAATCTAATTAACGATAGACCATCCATTTTGCTTTTAGTAAACCTGTCAGTCGCTCGTGACAAATACCCGGTAAATTTACGAAGAGTGAGATAAGAAGTCTAATTTAAATTCGATTGCAAAGAGTCAATCAACCTTTCAATGTTCATTTTCCGTTGTAAAAGTTTATGTTTGAAAAATGGTGACGCCCATAGCTCCCCCCCATACTATGTGCCTGTATTAATCAGCAAAACCACTCAAAGTGCACTGTCACCATGTATACCCATTGTGAGCTTAATTTTCAGAAAGGTATAAATGTATTTTCATTAAAAATATGACCAACTAAGTCCTATCTTGATTCTAAACCGTTGGGTTCTGGACCATTAATTTTAATATTGGTAGATGGGTTATTGTTAATCATAATCCTACAAACTCTACCTGTAAAATATAAATGGCCAGAAAGAAAGATTTTTAAATGTGTACTAATTTCGGAATAGATAATATACTCGAATAATTAAAGCCCGGCTTTCAGTACTTTCAGTACTTTGATTTTTAGCTCACCTGAGCTGAAAGCTCAAGTGAGCTTTTCTGATCACCCGTTGTCCGTCCGTCCGTCTGTCCGTCTGTCCGTCCGTCCGTCCGTCCGTCTGTCCGTCCGTCTGTAAACTTTTCACATTTTCAACTTCTTCTCAAGAACCACTGGGCCAATTTTAACCAAACTTGGTACAAAGTATCCTTTGGTGAAGGGGAGTGTAAATTGTTAAAATAAAGGGCCAAGTCCCCTTACAAGGGGAGATAATCAAGAAAAGACAAAAATAGGGTGGGGTCATTAAAAAATCTTCTTCTTAAGAACCACTGGGCCAGAAAAACTGAAACTTATGTGGAAACATCCTGGGGTAGTGTAGATTTTAAATTGTTAAAATCATGACCCCCGGGGGTAGGGCGGGGCCACAATAGGGAATCCAAGTTTTACATTGAAATACATAAGAAAAATCTTAAAAAATCTTCTTCTCAAGAACCACTGGGCCAGAAAAGCTGAAACTTATATGGAAGCATCCTGAGGTAGTGTAGATTCTAAATTATTCAAATCATGACCCCCGGGGGAAGGGCGGGGCCACAATAGGGAATCCAAGTTTGACATTGAAATATATAGGAAAAATCTTAAAAAATCTTCTTCTCAAGAACCACTGGGCCAGAAAAGCTGAAACTTAAATGGAAGCATCCTGAGGTAGTGTAGAATCTAAATTGTTCAAATCATGACCCCCGGGGGTAAGGCGGGGCCACAATAGGGAATCCAAGTTTGATATTGAAATATATAGGAAAAATCTTAAAAAATCTTCTTCTCCAGAACCACTGGGCCAGAAATACTGAAACTTATATGGAAGCATCCTGGGGTAGTGTAGAATCTAAATTGTTCAAATCATGACCCCCGGGGGTAGGGCGGGGCCACAGTAGGGAATCCAAGTTTGACATTGAAATATATAGGAAAAATCTTAAAAAATCTTCTTCTCAAGAACCACTAGGCCAGAAAAAGTGAAACTTATATGGAAGCATCCTGAGGTAGTGTAGATTCTAAATTGTTTAAATCATGACCCCCGGGGGTAGGGCGGGGACATAATAGGGAATTCAAGTTTTACATTGATATACAGAAGAAAAATCTTTAAAAATCTTCTTCTCAAGAACCACTGGGCCAGAAAAGCTGAAACTTATAAGGAAGCATCCTGGGGTAGTGTAGATTCTAAATTATTCAAATCTTGACCCCCGGGGGTAGGGCGGGACACAATAGGGAATCCAAGTTTTACATTGAAATATATAAGAAAAATCTTAAAAAATCTTCTTTTCAAGAACCACTGGACCAATAAAGCTGAGACATATTTGGAAGCATCCAGAGGTAGTGTAGATTCTAAATTGTTCAAATTTTGTTCCCCTGGGGTAGGGCGGGGCCACAATAGGTATATTAAAAGGGGGGAAATCTGGTAAAGAACAGCATGGCCAAAGTTACTCAGGTGAGCGATGTGGCCCATGGGCCTCTTGTTTTTAAATCTTCTTCTCAAGAACAGCAAACAGGTGAATGAGTCATATTTACATGTCTGTGGAAACATCTCTGGTAGTGTAGATTCAAATTTGTTCAAATCATGACCTCCCAGGGTAGGGTAGGGTGACAGTGGGCAATCATAATTTTACATAGTGAATATATAGGAAAAAATATTTAAAATCTTCTCAAGAACAGCAAACCCATTATTAGTTCCCTAAACGCTTGCAGATATTGAGCTGATTTTTGGTATATGAGTGTATCTTGATGAGTTACAGATCAAATTTGCATTTTGTTCCGCTTCATTGACTTTTGACAGAATTATGTCATTTTCAATTTTTAACAGGAACCAGATTACACTTGCTGGTAGGGGACTAGTATTGCTAATGCAATACTTTCCGAATGCTAGTTAGTCATATTAATGTAGAGTCATCCTCAGGTATTGTTGAAGCAAGTTTGTTCAAATCCTGTGGGGTAGGGTTGGACCACAATAGTGATTTAAGTTTTACATAACAAATTATAGGGAAAATAATTTGCTGATGAGAAACAAAAAGGCCAATGTTACTCAGGTGAGTCTTGTGGCCCATGGGCCTCACGTTTTTCAGTTCTTTATTTTATGTCAATTTTCCTTTACAGTACATGTAGGAAGTGTTCGACAAACTGCCACCATAATGAGCATGACCAAAGAACACCTACGAACAGGTGACAAGTCAATTGTGAGATTCCGCTTCATAAAGAATCCGGAGTATTTAAAGACTGACATGCGTATGGTGTTCCGAGAAGGAAGAACAAAGGCCATTGGCAACATAACAAAACTATACCCACATGTCAGTGCAGTTGCTCAGAACACTCGACAACAGCGGGCAGCCAAGAAAGCGCAGGAAGCAAACCACCAGGTCCATCCTCAAAATGAACCGCAGAAACCCAGTAAAAAACGCAGAACACGGAACAGCAGCAAAAACCTAGACATGGAGGAATCCAAAGAGAATGTTCCATCATCAAGTTCTGTTCAGGAAGTGACAGTTCAGTCATGAATCAAAACTTAGTGGGTATTCTTTTAGGTCATGTTTCTGTAAGGCAGTTAACACACCTGAAAATGCCAGAATTTCCAATATCATTTTTGCATGCTTTTGTCTTATGGCATTCATTAAGTGTTGGAGCCAAAAAAATCTTCATAAGTGAAAGACTTGCAGCTAAGCATTGTTTTTAGATTTATATCAAATCAAATTTTTATACTGCAAGATTAATCTAAGATTTTTTAAATTCATCAGTGCAATGTTTGTTATTTTTAAAGTAAGTCTGAAAGTCTAAGATGAAAATAATTTGAATGGCTTAATGTATATATGAGTTGTTTACATCAGTATTTCAGTATTTTAGTTGGTATTAAGAATTCAACTCTTTAGATTGCAAACACAGTTCTAAAATTATTCTAGATGAGTATTGAATAGAAATGTGTTTTGCATGAAATTACCTAAAACATAAGGCAGAGGATAAGTAAAGAATACAATAAAATACCTGGAATAAATTGAATTCACACTTTTCAAAATGTTAGTGTTTTTAACCTATTTTAAAAGAAGGCTGAATTTTTTAGTGGGTTTGTTAATAAAAAGATAAATCTGTTGTGTGTTGTTATGAGTAAAACTTGACATGTTGCATTGTTCAATAGACACACATTTAATTGAACTCTGGAGACCTGGGTTTGGCTTGTAGATTATGTAAAAGGGAAATCCCGGCAGTAAAAGGAATGTATGATATGGGTACTTTTTAATTCACATCAATATTATCAAAAACAACCGACTCTGAAATTAATATAAAAACATAATAAAATCAGTAGATACACATATAGCACACTTGATTGTGATAGAATTCGGCCGAGCCGAACCAAGCCGGGTAAACCCCGGTACACTCTTAGAATCAAGTGAACAGGCTCATGTAAAATGATAAAATATTGTATTTCTATCGTAAAACATTTTCTAGCATAGAAAAGGACTACACTTTTTGCAGATATGTTCATTTCACAAGCGTACCTCAATCAAAAGCTTCACGTCTTAAAACAAACAACTTTCAACACTACTATCCCCAAGGATGCCATGTTGAAGCCGCCCGAGCCTATCATATTTTTCCAGCTCAATCGGCTCACCTGGCTTGATGCGTCCGCAATACCAGCTCAGAATCAAGTGTGTTGTCGGTCATCGCCGGTTTACCCGGGCGCACTGGATAGTCAGAATCAAGTATGCTAATAGAAATCATTATTCAAATGGTGTCTAAATAACACACTACCTAGAAATTACCTATGCATTATAATGCATAAGGGATATAACTCTTACTCATTAATTACTTAATTTCACAATTGTGAAGAGTTATCTTTGAAATAATGTAATTATTCATACCAGTGTATTGAACCAAGTCCAATGACAAAGATAAAATAGTCTATGCACATGATTTTACCAATGTAACAAATTCTTCATTAAACATATAAGATAAAATATTCTTTATTTCCTCCAAATTAATGGAGAGAGTTTGTATAATCAAATAATTTACTCATGTGATAACAAAATGCAAAAAAAGGAAACATATTTTGATTAAAAGATCAAAATATTAGTACTTACATGTCTGTGTCCAGGGAAATAAAGTTCTTTGTCAGAAATATAATATGGATTGAAATACATGTATTTTATTTTTTTAGTTAACCATAGCACAACTTTCTAGATGTTTTAGACAAAAAATGAAATTTGGGATTCTACAATGTATGTGTTTGAAACAATTTTTCACAGACTATAATGCAGTGATCTTGCAAAATGTAAGTTCCTTAATATGATCCAAAGTTTTGGACAAAGTCTACAATCTTAGGAACAGAAATCAAAGATTACCAGGTACTCAGCTCTGAACTTCCAGGCCAATCTTAATATGGTCAAGGTAGACAGGGTTTTTTTTTTATTGCTGTACATTTTGGGACTGAGTAGCATGAAGAAATTATCACATAAGGGAGGCTTTTGTGACATGGAGCATGTGGAGCTATCTTTGATACATGTACCAAATGACCATCTAGGTCCATGGCCGTTGTTATTGTCCCCTGCCTTAACATAGAGTTAAACTATTGTGATGAAAAAGAGGGAGGTTCAGACCTTAAAAGAGGTAGCATTGTGCGCATTGCTTTACGCATCAATTTAAAGGTGTATATATGGCCTAAAATGACCACAGCAATAATTAAACTCAAATATCAACTGCAATAATTTGACATAAATTATACAAATATAAATATTTCTCATGCTCATCATTTTGGCTTTCATTGGCTGCTTAGTCTTTTTGAAATCTGTGTAAACATTGGTTAAAAAAGCATTTGTATGCTCCCAGTTCAAACCACACAATATCTTTACGAGATTTTATGATGAGTGGCTTCAAATATGGCTACCCAAGCGAACCAAAAATGGATTTTGTAGAAAAGCGATAGATTTACGAATAAAAGCGGTAGGCGGAAGATGGAGTAAAAATCGGTAAACTTCTGCCTAAAGTAGTAGAGTTAACATGTATGCCTTTAGCAAATGCGAAGGGACATTCAATCTCATTTATCTTTTTGTCACATAAACTTTACCTTGGTTACCATAACTTCTGAATGAGAGAAGATAGGGCTTTTACATTTCACTTGCATTACCTGTGACAAGACCTTTTAGAATCTGTTTGAATTTTTTACCTCTAGATCTTGATGTTAGACCTATTTTTTTTCAAATATTTATGCCCCGCCATGAATCTGGCCGGGGCATATCGTGTTTGTCATGTCCATCTTCTGTCCTTTCATCACACTTTAACTCAGTTTCAAAGAAACTACATGTATTAAATATATTTTTATCAAACTTCATATGCTGATACATATTGATGAGAGCTATTCAACTGCATCAATATTTTTTTTTACCTTGACCTTCCCTCTAACCTTAAGCTTACTTTTTAGTAAGTGAAACCGGAGGTGACTATAGGTTTCCTCTGCATCTGTCTGTCTAGTTGTCTGTCTGTCCCACTTGGTTTTCCGCACTTTTTCCTAAATGCTTGCAGATATTGAGCTGATTTTTGGTATGTGAGTGTATCTTGATGAGTTACAGATCAAGTTTGCATTTTGTTCCGCTTCATTGATTTTTGAAGGAATTACGACCTTTTCAATTTTTAAGGGTTTTCCACAATTTTTTTCTAAACATTTGCAGATATTGAGCTGATTTTTAGTAGGTGACTACCTTGATTAGTTATAGATCAAATTCACATTTCGTTCCACTTCAATGATTTTTGACGGAATTATGGCATTTTCAACTTTTAACTGGAACCTGATTACACTTGCCGGTAGGGGACTAGTATTGCTAATGCAATACTCTTAGAATGCTTGTCTTGATCAGTGATTAGCTCATTTTAAATAAACTATTCAAGATATTTTTATAAAACCATATATGCTGATACAAACTGTTGAGAACTACTCAACCTCATAAGCATTTTTTTACCTTGACCTTCCCTTTGACCTTGACTACGCTTTTCTTAAATTTGTGTTTAACTCAAATATAAAGAAACTATTCAAGATATTTTTTTTTCAAACTTCATATGCTCATACATATTGATGAGAGCTATTCAACTGCATCAACATTTTTGATCTTGACCGTTCCTTTGACCTTGACCTAACTGTTCTCAAATTTGTGTTAGCTCACTTTGAAGGAAACTATTCCTGTGAATATTTTTTTATGTAAGCTTATGCACAGATGAATTATTTGTGAGAATTCTTCAACCTTGTCCAATTTATTTTTACCTTGACCTTCCAAATGACCTTTGAATTTACTGGTAATATATTGTGTATAGAACTCAATGCAGTCGTAAAACTTTATTCAGTCATACAAATCTTCATGTCTCATTACTAATGAACTCTGGGTGGGGCAGTCCTGTCCTATGGACATATTTCTAGTTTGACTTAATAAATTTTGAAAGAAGATAGGGCTTACATATTTCATACCTGTGACAAGCCCTTTACAGAAGGTACTCATGATTTTTGTCCCAATGACATTTTGACCTACATGTATACTTTTGAAAAGTTGAAGTTTTGCACAAAAGGAGACGAGGCTTTCACATTTTTAAGACGTTCATTACCAGTGATAAGAGCTTTCTGATTGTACTTTGAATTTTGACCTTATGACCTAGATTTTAAAGTTTACTAAAAACTTAAATCTTGGCAGCAACTTTTTCAGAAATAATTTTTTTTTTTTAGCATTATTGACAGACAAGACAGATAACATGTTATAGATCATATTGCACCCCCGACCAACAAGACCCAAAAGCAGGGGATTAAATTCTTTGAACTTGCTCGTTTCCTGAAATGGAAATTGTTTTTGGTCAGTGTTCACTTGTTTTGCCAATGGAAGGATAATCTGGCATATCCAGGTCCTTGTTATGACTGCTGAAGCCAATATACCAGTCAAAAACCACAGTTATTATATGGTGTGAGAGAAAATCTTTTGTTTTGGAGAACAAAGTTTTGTTCATATGTCTTGCATAAGGCACACTTACACATCAAGTAGAGTCTTCTTTTCTATTAATGGTAATGTTCACTGCATTGTTACATCAGTACATTCAAAATGTAAATTAATAAAACAAAAGATCGTAGATTTTTTTAATAAAAACTGTTTATGCATACTGTACATTACTAGTCCATAAAACGGACGCAAATTATAAACAGACATGTAAATTAAAAATGTCCACATCTAATTATAAAGGTCTATCTGTATAATAATTTTTTTTTTCTTGAAAAAGAGATCTAAGTGTTTCCTCAAAACAATATCATTCATTCATCAGCAATTCATTTGTAAGTTTAATACTTTCAGCAAAAGTCCACGTCTTTTTTAAACACTCATATTTAATGAATGTTATCTGAGTATCTAAAATTAGCCTCACACACACATACGAAAAATGAATTACATTTCCACATGATCACAATCACACAACAACAAAACATTTTGCATAAGGTAATAGATCTAAATGCTACAAGATTGCGTTGAATGGTAAAGGTTTGTTCAACAAATGTAAGTTTACAATTACAAAAAAAAACAACAAAAAACTGGCACTAACCAGACCCCGAATCAGAGTATATCAAAAAGTACTGTACACTGTTAACATAATGAGACATTAGTTGTCAACATTATAATATGGCAGATTTTTCACTGGCTGCTCTCCTGAAGAGTTTTCTCGAATGCATCAAAAAATATGTCAGCATGATGCTTTTGGAAAATCAGTGTTGGACGGAATCGCATGGATCTGTCTCCACAGGCACCAGCATGAACACCTACAACACATCAACAAAAGTAGGGCTATCATCAAACACAGATTTCTTATTTTTCAAAATGGCATGCCGCTCTATACTGTGAAGAAAATGGCTTGCCACTCAATACTATGAAGAAACCAGACAATTTTCTTAAGAAAAACTTTTTTTTCTGCAGCATACAAGACAGGTATTTTTATTCAGTAATCACCTATAGATGCATTATCTTATGATTATAGTATCACTTGTTACCAAAGTTAAACAAATTTACCTCTGTTTCTTAGTTTCATAATAACGCCGTCTCGGAATGCTGCATCAGGGAAGTCTACAGAGCAAAATGTGCCCAGACCTCTCACATTAGAAACGCAGTGAGGGAATTTTTTCTGAAAAGAAATGATGGCTTAATTAAATGATTTCTGTAAAGAAAAGATAATTTAATGAAATGGTTATGTAATAATTTTAATACTGAGACTTTTATAAAGATGTCAAGTTATCTCCCTTATTTACCTCCATTTCATGAAGTCCATTCTGAAGATACTGTCCAGTCTCCTTGACGTTGTCCAGCAGATTATACTTCTTAATTGTGTTAATTACAGCCTCCAACAGCAGAACCTTGGAGGAGTCACCAACCCACGTGTTAAAGATGCGGAAAGCCTGAAACAACAAACTCAAATATATAGCTTAATCTGTGAATATATATGGCTTTTCCAAAGAATGCTATGTTAACTTTCCCAATTTTTTTTTAATTTTAAATGATTTTAAATTACATTGAAAATACCACAAAACCCACCTCTTTTGGTCTGAGATCTTCTTTGTAGTAGAAGCCTCCAGTCAACATTTTCTTGCTGAAGGCCACAATATCTGGGGCCTCAGGAAGGTCAAAGTGTTCATGTGCCCAGAATTTCCCGGTGGACCCACAGCCTGTCTGGACCTCATCCATCAATAATACTACTTCATTCTAAAAAACAGCGGATTTATTCAATTGTGTTCTGGGAGGAAGACATCTATATTCAGGGCTAAATTAACCCATTTTGATACAAGGTCCTGTACCCTTTCAATTGGGAAGTTTAAATTGAAATAGTTGCAAAATTTGGAAATATTGGTGTCTTATATTGTTTTACTACTGAGGCATATTCCCTATCCACACCTTTATGAATCATTAAAATCTCAAATTAAAATTTCAAATTCAAGTTGTTTTTTTTTTTTTAAAATGAATTGAAAAATCTAATCTATGGTACTTGCCATTCGAGAATTTTGACCTTAATTTTTTGGAAAAAAAAAGAGAGTCATTTTTCAATTGGGACAGGGCCCTTTTACCCAACCTGGATGCAAGGGTTATTAAGCCCTTGTATCATTTGTAGTAGTTAAAGGTATTTTATACCCCACCTCCCATATGAGTAAAATGGCCATTTTTTGCTACGGGAAACACTAAATAGGTGTCAGATTGAAATGTAAAACGGCACTATGTAATAAAGATTTTGAACTGAAAATCTCATTAAATTTTATTCAGTAGTATGAGGAGTTGTGGATAAGAGATGGCTACCCCAAAGTGATCTGGATGTACAGATGGAAGGACAGAAACCCCCATCTTTATACTCTCTGCTTTCAATTGGGGGGGGGGGGGGGGGGGTGTTAAAACAAAAACAAAAAGACGACGATTTCTTTTAAAAAAAAGACATTTTCTTCAATTCATCTTAAACTGTCTAGTACCTCTTTGCAAATCTTTTGAAGCTCCTGAAAAAATCTGGGTGAAGCAAAGTTGTCTCCCCCTTCTGCCTGAATTGGTTCAATACAACAGCCTACAACAGGGCGTCCCCTCTTGTTGTACTCCTCAATTCTCTCCCGTACCTAATATAGCAATAAATAGGGTCAAAATCTATAGAAAAAGCTTTAATTTTATCACCATTATACATTCATTATTTATGCTCTGCAGAAAAAAGATAGATATGAAATATAATGAACACCACCAACATCAGTGCATCTTTGACATCACTTCAGAAATAGACTCAGACCTGGTCTCTAAGGTACATTGTATAATATGCCAGGCCTGTTGTCAGCTTAATGTTCAAAGACTTTTATATTGCCTCGGTAAGAAATATTGTGTATTTAATTGCAATCAATCTACCTCATCTAGAGAGCGATTCTCTATCTCCATATTTTCTCTTTCATTCTCATGCAGAGGGTACTTCAGTTTCGGAAAGGTTGCCATCGGCCAGTCTGGAGTAGGGAAGTCCAGCTTGTGGATCCATTTGGAGTGGGTTATTCCAAGAGCACCTGTTATGAATTAGATGAAAAGTTTATTCACTTAGTGTATCCTTTTAGTTCTAGAATTTGTGTGATTTCTGAAGTACATTATTGTGTCATCAACTGATTTTTCAATACTCAATTGAACAAAGAAAGGAGTATACAACATGATCTACATATTTCTTTTACAAAAACGGCCAACACCCTTCACTACACAGACAGATGGTAAAACTCGGGAGGGAAAAGGAAATGGGGGTGAACTGTCACAGCATGCAGGTCAATCCTCGTGACATGGAGAAAGGCCAAAAAATTCTGTAGATGACCATGTCCACTACTTAGGTACTGTCAAATCCTACGCTCCACAAGAAAGTAAATACTTAGTAAGGTGTCAGAAACATACTGTAAACCAACTGTTATTGCGACAACTTTTATACAAGTTTTGTCTATTAATTTTCACAACCAAGGAAAAGTTTAACATTAATATACAATAATGATGTTGCCACGAGAAATATTCCCGAGTAAAAGGTGGGAAAACTCGCAGATATTTCTCTTAAGCCAATAAAAGTTGGTTTATAGTCACCATTTAAGTAGATACTCGAATTCAATCACTATACCGAAGTATAATACGTTTGTAGGGAACCAAATTTCCATGACAGGTTAAATAATAATTGTATACTAACCCATTGTTCTTCCATGAAAAGCCCCTGAGAAGGAGAGAACAGTAAGGTCTGGACACCCCGGTTCCTTGTTGTACAGACAGGAAGTTAGTTCTTCCTGTGTGGGAGGCAACCCTCCCCTCTTTTTTCTCTATCAAACATAACAGAATTATATGTATAATGTAAAGGTAGTCAACAATCTTCTTATATGCTGATAAAATAATTTATTAGCTTTGAAAATTGTATTGTTACAGAGAAAATTCTAATAAAAATCCTACACATTAGAAAAATACTCAGAATTTCTTCGCCCTTGATTGTTTGATATTGAATCTCTTCACCAAAACCTAACATAAAAAAAAATCCATTTCCATGTTCAACTTACTTGGTGTGTAATAAACATTGCTTTTTGTCCATGTTCAATTGAGCAGGCTCCACAGGCCATGGTCTGCACCTGATGCATTCCCGGTGGTGCCACCTTCAAGGGGAGATAATTATGTATTAACTCATTTATGCCTCTTTGCAATAACTTTATGGACTAAGTACCATTGAAGAAAAACTCACAGATAGCAGAGCATTTTTGAGGTGCCGAACCCAGTCCTTGGGTGGGAAAACAGCCAGTGCTGGTCTGTTTATAAAGGTACTCTAAATGGAAAAGAAAAGGTAATAATTATTTACTTCCAGCAGAAATTACCTCACAATTCACAAAAGAATTTAAACAAATTTGTTTTGATGCATGTTCTTCCCAACACCTTTATCTTTTATCATGCAAGCACATTCCCTCAACTAATATCTACAGCGTTACTTGATTCAAATAAAGATTTGTTAAAAAGAACCATGCATAGCATTTCCTCTGAAATGCATATCTTACTTCCTGGTTTGCGACATCTGAATGTAAGAAACCTATGAAAACCATTTAAATTAAATTTGAAAAAAAAAATCAAGACAATTCAAACTAACAAGGGCTATATATCACTAAAAAATATAATAAATTGATTAAAACTTGATGTGAAGCTATCTTACCAAATTCTCTGGTTGACTCATGACCTGCAGCAGGTTGGGGTGATTGTATCCTGCAATAATGTAAGAAAAGCCTAAAATAGACTACCTAGTAAATCTTAATTACATTTTTCAGGAGAAATTTATTGCTTGTACAAAATGAAGACACCTAAATTAGATTTTTTTTTTTGCATTTTTTCGTTTCATTTTCTTAGAAACAACAATCCTATCGGCCATTATGCAAAGTAGTCATCTCTCTCTCTGTCTCTCTCTCTCTCTCTCTCACAAGCCCTTCACTTGGGCAAATTTGAATATGCACTACATATGCTCACTCAAGTGACATGCAGACACCTAAATTAGATGTTTTTTGCAATGTTTTTTTTTTTTCCTTCCATTTCATTTTCTTAGAAACAAGAATCCTATGGGCCATTATGCAAAGTAGTCATCTGACATCTCTCTCTCTCTCTCTCTCTCTCTCTCTCTCTCTCTCTCACAGACCCTTCACTTGGGCAAATTTGAATGTGCACTACATATGCTCACTTAAGTCTCAATCTCATGAGATCTAAAACTGAACAGAGAGGTTGCATTGATGGACCAGTGGAACATATTTAATTGGCTTTTTTTAACATCTTTATAGCTATACCATGTTTACTGTGGAATCATCATTGTTCGTGGGGGATTAATGTTCATGGATTTCGTGGGTTACCCTTACCCATGAATTTACATCCCCACGAACGTTTATTTAGTAAACATATTGATTCATTGAATCTACCGTATAAACGAGTGATCCACTAAATTACGTCCCCACGAACAAGTAAAATTTTGCTTGCCCACGGACATTGACCCCAATGAATTAAAATGATTCCACAGTACTTAACAAATCTGAGCTAAACAAAGTTCTGAAACAAAATTTCAAGTGCCATCTCAGTTTTAAGTCAATTATGAAACATTTTTAATTATGTCAATTATGGATTATGGATAATTTTTTAAAAATTGTCAATCCACAATGAAATCCTTTTGATTTTTAAGGTTATGCAGAAATCACACTGCATATTTTTTACCATCTTTGCAAACATTAAGATCTCAAAAAACTTAATTTGCAAGAAATTTTTACCAGTTGTTTACTATATATATATATATATATATATATATATATATATACACTGTATATATTAGGGATGTCAATTTTGTCAATAATTCATATTCGAATATTCAATGAAAGTATTCGAATATATTCGAATATTCGATAAAAAAAATAAAATCTGTTTTATTTCAAATATGCATCATCCTACTCTCATGAAAGGTTTAGCGTAGGTATACTTATATTGGAAGTAAAATTGTATGAAGACATTTGTAGGTGTACAATAAGAAATTCCATTTGATATTTGTCAATGTTTGAAATAAATAATTGATTTAAATGTAGAAAAGTATTATTTTAACAAATGAAACGTGTATTTAAAGTAGCTCCAATTGAGGAACCAGTTGTCTTTCAAAAGGCAAGATAGTCGTACCGGTATACTGTTCAGATTTCAATACGTGTAATAAATTAAAATTATCTGCCTGATAAGAAATATGATTATAACCTTTGATACCATGTAAACAAATATTTCCATAGACAATTTTCCTAGGTAATTAACTAATTTCCCGATAATAAATATAAAATTCAGGATTATGTACAACCCGAGACAATCAATCTGAAATTAAGCCCTTTACATTATTAATTACCGATTAATTATATCGGACATTCATTCAATGATCCATCAATTTTATGTATGTTAAGTATACTCTTCATGCCTTTTTGACATTCTTAGATTTCATTTGTTGTCCTCGATTCTAGATCCGATCGTATCCAACTAATAAAAACTATGAAAGTACGTTTTGTATTATACATAAAGCATACATGTAACTGTACAATTCTTTAACACCTTACTCAAAACAAAATACATGTAATTAAGTAGATTTATAAGATAGGAAAGTGATGAAAGAAATCAGGCGATTGAAATTGATCGCTAGTAAATTAAACAGGGATAATTCCAGCACTGTTCCAATCAAAATTTATTAATCACAGTACTTCTTTTTATGAAATCTGAAAAACACCGAATATTCGAATCTTAAATTCATATTCAAATATCAACTCATCGAATGAATATTCGAATGTACGAATATTCGTTGCCATCCCTAGTACATATATATATATATAACAAAAATATAATTCAAATAAAGCAATGGGAAAATTGTAAAAATAGGACAATTCAAATTAAAATTAACAGCGTTTTGGAATCTTTTCACAAAAACCTGTTATAGGGTACATGAACATGTACTTATTGATGTTTGAACATGCATTAACTTGAACTTGCATTGCATGCTAGCTTTAAATTTGGATAAGGGAGGTTATCTTTGTATTAAAGCCTTAACCCACCAGTTTGGGTCAGAGGTTATCTTTGTACTGAAACCTTAACCTACCAATTGGAATGGATGCAATCTGTGTAAAGAGATCCAGCAAAACATTGCCGTCCACGTCTGTGATGTAGTTTCCTTGGCTTTTAGCATAATCCACAAAGAACTGGACTGATCCAGCATTCTGAAATCAATATAGAACTATATAACTGCTCCGTACAAGATCTGTATCGAACTTTTGTAAATCAATATAGTTCTTGGCTATATGTTAGTCTTAAAAACTGTTGGAAATGTCAGCATTATAATTGAACAATTATTTTTTTCCCCTGGCATAAAGAAATTTATCTCAACTTCCATAATGATTCAAAGATTTTGTTGATAATATGAATTAAGATGAAATTAAGGATTTTTGTCAGGAAATATGTATATCCTAAGATGTCAAAAATGTAAAATCAAGGGTGAAAGAGTCTTATCCTACAATGTGCACTATGACACGGTCAATGTGCACTATGACAAGGCCAATGTGCATTATGACACAGCCAGTGTGCGCTATGAAACAGCAATTTTGTCTCCGAACATGTAGGAATGTACTTACCAGTCAAACAACTCTTGCATGAAACTTACAATGATTCCTTAAAAACAATATGCACTTGTAAGCCTCCAAGCATGTAAAATTTATGTAAAAATATGGAATTGAGATTCAAAAAATAAGGAAGTCTTTTGAGACCCTAACAGCAAAACTGAAAATCCACAGACAATTATTAAGAAATATAGCAAGTATATAAAGCTCTCTGAAAGCTTGGTTGAATACTCATCACTAAAATCTCCAATAACTGCAGGCATAATACTAAAATCCACAAAATGTTCTTATTTATGTCAGATTCTTGCATCTATATCACAAGTATTGCAGAAATACAACAGTGCTCAGTTACCCTTCTCTTAGATTAATCACTGTTTCTGGTATTTCTGCTATCTTAGGATGAGTTCATTCCCTATTGTTGTATTTTTTTTTGGTTGCTATTTATCACCCATAATCTTAAAAGTCAATGCTGTTGACATCAATTGTACATTCAATGACTGAAACAATTAACCAAGATACCTTTCTTGTATGCTCCTGTATCTGGATATACACAGCTCTGTGTCAGAGGCGTTTTTTGTTGTTTATTTTTTTTTTAGCACAATATTGTTCAGTGTAAAAGAAGTTTTAAGCAACAAAAACAATATCTGCAACTTATTTTTTAGCATATCAATTTGAAAGATAACATTTCCCATTAGATATTCTTCCAAATAATGATTGCATGGATGGAAATACTGTACTGATCTTTCTACATTCCATCTTTTACTCGATACATGAAATCTTCCATACCTGAATTTGGTCAAGTTCTTGAGTCAATTTCTGAGACTCGGGGCCAGGGATGCTGGTCCGTAGAATCGGACCAGTGGGTTCCTCACAACCAGCAGTCACATACTGGGGGGCATTAACTGCGGTATGTTGGGAGACATAACACAATCTTGAGGCTGAAATTAGAGAAATGATTCTTAGAAAAAAGAGAAACTATCAAGCAATTGATTCATCACATGCTTTATTTGACAGATTATTTCTGGCAATTTTATGCAACATTTAACTACCATTTAACCTTTGCTGTAATTTACATCAGATGTCAGGTGTCATACTGCTCCATGCTTATTTTAAATGAGCATGTAAAATTAAAATTTCATTGTCATGAATTTTAACCTCACTGTATTCTCTATTTTTGTCACTGACAAGTATATAATTTTTTCAAGCTATCACACTATTCTCTGTCACAAGTATATTAAGCATACATTAATTTACATGGTGCTTAAACAATTTCACTCGTCAGAATCTTTTTCAATTCTAGCCATTTATGCTTTAATATGTGGTAATTTATCCTGATTTTCTCAGATAATATATTAATTTTAAAGTTAAATATGTCTTCAGATATATACTGACAATACCAACAGGTCATTAAGAAACAACTATATAAAGTCATTAAGAAACAACTATATAAAACTACCTGTACTAATATATTATTCAGTTTCCTTGAATCATCGTTGGAACCCAAAGGTTTTGTCTCTGTTACACTACGTTAAGTGTAAAAACTTTAAAAACTTACAAATTAAAGATTTGTCTAATAATTAAACAACACTTTATTCAACAGTAAATCATAAGATCAAAACAATAATTGGCTAAATTGTGAGCAATATCGCCACTTTAGAAACATCGATCAAACAAAAGGACTCCTTCAGGAATATGCAACCAGAATTTTAAAGCAACAAAACAGAATTTTAAAGTAATTATTACAATAGTTTTAAATGCATGATTAATTAATTTTCAAAGAAGGAGGTGAATAATTCATATAAATCTGAAAGTCCTTCAATACATGCATTCTTTAAACCTTCTTTGAACACGGTGAAAAACTTTTTTTTAAAGAATGAACTGTATTTCATTCACCAGTTTGTACACAACTGACCTTGACGTTAGCATTGATATGGTGAACAACCCCTTCTGCCCTTATTTCTAGATTAATGAGTCATTGCCCTCTTTGTGTCTGTTCACTTACATGTCATTCAACTCAAACTGCACATAAACAATTAAACCTTGAAACTGGGACTGAACTATTGGAAAATCAAGATCTGTTCTTACACATATTAATCATATAGCACTTAATGAATTTAACCCTTAAAAAGATTACAAAATTTTGATTTTTTGAAGACAACACTTTTCTTTCTTAATTAGTGTTCCAAATTTGTAATTTGTAGTTATAAAGGAAAGGAGGAAATGTGACAAGACCAGGATTTTAATCTGTATTATTTGAAAATTAGAGAAGTGAGTCTGACGTTACAGAATGAATTGTCACTGATGTGGGTCAGGCAGAGGGTAAATCATCCATTTAAAGTTCAGGAAGACTGTAACTGGTCTAAATCCTGGTATGGTCTGTCATATTTTCTACCCTTCCTGTTATTCAGTCATAAGCAAATGACTGACTGTTCATTTATTTTAATCTATACCTAAATCTAACATACGTACATTTTTTTTATACATTTTAAATTTTACAATTGTAGCAAATCTGTTGCATTACAAGGAAGGAAGGAAGACAAGTGAAAATAATTTCATGAATGCACACAGTCTGCAGGGGTTATCTCTGAGGTTTGAAGACATTTCAGGAAGGAGGAATATGACAGTTACGTAGATGGCGTCAGTTCATGATGTTTTGAATCCTGGTGTGGTGTAACATTTTCTCATGACCCTAGCTTCCTTTACACAGATGTAAGCAGATATCAGTGATTGTTTTGGATGACCTTAAATCTCTACCTATAATAGAATATTTCAAATTTTGCAAAAATTTTACTCTCTCCTGCCCATTTCTTCTACATTGAAGATTACACATTTTGCTCAACTTACAAACTCAACACAATGCTTAGTGTAAAATTTCGGAATACTGTGCTGTTTGCACAATTGTGACCCCTTACTTCATTATCTATCAAAAGTTAATTACTACATGTACTTTGGTACATCATTTGAGAAAGTATCACCATTATATAAACTACAATTTTAACAATATGATCAATTTTAAGTGCAGTTGAATTTTGCTATCTAAAACCAGTATCTCATATACCATGGATATGTTGAAGTGAGTTGGCAGCCCCAGATACTTAAGTAACTTTTTAGTTTTTACCCTCATTCCAATAGTTCGATCCAATCATCAGATATTAATGAAAGTTTAATCTTGATCAGGTCAAGTGAAATAGGTTTGACTGTACATTGTGCTCATACAAAATATGTAATACAATTTTAACAATATGATTAATCTTTATAACATTGTGATACAAAATATGTAAAATTTCCACTATCGTCCAAAATTATATCAAAGAAATATTGAAGATGTACAATAGTACCGCATAAGATAAAAAAAAAACAGAAATAATAATAATAAAAAAAACAACATCAAACTATTGTACAAAGATGGCTTGAGCACATTGTTCCAAGGGACATACCTGACCACAGTCAATCAGACTATAGCGAATTTGTACTCTAAGTATTCTACAAATCATTCATATGTTAACTGGTAATTAATACATAAAAAATGTACAAGAACTTAATTATGCACATTACAAGAATCCAATTACATATCAAAAAGGAACGACTTTACTTTACCGGTCCCCAGAAAAACGCGCTAAAATATAGTGTCGCCGTAGGCGACTTCAATATATATGAGATCGCGTGAGCGATCGAAAAAAATAAAAAATATGAGATTGTGCAAAACCAACCCTAATCAGTTGAGTGACGTAAATCTTACGTCATAGTGCAATGAGCGCGCGGATCTTGCGGATCTGGGGACCGGTAAAGTAAAGTCTACCCATCAAAAAATATATGAAAAAAGAATATGTATTCTAAAGTTCCGTGACCATCATCTACAAAATCTACGACGATAATTAAATCTGATATAATTTAATTCTGATTGTAACGCTGTATTTGATTGGATAAAAAATTTACTTTATATCGTATAAAATGGGTTGCCTACGTCACAATGACTTGCGTCAGAAACGTATTGATCCGCCTGACGTTACATTCAAATTTTGTACAAATTGAAGTCATTTTTTAAGGACAATTATCTTTTTTCTTACACCAAATGAATGAAAATTAAATTATAAGGAATGAATTTAATAGCTACCCAATTTATACGGTATAAACTGGGTTGGAACAGTTTACGCTTTTTTATAAACCGCTTCACTGGGTTGGAACAGTTTACGCTTTATAAAGCGTAAACTGCCCCAACCCAGTTTTAATATACCGTATAAAAATTCATTCCTTAAATATTACTACAACTAATGTGTTGATGGACACATATAATATTGACTTACTTTTTTTGATAAGATTTCCCAAACGAACACCCGAGCGAGAAAAAATAGCCATTAAATAACAGGCTTGCTTTGTTGTTGTGATCGTCTTCGAAGCTTGGAAACGAATGGTGAATAATATTCAGGCCTTGTTTACAAAAACTACACCATAAACTGGATCAATCTGGTGCTCGGTGGACACACCTCCGGTTTCCTTTCAAATCGCTACTGACTAGTTTCAAATCCTTTCATCAAATACACACCGTATCAAAGGTTCAAAATCAAATAATTTTACCTACGTATTAATTAAAATCTTTTTCAAGTTCCAAATATTACAAAAATTAAATTAAAAAATGCGTGATTAAATAAATGAAGTTTGATTTACCGCCGTCCTAATACAATGGGATACCATTTCTGTTCTTTATTGTCCAGTGCGCAGACGCAGAGAAAGTAGGTTATGTTTGTAAACACGTCTCACGTGGCACAATATGATAAACATTACTGTATGTTAATGCGTACATTCCCTGATAAGGGATTTGAAAACACGAGATTAATAAGAAAACCTTAGCAAATGGACATTCTGTGTTTGCAAAATCTCGGATTCATTTTAAAATACATTCACAGTCGAGAGAGCTAGCTAGGCCACTCATTACTGGATTCATCCGGTTTACTATTGAATTTTTAAAAATAACTGGCACACTTTACTTTACCCTTTGTGTCAATTTTTTCATAAGGGCGGATTCTACCCAGCATTCAAAAAAAGCTCCAAAATTTGATTAATCATAGCTAATTAAGCAAAATTAAAAGTTTTTAAAAAGACTGACCTTCCATTACAAAAAATTCTGTAGTTATAGTTTACTATAGATTTCATTAGGGCTGGGACGATACAACTTTTTCTATATCGATACGTATCCCGATATTTGAGCCACGATACGATATGTATCACGATATGTTTAATTGGTTATAACTTCTTTTTTTATATTGAAATGAACAAGACATTTCTTCGCAAATAAGAATAAATTATTCAAAGAAATTGTATATCTGTTGTAAAACTTAATTATTTTGCACAAGTGATCTTAATTATTGTGTATTTCATATTTATATTTAAATTAAGCATATTTATTTTATATATTAAACCCAAAATGTTAAGTAAACAAAGAAAAACATGAGTCAGATTTTTTTGGGCGATATGTCGATATTTTTTCATACGTATCGATATGCGTATCATCCTCACATTGAATCGATATTATCGATATCTCGATATATCGTCCCAGCCCTAGATTTCATCGTGTCATAGTGATAACTTTGACACTATGATTTACTATAGTGATAACTATGATTTACAGTAATGCATGGTTATCAATCTCAATTACTTTTTATCGTTCTATATAAGATGATAACTCTATATACATCATAAGTGTAAAACAGGGCCATTAGTAATTAATGATAAATATATTTATGTTCCCCAAACGAAGTTTGGGAACATATTGTTTTTACTCTGTTTCTTATTATTATTTAGGTCTTTCCACCTTTCTGTGGAAAGACCTATTGAAATGCTTATGTTTATTATTATTATTATTATTTTTCCGTTACCGCCTTTTGAACCGAAAGACTTTTCGAAGAACTTTATAGTTCATGATACTCGACATCAAAAGTTATTTCGAAAAACTACCCAACGAGTATGACCTACGACCCCTTTCGGAGTTCTTGCCCTTTGAACGAAAAACCTTGTTATCGCTACTCCTTCGAAACCGTAAACCCCAGAGGTACGAAACCGTTACCAATGTTTTCGACTACTTGAGAGGACTTTTCAATCTTTCATTGCGAAATGATTTGTGGAGCCCTTTATTAAGTTATCGCCCCTGAGAGTTTTCGATGTTTACGGATAATGAAATATTTTTCAAAACGACAAGTCGTAAAGACATGGGACCAACTGCATTAAATTCTTTGACATTTGACCTTGAAATTTATATAGAGGTCAAAGGTCAAGGTCATTCAAAATATGAGAAAATTAGCTTTTTAAATATCTCTTTTGTCTTTCGACATATACTGAATACCTTTGCATCTATAATATGTCCTTCTAAAACTATTTTAAGGATTTCATTCTTGTCCCCCAAGCTTGACCCATTCAAAAGTTGTCACCCCTTTCGCAATAAAACCTTGTTATCGCTACTCCTCCGAAACCGTAAACCGTAGAGATTCCAAACCTTCATCAGCGTCTTCGACTCATTTAGTACACTCTTCAATCTATGTAGTGCGAAAGGATACTTCGGCCCCTTGTATGAGTTAATGTCCCTGAAAGTTTTCGCTGTTTACATTTAATGAGCTTTTTTTCAAAGGGTCTATCCTAGAGACATGGGACCAACTGCATGGGCATGTTTGACCTTTGACCTTGAAATGTAGGTCAAGGTCAAAGGTCAAGGTCATTTAAAACCATAAGAAATTCCTTATATGTATGTAAAAATGTAACAATCAACTAAATGACCTTGACCTTGAACTTCGACCTTGACCTTTGACCTTGAACTTTGATGACCTTGGCCTTTGACCAAAAGGTCAGAATCAGTAATTAAATTACTCCTCTTCTCAAAAAAAAAAAAAAAAAAAAAAAAAAAAAAAAAAAAAAAAAATCAAACCAATAGCAACGTAGAATATTTCTCAAAAACTCGTACAACACCTTGGATCGACATAAAATTTCGGGGGAACTGCAGAACAGACCGGAAAGAAAGTTTCCTGAAAGTTTTACGCTGAATCTCTGAAGTATATAGAAATTATGAATGTTAACGGCAAACACTACATCTTTTCTCGTATCTGAAATGTAGGTGCCGATGAACATAAAAATGAATTGAAGCTTTTATCGGTTATTTCTTCAGTTGTTATGAATAGCAGTCGATTCTCTTGACATGATATGATATTTTAATACCAAGCATTCTTGATTTATTTAGTATGTGGAATTTATTTCAATTTTATTTAGAATTAATATTAATCGAATGAATGTCGAAAACAGCGATTTTTCAGAGCAAATAAATTTTCACGCTCTCATTGACACCTTTTTCTATCTAAAATGCATATCTGAGATTTTAATTTATGCTACTTACATTTAATTCAGTCCACACAGAGATGCTTATTTCAATCTTACCTAGTATTTCAGGATATTCAGTCATATCCGAACCCGATCCGATATTTTCATATATTTGTAAACAAAGTCACGGCACTGCAGTACTAATGCATCATAGGCTCTAAATGATTAACTCAATGCATTCAAATTATACACCAACTCAAATAATTTTTTTAAACCGAAAATCTGCATTCCTATTATACACCAATCGTGTTTCTCAAAACTATCTAATACTGATTACTACATTCCATAACAAACAAATCGCCACGTGCTTTTAGATTCCTATTTATTCCTAAACAATATATTTACTACCTCCATCTTCATCGGAATGCGTGGCCTAATGGTTAGCGCACCTGCCTTTCAATCCAAGGGTTTTGGGTTCGATCCCTGCTGGAGGAGCAATTTTTTTTTTTTTTTTTTTTTTTTTTTTGCATTTTTCTTCTTTTTTTCAACCCAAATGACACGGAAACACTTAAAAAGGTGGAAAGGCCTCTAATTGTTCTCTGAACAATTAGTCTCCTAGTTATTATTATTCTTCTTCTTTTTCTTCCCGGACTTTTGAAACCGTAAGACTTATCGAAAAACTTTATAGTTCATGATACTGGACATTAAAAGTTATTTCGAAAAACGACCCCCCGTGTTTGACCCATGACCTCTTACGAAGTTATTGCCCCTTTCGGAAGAATAGCCTGTTATCGCTACTCCTTCGAAACCATAAACCGTAGAGATACAGAACCTTCACCAATGTTTTCGACTACTCGAGAGGACTTTTCAATCTTTTCATTGCGAAACGATTTGTCGAGCCCTTTAGTAAATTACTGCCCCTGAGAGTTTTTGATGTTTACGAATAATGACAAAATTCTCTAAACGATAAGTCGTAAAGACATGGGACCAACTGCAATAGATTTTGTGACCTCTGACCTCGAAATTTTTGTGAAGGTCAAAGGTCAAGGTCATTCAAAATATGAGAAAATTAGCTTTTTTAATATCTCTTTTGTCTTTCAACATATACTGAATATCTTTGCATCTGTAATATGTCCTTCTAAAACTATTTCAAAGATTTCATTCTTGTCCCCCGAGCTTGACCCATTCAAAAGTTGTCACCCCTTGTGCAACAAAACCTTGTTATCGCTACTCCTCCGAAACCGTAAACCGTAGAGATTCCAAACCTTCATCAGTGTCTTCGACTCATTTAGTACTCTCTTCATTCTATCATTGCGAAAGCATTCTTTGGTCCCTTGTATGAGTTACTGCCCCTGAAAGTTTACGCTGCTTACATTTAATGAACTTTTTTTTAAAACGGTGTATCCTAGAGACATGGGATCAACTGCATGGGCATGTTCGACCTTTGACCTTGAAATATAGGTCAAGGTCAAAGGTCAAGGTCATTTAAAAACATAAGAAATCCTTTATATATGTGTAAAATATAGCAATTCACCAAATGACCTTGAACTTTGACCTTGACCTTTGACCTTGGGTCAAATAGAAAAGCTAGGACATGCATCCAGCTCCAGTATCTGGTAAAAAGACAGAAAGTAAAGATTTCTTGGGGGGGGGGGGTTTGTTGTTTTTTGTTTTTTTTTTTTGAATGACCTTGACCTTTGACCTTGACCCAAGGTCACAATCAGGCTTAAGGAATTGGAAGTAGTTACAATTCTTAGTTTAAAAGAGGCATAAAATAAATAATTAACCTACCCCCCCCTCTTCTTAAAAAAAAAAAAAAATCACATCAACAACAACGTAGAATATTTCTGTCAAATTCAAACCAGACCTCGGATCGACACCATATTTGGTACAATTGTAGTATAGACCTCAGAGGAAGTTTCTGGAGAGTTTTACGGTGAGTCCTCTAAGTTTATAGAAGTCTTGAAGTTTCACGGCAAAAACTACAAGTTCTGTTGTGTTTGTAATTAAAGTGCAGGTGAACGAAGGAATGATCTAAACCTTTTATCGGCTATTTCTTCAGATGTCGTTAGCAGCATTCGATTCTCCTGATATGATACGACATTTTAATACCAAGCATTCTCTCTTTCTTTTACATTTGGAATTTATTTGATTTTT